TTGGGACCTCTGCAACGTACGAGGCTAGGGCTACTGGCTGGCGTGTACCCGTCACCTCCATCGCAACGTTCAAAATAGCTGCCGCATGGCGCCACCAAGATTTCATCTGCGTCCACGTGTGAGAAAACTCGTGCGTTCCATTTCAAGATGGCGAATCGAACAGCTCTGCCAGTGAATCCGTATGTAGTGGAGTTGCGTGGCAGCGCGGTTAGAAAGGTGATGATGATGACGTGTATGATGATACCCTCCTCGCGTAATAAACGAACATCTATGATAACGTTGCGGGAAATCCCCTGTATGCAATGGGGATGCGAAGTTTCCTAGCAATGCTGATTCGTGAGAAAGTGTGGCACAATCGAGTTTGGTCGCTACAGATGTGGATGGTGTGCAAAACAAAAATATGAAATGAAAATTATATAGCTTACATGGCTATAAACCTATTCATCCTCACGCCTTTTTCATTTGCCAACCAACTACATGTTTCGAAGAACTCCACGAGCCGTCTTTAGCGCGCGGTATTAAGGAATTGACAACACAATAGCATTCAGAATTCCCATAAATTCTTTTTCCTGCTCGTACCTGTTCGCCTAAGGTGGCATCATGCCACGCCAGTCACCTCAAATGTTGATGCATGCAGGCATGTTTTTGCAGACAATTCCAAGTTCCGTACCTATGAGGACGAAGGGTCATAAGACAAAATTGCCTAAGTTTTTAAATCCATTTGCGAGGAACATTATTCATGTAGATGACAGTAGTAATAGCCCCCTTCCTCGGAGAAAAACCAGGAGAATAAAGATGGCAACATGCCTTTATCGAAACGAAAATCAGAAGCACTTCTGCTCTTCGTTTCGATAAAGGCATGTTGCCGAAATATCAACACATCTATATATCCACTCTCCTGGTTTTTCTCCGAGGAGTGAGCCTTTTACTACTGTCTGGCCATGAAACAATGATTTTAAGACCTTCACTGTACGAGGCGCCTGCCTATAAATTGTTCGATAGGAAAACGGTGACGTAGGGTCGGGTAGTCCACTGCCTCGAATTGTGAAATGTCGTCGCGCCCCAGCCGGGCATACACATGGAGCGCGCGGCTGTGTACGGGGACGAGTCATGCGGTCTGCTCGCTTGGTTGACCTCAGACCTGAGCCGAGACACCATATGGCGCAGGGCAAATCTACAACTACGGCACTTCGAACGCTGCGCGTTTGCCACAAGCGGTCCCATGCAGGTTAGCAGAGCGGGGCGAGCCACTGAGTGAGAATATCGATCTGTGATATTTGAAAGGAATGACTCGGTCTCAAGCGCGTTCGAAATCCCCGCGCGATTTTTGTGTCTGCAAAAGCCTCTCCAATGTGTGAAGCCAGAGAGCTCGGAGTAGCCTATGACAGCCATTCGAGTGAAAGATCTCACTATGGCCCGAGTTATGTGAGCACTGCACGGTGGGCGGCACACAAATGTGTGCTGCGCGAAGCTGTGCGAAACGCCAATAGCGCAGCCCGAATAACGGCCTCGTCTCAGGTGTCCTTGACCGCTAGCGATGTGTGCAACTGTGGGGCCTCAATCTGGAAAAACTACTCCGCGGCAATGTTTCGGTCCATCTAAGATTGCCACTTTCTGATATGCTGAAGGTTCTCCCAATGGCCGGTGTCCTGATTAAGGATGGCAGTATCCACGGTGCAAACTCCGCCCGGCGCAGGTGGTAAAGCGCAACCTTAAGGCTTCCAGACGCGGCTGCACATCCGCTGTCGCCGATCATCATGTTAACGGCAGCTGTACCGGGTCCCCAGGGGACGCCGCCCACGCCCCTGACCCGGCCCGGCAGCAGGTCACCGCCGGCTCGGCCAGCCAGCGCTGCCAGCGCTGAGGTCGCTTCCGCGGCCCAGTGCGTAGCGTCTCTGGCTCCATTTTAATGGCTACACATTTGACGTTGTGACATTGCTGGTCGCCGTAGCTTTCGGGCAGGTTCCAGTCCAGGGGATAAAACACTTTCTGGGATCGTAAGTTTGCTTTGAAGTACCTTTACATCAATTCAGCATTATAATCAAGCGTAAATGAAAGGATCATATGAGACGGGCGGCATGTTTATCCCGCGGCATCAAGGATCGCGTGTCGGCGTAAACAGCTCGGTCCGTCAGCGTGAATCCATGCCAGCCACGAGGACTGCGCATGCGCGGGCGTTCCATCTGGGCCAGTGGTGCCAGCATCGACCAGATCGCGCCGGTAACCCTCCCGTCATAGCCGCCCTGATCCTGTCGGGCCTGTGCAGCCGCCCTGATCCCCAGTGCCACTTCAAGGCCCCGCCTCACGGCCACAGCGTCAACTGTCGGGCCCGTGCAGCCGCCCTGATCCCCAGTGCCACTTCAGGGCCCTCGCCTAACCGGCCACAGCGTCAACTGTCGGGCCCGTGCAGCCGCCCTGATCCCCAGTGCCACTTCAGGGCCCTCGCCTCACCGGCCGCAGCGTCAACTGTCGGGCCCGTGCAGCCGCCCTGATCACCTCGGCCTTCGGAGCCCGATCCTCACACCGTGCTTCGGTGACCCCGCTACTCCACACGCCTCGGTGGTCCTAGTGCCACACCTTGTACGCGTCGGTCCGCTCCGCAGTACCATGCGGCGGCTGCCCCCTGCCGACGCCAAGTCGGCGATTCCAGCGCGCCGCTTCTGCCCGGCCTGCCTCAGAGGCCTGCTCCTGCGGCGCGCATGATCGGCGCTCAGCTCTGCCCGCCTCAGAGGCCTGCTCCTGCGGCGCGCATGATCGGCGCTCAGCTCTGCCCGCCTCAGAGGCCTGCTCCTGCGGCGCGCGTGATCGGCGCTCTGCCCGGCCTGCCTCAGAGGCCTGTTCCTGCGGCGCGCGTGATCGGCGCTCAGCTCTGCCCGCCTCAGAGGCCTGCTCCTGCGGCGCGCATGATCGGCGCTCAGCTCTGCCCGCCTCAGAGGCCTGCTCCTGCGGCGCGCATGATCGGCGCTCTGCCCGGCCTGCCTCAGAGGCCTGCTCCTCTGCGGCGCGCATGATCGGCGCTCTGCCCGGCCTGCCTCAGAGGCCTGCTCCTGCGGGCGCATGATCGGCGCTCAGCTCTGCCCGCCTCAGAGGCCTGCTCCTGCGGCGCATGATCGGCGCTCTGCCCGGCCTGCCTCAGAGGCCTGTTCCTGCGGCGCGCATGATCGGCGCTCAGCTCGGCTTCTTGCCTTGCCTGCCAGAGCAGAGCATCACCCCGCTTGCGTCAGGTCCTTGGAACGTCACCGGCTGTAAGAACGCCGTCGGATAGACCTATCTCCCAGGAAAACACCGGCGGCGCCGGGGCCAACGCAGCCGATAGATGGAACCGATGCGCACGGTCCAGTAGATTGGGCCATCAGCAAGACATGTACGGCCCCCCCCCCCCCTCCCTGCCCCGCCCGGACGCGTCCCGGAGATAGGATCGCACCATTTGGGAAGAATGACTCGCAATCCACATGCCCAGAGGTGGTCGTGCATCCTGACAACCTCCTGCAGGGACAAGACCGATTCCCAACTCCATATGGCGCCAAATATACATATATATATATATATATATATATATATATATATATATATATATATATATATATATATATATATGTATATATGTATATTTGCGCCATATATATATATATGTATATATATGGCGCCAAATATATATATATATATATATATATATATATATATATATATATATAATATATATGTATATATATATATTATATATGTCATCTATCTATATCTATCTATCTATCTATATATATATATATATATATATATATATATAATATATATATACTATATATAATGTTATCCTTATATATATATATATATAAAATGTGTAATCAATTGGGTGTTAGAGCCCACGACATGTTTTTTAAGATCTAGACCAGCCTCTTGATTGCACAGATCTTTGGGAACAGCGCAAACACTAAACGGAGCTTGGTCGCGTAACCCCTGACGCTACCGTCCGATCATGAAACCCCCGGGTCAACGGCAGGAATTTCGCAGCGTGCCGCGATGGTGGCACGGTCCGACCTGCCCTCCAGCGTCACGTGACCTTTCGTGCGGCCGCTGTCCCCGGCCGCAGACCATCTCAGCCCACGGCAAATAGCGCGCGCCTGAATCGACTCGAACCCACCCCACACGGGTGGGTGAATCGGAAAGCAATCTCTCCAACCAATTGGGCTATCGGGATGGACACATTTCGGGCCTTTAACAGGTTTCCGAACACTGCGCCTGAATATACACGATCCGCGGAAATTATATCAGTTATGCCCAACAAAGTTCTTGCTGAGCTACACGTGCTCGACATGTTTTAAACATTATTCAAGCATTCTTTTTGGCTTAAGATGCACCGTTCGATACTGCTGGAACTCCTGCGACACGTTGCTATCCCACTGCAGCTTGTACAACCAGCTCAAATGTTTTGAGTCATTTACCGCAGTTTTACCTGTGTGAACGGCAAACAGCCTTTGGCATGGGCCTGACGCCCAAGCGGGTCGAAGGCCCTGTCACAATAAGTGAATATTTTCGGAGCACATCAGATACACCACGTCCGGATAACCCCGTCCAATAATTGCACGTTGTTATTTTGCAGCCGATCACGCAGGCCATCCGGCTGTCAGCGCAGGGCGCGGTGCCGCCGACGGCGCGCGCGCCCGGCTGCCTCGTAAATCAGCTCCGAGCGGCACTAATTGCCCGCCATCAGCCGTGCTCACCTAGGGCCGCGCGCCGCGCAGCGCCGCGCCTGGGGCCGGCGGCGGCGGCGGCGGCGGCGCGGGCGCTCGTCTCTCAGCGCGGCCTGACTGACCCCAACATGCGGCTGCTTTCGACACCGCACCGCGCGAGTCACGTGTCGCCGTCCGGCAGGCGGCGGCCCGCTCCGAACGCGAGGGTGACGCGTGGAGGGGACGCTGACGGCGGAAGCGCCGCGCACCAGCTCGGGCCGGCGTGAGGGGGGGCTCAACGCGGTTCCGGCTCGGCCGCGTGTGCCCGCTGACCTGTTGCAGGAAGCGGGCCACGTCGGCCATCTGCTTGTCGTCCAGCTGCAGCAGTTTGTTGCGATCCTCGTCCTCCAGCTCCATGATGTCGAACACGGTGGTCACCTCCTGCCGGTGTCGGAAAGGCGGGTCAGCGCCAAATCGCGACAGGCCTCCGAAACTCAGCAGCCGCCGACGGGTCAGACCCCCCCCCCCCCCCCTATCCCCTCCATCACGCCGCCCGGGCGATGGATCCAATCCCACCACGCCGGCAGACCCGACACCTGGGTCAGCACCTACCGACGACCCCTGCCTCCAGGACTCGAGCACAGGTCACGACAGACCCGACACCTGGATCAGCACCTACCGACGACCCCTGCCTCCAAGAGCCGAGCACAGGTCACGGCAGACCCGACACCTGAGTCAGCACCTACCGAAGACCCCTGCCTCCAGAAGCCAAGCACAGGTCCGACACCTATGTCAGACCCTACCGACGATCCCTGCCTCCAGGAGCCGAGCACAGGTCCAGACAGACCCGACAACCTGGGTCAGCACCTATCGACGACCCCTGCCTCCAGAAGCCAAGCACAGGTCCGACACCCCCGTTCCATGCAAAAGCAATGCCCTCCCGCTTGCTTATAACGCGCCGTGTCTTCCCGCCGCGAGCCCTGCAGCCCCCCTCCACCCACGCCTGCACCGGAACGAGCCGGCTCCGCCTGTGGGCCCGACCCTGATGCCCCAGTGACGGCTCCCTTCCGTCCCCGCCGCGCTCCGTGGCCGCCGACGACGCGCCCGGGGGAGCTGCGAACCCCGGCTCCGCCTGTGGGCCCGACCCTGACGCCCCAGTGACGGCTCCCTTCCGCCCCCGCCGCGCTCCGTGGTCGCCGACGACGCGCCCGGGGGAGTTGCGGCCGCGCCCGCCGCTACTGCCAGGCGGCGCAATCCGGCCGGCTCCGATCAGGCACCTAATCACCCGCGTCAGTCCCGGCGGGCCGAACCGCCCCCCCGCGCGCGACGACAGACTGCCGCTGACCACACAGGTACGGGGGCGCGCGGCCGTGTCGATGCAGAGGCCGATGTGGAGGCGGTTGATAAAGAGAGATGACGGGGAACCACATCCGGCTGGCCTTGCACCAGGCGCCATGGGCCGGATCTTCTGACTTTTCGCTATGAAATAATATTCACGGACGGACAGGCGAGGTGGTTTCATCTTAGCCAAAGCTGGGCGAGGTCAATTTCCTTCCCCTCATGCCATTGGAGAGTGCTGTGTGGCAGGCAGTCCCCCTCCCCCCAATTCTTGTAAAAAAGGCTCCGCAAGCCACATCCAACGGCGCCATTGTTCAGTCACCCGGCAAAACCTGGAACCATTTCGTTTCTGAAAAAAACATGCGCGATGAGCGTATCACTAGCCATCACAAGTTCACACGCGCTGCCTCTTATAGTTTTCGTCGTCTTAAAAATGCCGCTTGACGGTGACATACGTCACCTGGCTCAGCGGATGTTTGAAAACAAAATGCGAGTAATGCATTAACAAGCGTCACGAGATAGCTGACAACCCAAGACCGAGAGGAATAGCACTGGTGGACGGAAGCGGAACACTGACACAACAGAAACGTAGTTGCTGGACTACCACCACATCATGCACGAGAGCAATACCTCAGCATGATGCCGCAATCACGAGAGCAGCACACCACGTAAATTGCTTGAAAACAACGCGCCTCTGTTTAATACCTCGCGTCTTGTACAATAACACAACGAATTATCTGCAGCGAACAAGAAAATCTGCGAACCATAAAGCAAGGAAAGGCACAACCAGGAGCACAAAATCAACACTAAAAGCGTTTCAAAGCGTAACAAAAGCGTTGCCAGGCTGTTGAGATACGCCAAATAGAAAAAAACTTTCCACGAAATTAGGCTGATGAAACCAGAATGCATCCAGAACCAAAACAGTTTTCTGGGCAGATCCTGGTCACAACACCTTGGATTTTCCATTTCATTTCATGTTATATAAACTTAGCCCCAACTTAGATTGGACGGATTTCTGGGATCAGCGCGAACACCAAGCAGTGTTTGTAGCGCAAGCCCTGATCTCACCATCAGACCTTGGCGATCCGCGTCTACGGCAGAATTTTGTGACAAAAGATTAACTTGCGACAATAGGCTCGGCACGTTACGTTCTAGGCTCCTGGTTCTAGTTGGGTTCTAGATCCGGTCAGGTTCGGCTTTGGTTAGGTTCGGCACGCTTCTGCCCTCTGACGTCCACATGACCTTTAGCGCGGCGGCTGCCGCCGGCCGCAGGCCATCCCAGTCGGGGGCAGATAGTGAGCGCTTAAGCCGAGACCATCGCACAACCGCCACGGGGCACGAATGCAGACGCTTCAACCAACTCGGCTATCTAACGACTGAGCTGTCCGCCGGCTATCTACCGACTGAGCTGTCCGCGAAGAACGCCGGGAGCTAACCGGAAGCTGTCCCTTCTGGTTCGCTCAGTTCGTAGAGCACTGGACTCGTGATCAGGATTCTGGTTCGAATACCAGCCACTCCACAGAGATAATTCGGGTTGTGACGCATGCATGGCTGACAGCCAAACGCCATTCAGTCATCCGCACTCTACACCTGGCGAAGGCTGTCGAGTGAACTGGACGAAACGTTACGCAAGTACGCTCCAGACGAGAACGGTAGTCCGAACAATGAGTCCCACCGTGGGCTACATCAAGTCCTTCTCAGCACTCCATAACGCCTGACGACAGCTGGAAGGTTCATTGGCCAAAATATGTAACTAGTCCGCGCCCAGCCAGGGGAAGTCGACTTACCCGCCTACGGTTTGTCGAGCACAACTCAAAAGCAGACGCTCGCAGCACTTCCAAATTTTCAGTGCCTATTAATGCACCAATTTGGCATTTTTTGTGCACATTCAAAGTTTTGATCTGCCGAAGTCAGTGCCCTAGGTCAGGTCAGAGGTCAGCTTCTAAACAACTTTGACCACGCATAACTTTTTGTGCGTTGTTTGTCACTGCTCACACTTGCTACAGAAATAGAGCATGATAGTACCTACAGTTTGTGTCTCAGATTTTCTAAAGCACGGTCAGTGACCTGAGGTGGGTCGATTTTTGCCATTTTTCGTACCAAATGCAAATGTTTACGCACTTTTGTGTAGTTTTGTTCCTTGTATAGGAGAAAAGGGGTACTAACTCGCATGCACAACCAGTGTACGACCACAGAGCAAATGAAGTTGGCCTAAGTCACCACCTACCTCTATGGGCGCCTTCTGTAAAACGCATGCTGAGCTCAAAGTAGGCAATGCTATAGGGCAATTTTGGGTGCAAAATTCGAATATTTCAATAAAAAAATTATATCAATCTAATGCATAGTGAGGTCATGGTTTGTCACGTGAAGGCAAGAAAGACCAAGAGGTCATCAAGGTCAATGGCCAATGTTGTCAGGAGCGGAGAGGTTAGATGAACGAGTGAGATGCGTGTAGCCACCTCTACGCCGGGTTTGTCAGGCTGATGACATGTACAAATTTAGGTGGCAACGTGCCTGTTCTCAGTTCGTTGCGAATACACTGCCAAGCGTGGAGGGGACTGTACAATGTAAGAGCTATGCGATCTCGGGCACCTCCAGATGCACAAGACACTATTTCTGACCACCGAAAAAGCACTGCAGTGGTCACTTAGACCCGGCAACATTTCACGTTTTTTCATTCAGAGTTTATGAATTTGACCTAAGTTGACTTCAACTGACCTCTAGGTCCGCCTAAAAAGGTATTTTGGTATTTTTTGCGCCTGGGATGCTCTTCTCCCACAGCTGCACCTCATAAAACAAGCTTAGTCAGAAGCATATTGTAAAAGAAAAAAGTAGCGTTCTTGTAGGCCTATCGTTGACCATTTTTGAATAATGACCTGACCTGATCCTTGTGGGAGGGTAAAAATGGTCGGAATGGACTCCCCAAAGTCTTAACGCTTACTTCTGTGCCCTCAGTATCCGTCTTGACGCCTAAACACAACTCAACTACATCTATCACATCGATCATTTTTTCTTTCATGACCTCTGGTGACCTCATATTTAACCGAAGATAAAAAACTGGTGTGTTTTCTATATCATTTAACGAGACCCTCACAACCGCATCTTCAGTTTTCTCGTATGACGTCCAGAAGTTGGAGATCCCAGGGAAGTCAGAAACTCCCCTGGCCAGGCGCGCTTCCCTGACCCCTGGTCAGGCGCGGGCTAACACGCCAGACGAGAACGGCGGTCCGCACAGTTATTCCATCCATCATTTCGATAATTGTTGCGCGTTGGCCACGCCAGTAACTGCGGACTGTATTGACAAGTGAGCGAAGCTACAGCAGCGGAAGACACACAGCTTCCCTTTCATTTTACTAACCATGATACTGATGAGATATGGCTTGTATACAACACAAGAAAGCATGACCAGTCCATTCACCACCCCACCCTCACAATAGCAGCCAAGCGCATGATGTGGCCGTGTTTACATCAATGACCCACACAACTACACCTCCACGAAATCAGGCCAACCTCTGAAAATTTGAGATGGTATTCTTGAGTTTCTTTCTCAGTGAGATGTTTGCTTAATGTTGTTAAATTTTTGCAACCTGGTTTGCTGATGTGTCAAGTGTGCCATGGGATTTCTGTCACTGAAGCACTTGCTATGAAAATCAAGATATTATTTTTGCAAAACCGCATCATGTTCGGCAGCATAATCCAACTTTAGATGGCTTCACTTGATAAATACCAATATTCATAATTTTTTAACATTGCGAACTGTAGAAGTCCGTTAAATTTGACCCACAAACCGACCAAATTTCGCGGGTTTTTGCGAATGAGATGTTGGTGGGTGGAAAAGTTACGTCTCCAGTTCAGAGCATCCAAGTTTTGAGAACAATTTTCCGACATCTGCGGGTTCCTGTGATGAAGTGGCACTGGAATTGGCGGTTCAAGTGGCACGGAATGGGTTGAAGGTATCTTTGGCAGCTACGTAGCCACAACTGTCTGCAGGCCACACCGTCCAACACGTGTGCACACCCAGCGCGTGACGCTCTTTTGGATATGGCAGCACTGGACAGCTGCGTAATAAAGAACGTACATTTTTTATTGCACCGGTCATATCTAATGACAAATCGTTCGCCTCAGCGCACGCTGTCGCGTTTAGTCCAAGAGGAATTCCGAGAAGAGGAGGAAATCCGAGATTAATTTTGTCTGATGCTGGTACTGTGCCTAACTGGGAGCTCCCCGTCTATTGCGCGCACAGCCAGCCCGCCGATCATCCTGCTGCCACGGGCAATGTATTAGCTCACTGCTGTCACGACATCAAACGAAATTACGGGGGCTCTCGCGCATGCGCGGCGCCACGCCACCCGCCGTCGCAGGTAGCACGTCGGGGCCACTGAAGTCACTCAACCGCGGAGCATTCGCATTCTGCGAGCGCACATGAGCTAGTGAGTACCAGCACATAGTGATTAAAGCAGAGTGAGAGCACGAGAGTGAGCCACGCGTGCAATATTCCCTGGCTGGAGTTAGATGATTGCGAGGCTTTCGCACCGTGAGCATGGCTGGAGGGGAGTTCCAAATAAAATGGGATATATCCCGCAACGGGAGCTGAAGTGAGAGAGGAGAGCGAAAGCGAGAGAGCGAGACGGAGAGAGAGAGAGAGAGAGAGAGAGAGAGAGAGAGAGAGAGAGAGAGAGAGAGAGAGAGAGAGAGAGAGAGAGAGAGAGAGAGAGAGAGAGAGAGAGACAGAGACAGAGACAGAGAACAGAGACAGAGAACAGAGACAGAGACGAGACAGAGACAGAGACAGAGACAGAGACAGAGACAGAGACAGAGACAGAGACAGAACAGAGACAGAGACAGAGACAGAGACAGAGACAGAGACAGAGACAGAGACAGAGACAGAGACAGAGACAGAGACAAGAGACAGAGACAGAGACAGAGACAGAGACAGAGACGAGAGACAGAGACAGAGACAGAGACAGAGACAGAGACAGAGACAGAGACAGAGCAGAGACAGAGACAGAGGACAGAGACAGAGACAGAGACAGAGACAGAGACAGAGACAGAGACAGAGACAGAGACAGAGACAGAGACAGAGACAGAGACAGAGACAGAGGACAGAGACAGAGACAGAGACAGAGAGACAGAGACAGAGACAGAGACAGAGACAGAGACAGAGACGAGACAGAGGACAGGACAGAGACAGAGACAGAGACAGAGACAAGAGGACAGAGACAGGACAGAGACAGAGACGAGAGAGACAGAGACAGAGACAGAGACAGAGACAGAGACAGAGACAGAGACAGAGAGAGAGAGACAGACAGACAGACAGACAGACAGACAGACAGACAGAACAGACAGACAGACAGACAGACAGGACAGACAGACAGACAGACAGACAGAACAGACAGACAGACAGAGACAGACAGACAGACAGACAGACAGACAGACAGACAGACAGACAGACAGACAGACAGACAGACAGACAGAGACAGAGACAGAGACAGAGACAGAGACAGAGACAGAGACAGAGACAGAGACAGAGACAGAGACAGAGACAGACAGAGAGAGACAGAGAGAGACAGAGAGAGACAGAGAGAATTATGCAAACGGGGACCATATTTCATCAAACCAGGCATACTGGAGCCAGCAGCTTATGCAATGGCTCACTTGACTGACGTTTCAGTCTCAGAAACCAACCTCCGTTAGATAATATTTCCACGAGCACTTTACTAAGGATTACTTAACGGTTCCGCTGTCTAGCTGTGTTAGTCAGGGCGCATTCTATATCCCTTCATACAAAAGTCATCAATTCAAAAATATGGCGGAGCTTCACACAAAATGCTTTGTGCGTTTCTTTGCTACTGCAATACTCCAAGCATTTCAGTAGACGGCCAATACCATGCGTCTGGTGAAATAAAAGTTGAGAATCAACGAAACTTGCAGCTCACCGGCCCACGTCGGCGTTATTGCAATTCAGCTACCTCGCGCCACTCCACTACTTGTGATCCAGCACGCCACCCGTTTAAACCCCACACGACACCCCATCGCGCTGGTGCGCCTCCCCGAACGAGCGGCAACCGGCTCTGCGGGGGTCGGGGGGCGCGTGTGCTCGCGCGCCGTCGCTGTCCTCACCTTCTCTTCGCAGCGTTTGATGATCTCGGGTGTGAAGTGCGGCAGCTGCTTCAGGTAGCTGTCCTTGGACCACATCGCCTGCGTGCACATCTGAAGGGGGACGGATACTTAATCGCCGGGAGACAGAGCCGCCTGACACGCTTTCGTGTGCCGGTGATCGCACAAATACATTACAGACCACTCACACACAACCTGCATCAGTCAACAACTACAATCCATGAAAAGGCTCCCACCCACCAAGGCTTACAGCATTCACGGCCTTCCCCGCGCTCTGTGACCGGCGTCCTGCCGCCAAATACCCTCACGGCAGCCCGCCTCGGCTCGGCTCGGTCCGGCCCGCGTGCCGGTCCGGCCGCGGCTGCCCCGCCCGGCCCCTGACCTGCGCCAGCTCCATGGAGGCGAGCGCCGGCGAGAGCCAGCCGTTAGAGGAGAGCACGTCGACACAGGCCTGGATCAGGCGCACCACCCGCTGCAGGATCAGCTCCGTGTCCTGCTGCAGCTCTGCCGACAGCTGCATCCGGCTGCAGTGCGCCTGCACAAGCAGGTTGGTCTTCGTGTGTGGGTCGTTGTACCTGTGGCGGCGAGAGGCGGCCGGTGAGCGGTGGCGGTGGCGGTGGCGGTGGCGGTGGCGGTGCCGTCCGGCGGCCAACCGGCGACGGGAACTCCCCCTCCCTCTCCCGCCAATGACCGGTGGACCGGACGGCGTCGGGGTCAAGCACGGCTGGGGAGAGCCCAGGGCGACGACGGATTCCGATCGGCGACGGGACGCTATGTGCTGTAATGAAGAGCCATCGCACACACAGGTCGGCATCGAGCGGCCGCATCATGCTCGCCGGCGCCACCGAGCTGAAGGGCAGTTGGGGAGGCATTTTACAGGTGTTCGCGCCGGGGAATGCTTTTGAGCGCACAACACCCAGATGTTCCCTCCCGCCATCAATAATTAGTCGGCGTTGGCGACGGTGACGGGCGGCCGCGCCGCATCGCGTGACCCCTCCGAGCAACAATCTAAATTCATGGCCGGAAGCGTCTCGGTGGCGCCACCCGCCGCTCCGCGGCTGGTCGTGTCAGCCAGGTCGGCCGAGGCAGCCGAGGGCGGCGCCGAGCCGGTCAGGCCTCGGCCAGAAGCCCGGTCGGCGCCGAGGCCGGCAGTGTCAGCCGGATCGGTCGGGGCGGCCGAGGGCGGCTCCGAGGCCGGTCCGGTCTGTCGGGCGAGCCCGGTCGGCTCCGAGGCCGGTCCCGTCTCTGTCGAGCGAGCCCGGTCGGCTCCGAGGCCGGTCCGGTCTCCGTCGAGCGAGCCCGGTCGGCTCCGAGGCCGGTCCGGTCTCCGTCGAGCGAGCCCGGTCGGCTCCGAGGTCGGTCCGGTCTCAGTCGAGCGAGCCCGGTCGGCTCCGAGGCCGGTCCGGTCTCCGTCGAGAGGGCCCGGTCGTCTCAGCGGGCCGGCGCTTTTGAAGCTTTGTCCTCAGCGGTCGGCGACAGCTCTCTGGCCCCAGCGGCAGTCTGAGCACAACACAATAGGCCTTGTGTGGCCACAGAATCCGTCCAGTCTGAATTCCGGACCTGTGAGGGACACTGGACTAGATAAAGTTTGTCCCCAGAGGCTTTTGTGCCACCGCGCGAGACATTCCGTCCGCGGATAAGTTTGTCGGCCGCCAAACGCGTCGATTCGAGAGGAAGGACACGACCGCTGCGAACGCTGCTCAGCCAACCATTCAGCCTGGACAGTGTTCCATCAGGCGCCAGCATCACCTGCGATTTTCCATTTCGGATGCCGTCTGCAGGGCCTGTGCGGGCCATTAGCGCTCGGTCTGCAGCGCCCAGCTCCCGCGCCGACCGGCGCATTAATGGATCGCCTGAGAGGAACGTTTGGCAATTTGAGTGAGCAGGCTTCAACGCTCTCCTACGGCCGGGCAGCGAGGCGGCCGGTTCAAGACATCATTTGGTCTGGTAAGCGGACCACCACACGCTGTCTTGAGCATGTGGCTATGGCAGCCTGTGCGGCAACTTTGTAGCGCAATAATCCGCTAAAACGGAGCCAAGTCGAACTTCCACGATGCGTATACAACACGTTCTCGAACATCGGATATTTCGAAACAAGTGCTCGCTCTGGATAACCCCAAACGATAGTCACGTCCCAGCACAGCGCTCAGAACTTCATGCCGCTCGACCGGTTCGTTGCGTTCATTATGATACCCCCTTTTCCTTGACAACACTGTCAATTAGCCAGCGGCGCTCTTCGACAGGGGTCCCCAACACCGCCCCACTTGTGGTGGTCTAGTTAACAGTTCTGTCTGGTTCTATTCTGGTGCGTTCCTTGTAGTCCCTCTCTCATCTGTTCAAACTCCGGGCGAAAACGGTAGTGGCGTAAAGTTCACAGCGTCGCGTCATAACACACACTCGGTTTTGTGATGGAAATAACAGGAGCGCACAGAAATTATTCCCGACATTTTTCTGGGGGAGCGGAACGGCCACTGCCAGCATACACAGCACCTCCGCGATGTGATCTCGACCATGCCGTCAAGCCAACACTGCACAGTCCTCCTGCGCAGCACCAAACAGCACTTCAGCGATACTCTGTCCCAAAAGTCGCCCATTTGCGGGTGTGATGGCGCCGGCGGCCAGGGTGGGTGCTGTCGGCGCCGGCCGCGTCACCATCGACCGCATGTGCGACGAGCCGGGGCGGCGCGCCTCGCACGCATCCCCACGAGATTGCTGACACGCCGTCGAGCATCGACGCGCCGCGCCGTCATAATAGGATTTGGTACCGTATCCGACTTGCAGATTTGTCGTGATGTCGTGCCCGGAGTGCCCCGGGCGTGCCGGGGACTCCGCTGCACGGAGCAAGCGCGGCACCACGCGGCCGGCAGCCACGGTGATCTGATGTCAAAGGCACCACTGTCTCGCCCCATTTTCGCACAGGTGAGTTCGCGTTAATTCAATGCGAGGAGCAAATTGGCCCCGGACATCTACAGATCACCATGTCGACTTTGCCGCTGAAGACATGAAACCAGCCGGCGGAGCGTGAAATTCCATTTGACATTAAAAGCGCCTAAATTTGGTCGCCTGCGCGAAAACTTAATGCGGGGAGCGAGTTGCCCTCAGGCATCTCGAGATCACCGTGTCGATTTTGTCGTTGAAGAGCTCAAACCGACCGGCGGAGCGTGAGCTACCATTTGACATATAAAAGCGCTCGAATTTTGCCACCGGAGCACTCATAACACGACACACTGGAGCACACACGGATTTTTCCGGCATGACACGTGCGTCAGATTTTAGGAGCACGCCAGATGAAAGTGGACGCAAGAGCCCATGTAGAGCATTATGCGATACACAAAGCCGTTTTGTGCCAGCGGTGGATGCAGGGATATATAATTAGGCGCGCGTCTGCCAACTGCCAAGGGCAATTAGGGAATTAGACTTCGGCAATTAACCACAGCATTGCAGCAATTAATTTCACGTCTGGCTTGGGCTGTTCACTCTCTCAGCTCACTCTGCTTTGAGATGATCAAAAATGCTACGCACAACCAGACATAAGAATTATATGAATATTAAAGGATTAAAGGGCTTAGTCATAGATTACTCAGGTATGCTCTAAAAAGGGGCAGTGCAAGCTATTAAGACGTATTATTTCAGGGCAAGCAAAGCCACGGTGATTAATAACCTTGTTCATAAGGCTCGTAAAACAACATCTTCTTAGCCAGATGTAGGAATACCACAAAGATAAGGGGTTCATCTCGTTGCCCATGGAGTTCTTCTGTCAAAACGTGCTGATGCACCCGAATCAGTGCGAGATGAATGCATACCGCCCACTTGTTCATTCCCCGACGCCGCCCCTGCTACGTCTGGTTTGGCAGACGCCAAAAATACTGAAGTGCCAACTTTTACCTCCTGTCTGCGTTGCCCGACACCATAAGGGTTTGGACTATTTCGGCCTCTGACGTATTACTACTGTCGCTGTACATGGCGCCAGCGCGGTGAGAAGAGAAGAGAAGAGAAGAGAAGAGCAGAGAGGAGGAGAGAAGACAACCATAACCTTATTTCTCGCCGGCCGTACAGTGAAGAAATGTCTGTTCCAGTCGACCACAATCTAATTGCCTAATGTCGTCTATGCACAAGAATTTGGCTATTGGCGTATATAATGTCACCTGCGTGAATTTCATTACTGGAAGCAATCGATAACCTCTGTCAGTAAGATTATCTTGCTGCCTAAATCGCTCAGCATAGCTCACGCTTACAGCCGAGTACGTCAAGCAATCTTATGATTTCCGGATCTGCGTCTGGACGGTCACATACATCACACCTCACCAAGATGTGGCCGGCCAAGATGTGCGTAGAGTTACGCCACAATTCAGTCGAGCATCGGCCGGGCGTAGTGATAGAGACGCGGACAGAACGTTCGTACCGAAGAAGTGACTTCTCCTAACATGCATCACCCAAAAATATCCCTCCAGCAACCTGTGGTTGACGTAGGAAGCACTCGTCTCGACGGGTTGCGTGAAACTGGCGTCTGGGACTTGTCACGATTAAAGACGTGAGCTTTTAACGTTAGCTATCTCAAAACGCGGGACAAACAGGACAATCAGTATGATTCCCACAGAAAGACAGGCTCAACGAGTTTCACATTCTCACTATTTCAAAACAACTTATATTTAACGAATCAGCTTCCCCTTCCATATACGGCTCTGAGCTAAGCATATCGCTTAGAAGTACACAGAGTTATCGACATAAGCACGTCATAATTCAAGCCGTACTCAGGGCTATAAAGCGGCCTCCTTGCTCAGTTTCAAAGCGATTAATCTGTGCTGTATTCCGTTCAGACGTCTGGCTGCACACCATTTATCATATATGGCATTAATTGCGACGTCACGCAGTGGCTACGAAATGCGACTCACAATTATACCGCAGCATGTTTATGGCAACAGATTCTGTTCAAGCACGTGCTTGGGTAACACACTGTGTACGTAAGCGCTGCTACTGATCAGACTAGACCAAAATCCACATCTTCCTTTGCAACATCAGTCGACGTCCAGGTCACGTTGGGAGGCCAAGTAGAATTTTCGAACTGACCTCACAGAAGTCTTAAAACCCGTTAAGCCATGAAGCGGTGACTGCAGTGTTAATGGTGACGTACAGGTCATGCAAAATCAAGGTCACGCCGGGCCAGATCATCGAAATTGTCCTACACACCGCTCAAAGAATCAATATCATCATCAAAGACAATCCTAAATGTTGGATCATTCACGGTGACCGACAAGGAAGGTCGCGGAATCACCCTAGATAACCTCACACTACTACTTGAAAGTAAATGGTGGCATGCTCTGAACTGCATCGGCTTCACTATGCGGCTATATGTGAGACTACGAAGGGACGGCGAAACAGCGACTCCCACTTGGTCTGGCCCGACCCGACAGGTCGAACAAAAGGAACGCTACCAAATGTCGCGCGCACACCGCGCCGCTAATCCACCTATGTGGAACGCGGCAGGCCACAAAACGCCGGAGATTTTCAAAGGGTTAAACTCTGGCTACATTTAGACTTTTACCACGGCAGGACACCATGACCTTTTAGATTCAAATTTTGCTGTTCTGCTACTCACACATTCTTCTGTGCACTTGCTTGTAATCCTACAATCTGCAACTGCCTAGATTCCCTTCATGGTCCCACCACTAGTTACCGGAATTTGTTCGGAGGGTCTACACTCTGCCCACGTTGGGCGACAGTGCCCGCACAGGACGAGACCACCCGGCCGGTACTCCCTACGGGCCCATGGCCGACCCAAAGCACCACCGTTAGATGGTCAGTGCTGCCACAATGCTGTGTACATCGATACCAAACGAATTCTACCGTTAAAACATTTTACATGTCATATCCATATCATGCACATATCATACATACATATATACATATATATTATATATATATATATATATATATATATATATCATACATATCATATCATGCACATATGTGATGGCCAACGCGACTTCACACGCACACCTTGCTAGATTCGGCCAAATGCGACGCTATCTCATGGCGTTTCGCTCGCACATTTATGCTGCGTATCCGGTAACTGGATCGTTTTCTACGAGGGACAGATAACTCGCCTCTGGCTGCTATATGACAGCCGGCGTGACGCGTACGCGGCTATCTCCCCGACACAACGCGGATATCTCCCGCCCGGCCCGACACCGGACCCGGCGCGCTGACGTCACCGCCCCACCCCCTCCTGAGTTCAGGCCGCGCACCCCTGGCACGGAGGCCGCCGACCGTGCCTGTCGCATTCACAGTGCGCCACACGCTGGACCCGCGAGACGGCCGCTGGCAGCGAACTACGAGCCGGCAGCGAGAAACTTGCCCGCCGCACATCTGGCGCCCCATTCGAAACGAGCTGTGCGCTGGCAAACGCTTCCAACAAAACACATTATTACCTCTGACTTCAAATGCGTACCACGCCGTATGTGCGTCGGCCACGGCGGAACAGTTTCGGCCGGCGTCCGGTATAACTTCCAGCACTGAGTGCGGCGCTGACGGCGCTGCCGTACAGCCGGGGCCGCATCTGAGCAGGAGATATCCTCATCTCCGGCCTAACCGCCATACGTATCTGAACAGATCTCCTGATCTGCGGCCATTCTGCGATGTGGCCGAGGCGACTGGCAGTCGGCGCAGTGGCGCCGCGGCTTCACCGGCGCTCGACAGCGGCGGCACAGCATGGCAACGGTGACGGCACAGCACGGCGACAGCGACGGCACAGCCCGACACGACACAGCGCGGCCGGAGGCCGAGCAGCCGGACCGAGCTGAAGACGTCGCACACGCCGACGTGCGGCAGAGGCCACGGACGTAGAGGTCAGAGGAGGACACAGCGTGGAGGACACGCTGTCCCCCCGCTAGAGCCGCACTTTGCTTTGTGCAGCGTAGTATAGTAGTGCACCGCGCATAGCGTATGCCGAATGATGTACGACGTACGACGTATGGCGTACGGCATATACATCTGGCGTATGGCGTATGTGGTATGGCGTGCGGCGGACGACGTGCGACGTGCGCGGCGTGGGTTTGTGAGACTCACCTAGGCTTCTGCAGTTTGTTGGGCAGCCGCTGGTGCAGGCTGGCCAGCAGGCTGTCCTCCCCGTGCCGGATCGGCAGCTCCGCGTACTCGGCCGCCGACGCGATGATCTCCATCAGGCCGCGGATCTTCGTCTTGGCGTTGAGCGACATGGAGAACAGCTCGATGGTGGTGTAGTTGATGTAGTAGTAGGCGGCGATCATGCCCAGGTTCAGCGGCGAGCAGTCCATCTCGTCCTCCACGGTGATGCACTTGCTCTGCTCCAGGTCGGACAGCGTCTTCTCCACCACCTCTGACAGGTGATCCGACAGGTGTCGGTGTGTTACGCCCTGCACAAGAGGTCGGGACAGGTCAGGTCATCGTTTAAGTGGTCCAGCACTGTTGACATTTATACACAGAAAATGAGTTTTCTGACTATGCATGACTGAGCATATTGCTATCAAGCATTGCGTCTTAGGGTTGTTCCTTCCGTCCCTCAAATCTCACGATAACGTTTACTCACCTACGTAAACACTGTCATGCAACCACACATCACCGACCCGAACGTATAGTTTTAATCAAAAAGCCAGCATAACAATTTAGATTCAGTGGCCGCTTCGTTGCCACCGGCGAAAACTGCGCCCATTGGTGAGTGTTTCAGAGAGCAAAAATCGACGACCAGTTAAAAAAAAATGCACGGCTGCAGGCCTCACTTCTTTAGGAGTCAAACCACACGTGACCTTACTGGCATGAAAAAATGCATACATCATATATGCTAGCTTTCCACGTACTCTAAGAATTCGGCGGGACTTCACAAAACATACACAAGCTAATCGTCCACAAATAACACCAGGTCCCATCCGTAAATATGATTCAAACCTTACACTGGAACACCACAAAACGAACCTTTCAGCATGCACGTATGTGAATGTACAATGACTACAGCGTCATTCGTCTCTACAATAAGTCAGACACCCGACTTGGCGCGGCACGGGCGAGGTGATAACATAGACGAACAGTGTATTGTCGTGATATTAGTGATAACTCCCACGCCAGGGCAGTATGCGGTCAGACGACTTCCGAAACACCAATGGGTCCTATCAAGGCAATGATGAGCGAAGCTGGAATCGAAAGCCTATGGGAAACACGTTCGTTTCTCAAGGCAAAACCAACAACGCATCACCCGTTGCGTTGTTTGATTTGCAATTTACCTAAAACCCACGTTGCTGACAGAGGTGTCAAACGTGGCCAAACGAGACTCGGACTGCTCGAGTATCAACATCCTTACAAAGCCCTCCCACCACATCACAGCATCTCTACCTCTCGACGCCCGCCGTTTCTCTTCGCCCCATCTCACCGCGCCCTTTTCTCTCCAGCATCTGACTTATCCAACCAACTCATCACGCAGCAAGACAGGCGCGAGGGAAGGCACTGGCACACCGGGCGCGTTCGGACGTCAAATGATCTCGCCACATCGCCTTCAGACGTCGTTAGACTCCAATCGCGTCTATCCCAAATACATCACCAGGCCAATATGCGTGTCGAGGCAGACGGGCATGTTCAATCGCGAACAACATAGCCCAAATACATCAACAGGCCATTATGCGTATCAAGGCAGACGGGCATGTTCAATCGCGAGCAGCATAGCCCGAAAACTGGCTGTCCGCGGCCCCACAGCCGGGGTTAAGTGGCTCAGTGCATCGGCCTTAAATGTCTGTGCAATTTGTATGACTTGGTCTATATCGGCTCAGGAAGTTACATCCCAGAGCGGGTCTAAAAATGGCAATGTCTGCCTCCCGCTCGATTATGATAGCCCCATAGACTGGGCGTCGTTCTGCTGGTTATGACGTTTTAAAGTGACGCATTGGCCGACATTTTGCAGTTGATTTACCTCACTATATACGTATCACCATTTATTACATTATCATTTCAGTTTCCCAGGCTGTCGTTGTAAACGCCGCGACAGGTCGCTAATCATTAGGTGCCCCAAACCGGCGGATCAAATATTTGCGCTCAAATGCGTGGGGCCAGCTACATGCAGCAACCCGAATATGTGCCGACACAACTGTTCACTCCTTTCTGAGTTAACCCGCGCTGACCTCGTGCCAATGCGACGAGCTGTCGAACTTAAAATTTAGTTCCAAACGTGATATGTAGCTGTTTCGCACCACGTAATTTTAACTTTTCCATGCCTATTAAATGGAGGAGGTGGTGGTGAAACTTGAATCCATCCCACTGCATCATTCCTGGAAAACCTGGTCTGATGAAACAACTTGCATGAAAATAATTTCAAATTAATTCAACCCAATCCTAATGGATTGGATTATTTGATGGGGCCGTCCAAAAATTGCGCCACGTATTGAAGAGAAAGGGGGATGGGGTGTAACGAACGCAAAACAAAGGAGGAGAGGCTTTGGAAAGCATAATGATACGCCCGGGACAGGCTGCACATGATGTTACAAGATCTTAAAAAAAAAAATGAATACCTTAAATCTGGATGCCGTTGGGATCTTCTCATAACAAACGCACCCGTTATTTGTATCTCCTCTCTAGCTCAATCATGGGCCCAACAAACCACTTTTCGGACGTTATACTTTACACAGCGTAATCCGGGGGAGCGGGCGTTTCATCTAGCGTGACCAGCCCTCAAACAAGGAGATCAGGTTTGCCACAATGCTCAAAAATGCGTAGCGTCATTTATGGACGTCCCCTTTCCAGCAACTGCGCGTGGTTGCGATCATAAGTTGGGTGATATAAATCCATCAAATACCGCAACGGTCGGGCCCAGCCGGGTCTAGTCGCTCAAGCTGAAAATGTCCTCACCGCTCGGGCGGGTCTGCCAGCCTACACATCTCCGGTGGGATGTGGGCCCCACACATCACCCACCCACCCACCCTGTGCACTGACCCATCGAACCCACCGCCAGTCCCCACCGCCGCGCGCCAGGCAGGACGCTGTGCGCAGGACCAACCACGCGTCGGAAATGTCGCCAGACGCGTCCGATGGAGCGGACACCCGTCTGCTCGGAGCCGGCTCGCCGTCGGCGTCGAGGGGGGGGGGGGGGCGGCCAGCCGCACCCGTCGCGCACAACGACCGCAGCTATTCCCCACGGGCGCACAAGTCGCTCGCGATGCGGCCCGTGGGCGAGCCGGAGAAACCTCGCCAAGATCATCAGATCGCCACTGGCCATCGCTCGGAGGACGACCCTGGGCCGGGTCGCTGAGCGCAGCTCGACGCCAGGGGACCTTGGTGACCGCCGCGCGAGTCGCTGTCCGGTAATGAAGCGATCGCCGAGAGCCGGCCGGGCATTAGCCTGATTAAGCTGTGTCCGGGCCGGTCTGACGGCGACAGCAGATGCGCCGCTCCAGTCACGTGTCAACGGGCTGCACAGATCGGGTGGCGCCGTGTCGTCGGCACGTCGGCCCGGCGCGGCGGACACGTGCATGTCTTGTCGACGTTTACGTGCAAAACAAACCGTCTTTAAGGCGTGGCCAAGATGTTCTCGCGATTGGTCACAGTCAACCCAACGCGAATGATGGCGACGCAACAAAATAATGGACTTAAGTGACATGTTGCGGACACATATCACTGGGTTTCGGGATGTTTGGGGTCACCAGCAAACACAGCCCATCGCCCTCCAGAAGCTACTCGCCCACTTCAACTCTTCACGGTGGCCGCGCCGGTAGTCCGGAGCATTCGAACTCGCCACGCCGCCGCGAGGCTCGGCCAGTGAGGTGAGCGAGGACGCGTTCAAGGCAATTTTGGACGTGTTGTTCAGGCGGCCGCTGAGCACCCCGCGGCCGCTGCTCGGCGGGCGCCGGCGCCGGCGCCGCACCAACTACGCCGTCGGCGAGCGCGTCAACTCCAGACAGATCGACGAACGCACGAACGGCCACCAGGAGCGGGGCCTGCGTTTCCGTGAGCCGACCGCCCGCCGGGCCACAGCCGGGACCTGCCTGACCCGGTGCAGCCGTGCGACCACTACGAGAGTCGGCCCGTCCGTGGCAGGCCTCTGTCAGAGCGCAGGCGAAGTCCGGGTCGACACGCACCCGGCTCGCCCCGGCCATGCCAGACGATCACCGACAGACCCCGTCCTCGGAGCCGGTCCGAGCTGCCCGGCCGTCGACCCGGCAACGCACGATCAAACGGAGAGGGAACACCTCCTCACGGTGCATACTTAACAGAGGGAGACACAACGTCGGATCGATTAGGCAATGATGCAAGAAATGTCCGCAGCGCCAGCAACAGATCCCTTGGCAGCATATGGGAGAGTTCTCAACCAATCAAAGAGCGCTTTACAACCTACTCCGACCTAAGACGTCTCCTGGGGAACCCTTGACGGCAAAGACATCTCTTCGAGCCATCTCCTCAGTAGCCAATTCAATCAACTGCCAGCATGTAAAAACCAGCACGCACAGGATATAAATGGTGCTGAATGCGGCCATACCGAACACTCGGGCCGACAGGGACCACTGAATCGGAGCACTTGACAACGCATCCGGGAGTCACGTACTGGGTCCGCATCATGACGTCAGTCGCGTCGCTCCCTGGTCGTACAAGTCGGTACACGCGCATATCCCAACAAGGTGCGATGCTGGCTCAGACGCGTCTGCGACGGCGGCCGACACCGTTTGCCACTCCGACGCTGATCGGTTACGGGCGGCCCGGGCGCGGGGTGGCGCTCCCGCCCCCCCCCCCCCCATCCCTGACGGACGGACGGACGGACGGACGGACGGACGGACGGAGCGTCAGCGCCTGCGACGGCGGCCGACACCCTTCCTCACTCCGACGCTGATCGGTTACGGGTGGCCCGGGCGCGGGGCAGCGCTCCCTTCCTCCCTCCCTGACGGACGGACGGAGCGTCAGCGGATGCGACGGCGAACGTGGTGCGGACGGTTACCGGCGGGTTCCGGACGACCCTCAGCTGAGGGCCGGACGGCGGGCCCGCTCAGCGCCAAGCCCCAGCCGCGAGGCGCCCGAGCGCGCCAGCGTCCGAGGTGATACACTGGCCAGCCGGTGGCGAGGCGCGCCGACATCGCGGGGCCGCCGCCGCTGAGGCGAGTCAGTGCACGTCTCGTAATCGAACGGCACTGGGTCTGCGTGCCCAGACGCGAGACGCACTGTACGTCATGATAAGATCTCCAGGCAGACCCGTCCGGCCGAAAGGCTCGACATGAAGTCCGGCGCGCTAGTGTGCCCAGCTTAAATAACAGATTCAGTGAACATGAAACAAGCTCAGCGGAGCATTCTGGGTCCAAAGACATCGACACACGCGACTTGCAGTGTCTTTCCGTTTTAGACAACGACGGAGTCATACGTTCCGCGTCGATAAAGCTATGTCCCCGGGTCTATAACACCAATCTTGTGAACGCCAGATTCCGAGTTGACGGCCATTTTCCGGCGGATCCTCCGGCGGCTCTGATGGTGACGAACGAGAGTCATGAGAGGCCCATTCCCATCTCCGTCCCCCCGAGTAATGACACCACGAGGCCTGATCGAAGCAGCGCTCGGTGGGCCGGCCGGCCGTAAATTCGCATAAATATGAGACGGCCGCCGGCGAGGGGCGCGCGCCCCGGCATGACCGTCATCTCTAAGCAGGCACTGCCGCCCTCCCGGCGACCAACCAGCGCGAGCCGGCGCCGGCGCCGGGCGCGCGCACCTGCAGGTTGTAGTAGTTGGGGTTCTGCGCCATGCGCCGGTACAGGAACGTCCAGGTGAGGTAGTCCACGGCGTCCTGCTTGTTCTCGATGGTCTTGGTGACGATCTCGGCGTTGAAGTGGTCGTGCAGCGTGTGGTCCAGGTGGCTCTCCACCGGGATCGGTTCGTACAGGAACTTCTTGTAGAAGTCCTTGCGCGACGACTGGCAGAGCAGCACGCACTTGCTGTCGTGGTCGTCGCGTGTGCGGTTGGCCCTGCCGACCGCCTGCAGCACGTCGGTGATCGGGTAGTCCTCGTACCTGCGTCAGACGAGCCAGGCACGGGTCAGACGGGCGCCCACGGCGCGCCACGCAGCGTACAACACCGTGGCTGCCGAGCCACCGACGTCGTCGGGCTGTCAAGTAACGTCATCACGAAACGGCAACGTCATCAAGAGCGAGCCCGTTTGAAATACGTGGAGGGACCCGGCCTGACCGCATGAGCTCCTGATGGGCCCTCTTTAGGAGTAACACTCATGATATGACCCCAGCTCCACCCACTGCCCATCAGCAAGTACCGCTATCCTTCACAAGTCGTGCTGCGATATTTTCGAGGCTCTTGACCGAGCAGTTCCATCACGCGTGGTTTCATCCAGCACCGCAGTATGAACAACGAACAACCATCACCGTTCTCAGAACCGAACTGCCACATGCCCATGGCTATGGGTATGGCAAACGTACACGTTATAACTCTCAGAAAAAAAAAACTATAGAACGCCCACCGAAACCGGTCCCATCGGCAAACAGGGCGTGGCACCGTTTGATCAACAGGCACCAGCCCGACTGTGCACTATCGGGCCGGATTGTACGTCTCAGCGACAGCCGGCACACACTCGGCGTGCAGCACGGCACCAGTTTGGACCGTGTTTAGCCTCAGCTTGGGGGAGCAGGAAGGAGGGGAGATCAGATCGTACTTTGCAGGCCTTACGGTCGTTGTTCTGTAAGTGTATTATGAGTAGTGATGTTATGCGACCTTCCATAACCACTCTTTGTACAAATACCCTGAACATTACGAGACCCTTGTAAAGTCAACGACGGCCTAACAGGCGTACTTGTGGCGTCGGGTTCGAGGGAACGCATATTTTCTCGCAAACTGGTGCTCAACGTAAAATAAATCGCATGGTCCGAAGCGGGTACAATTTTGGGAAAAGATGCTCCCAAGCCAGGCTGGCGGGTGGCACATATAAATCGCATGTGACTGAATGATGCGAATCATCAATGACCAGGAAATTGAAGACTCGTCGACAGAAGTAGACCCCGCGAACGACACGCGGTGTCTACGCTAGTCACATGAGGAGGCGCATCCCTGGCGTCTAACCCTAGCGTGCAGTACATCTGCGAGCGGGACAGTTTGTCAGGAGACCGTCCGAATCACACCACACAGCTCTGGGACAAGCACGCCACAGCTACACAGAGGCCGCTATCGGCGCACAGCCAGCCACCATTTGTCACGGCACGAGAGTTCGGTCGTCTCGCGGCCGCCGGCAGCGGCGCCCTCCAAGGCCGCGGCCACCGGCGGCCCGGGCCGGCCGGCTCACGCAGCGCGTCGGCCGGCGGCTGCCCGTCACGGCCGCTTCCGGCGCCGGCTCAGCTCATCACCGGCCGTTATTACAGCTGATCGTCGGCGGCGGTCGCCGCACCGACGGGCGGCACGAACAGCCGAGGCACCGGCACCGCCCTGCCTCCCCCCCCCCCCCCCCCCCCCCCTCTTCCTCCGGTACATCGCGATGCCAGGCGCAGCGCAGCGTAACGGCGCCCTGGAGAGGAAGCCGTGTAACACGCGGACACTGGTGCCTTTGAGCGTAACTGTACAGCTGGCCAAACCGCGACTTCTGTGGAGAGCCGAAGAGTAAAAACAGGATTATCGGGACGGGAGCAGAAACTACGTAGACTAACAGCGTAGCGTACGTAACGCAAGACTAACAGCGTACGTAACGCAGACTAAGAGCGGGCCTCTGGGACCCGCCCCTCCCGTCGATAGGAGCTGAGACGAATCACCGACGCCATCACAGCAATATACGTCATCAGAGGGTGTCAATGATATAATTAACGTGATAAAGCCCTCAACACGAGCCCCGAATAAATCAGCGTTAACAAACGCCATAAGCTGACTTTATCGACACGAGCCCGAGGGCCTAACGAGTCAAAATTCCGGGGACACGGCGAAAGAGATCCGGGTGGTGAGGCGAGACAGAAGGGAGACATCTCACCGGGACATGATGATTACAGACAGTCAACGCCTTAATAAGCAACGCCTTAGCTGCTCATCATCAAAAACATCACCAGGCAATTTTACATTGCAAAACGCTATCCAAGAATGAAACCGCACTAGCATGGCTACAGAGCAATCAAAATATCCATACTATGGAAGTAAAACAATGCCAGTTATCATGATTTGAGGTAAGAAAATCCGGCTTTAAACGTGCTCTTATTTGTTGCCATATAACATTCTCACTGGAAAAACTGATAAAATTTAATTAATTTGAGAATTTCAGTTTATGCCACCATTTTGGCCTCCTCGCAGACACTCAGGTGGACCTGAGTGCTCTTTTGAGTCAAGAAGACGTAACTCTAACAATTGTACATTTTGATGTGTTTTTCAAGGGCATCAGAGAGGGTGATACTCGATGGGGAAAGAACTGCACACAAGTCAGGTTTCTGGTCTGCCTCGAAGTTCATATATGTTGGTTTGGAGTTGTTTTTATACAACCAAAATAATTCGTTAAAGGAAATGTTTCACATTTAAAGATATCAAAGCAATCATCAGACACGTTGAAACAACCTCACTTAGAACTATTGGGACAATTTCGAGTACGAAAACCTTCTCTGGACAACACAATTTCTCTGTTTCGTAAACATGCTCCTCGATACGCCGCTGTCTCATTACGTCATCGCATCTTGCACAACATTGATTGAGAGCCAATTGACGGCCGTTACACCTGGAATCGTGCTCCCAAACGCAAGATATGAACGACTAGGTCTTTATATTCTTGTCGGCCTTGATCGCCGCATGGCTTGTGAATTGGAAGGATTTGAATGACGTTAGTATGACGTGAGGTGACATTGAAAGGTGACATTGACAACATACCATTGAAATACTCCCCCCCCCCCCCCCCCCCCAGGAAATATTCGCCTCATATTTGCGCGCATGTTTCTCTGAAACTAAAGGGTCTTAATTTACGTCTTGTTTCCGCACAAATAGGCGCGGTAACAAGCGTCCCGGGATGATTTTTTAATTCATTATCGCATTTCAGGACATTGTTCGGAGCCAGCAGCCCGTGGCGCCAACTCTACCTCAGCCCGGCTCCGATCCCGTCCACGTAAACAGCGAGCGCCCAGATCCGCTCCCGCGAGCAGCAAGCGCTCCGAGCTCGTCCACGTAAGCAGGGAGCGCCCGGAGCTGCCCCGCGGGAGGGGAGCACCCCAGCCTGCCCCCGCGGGCAGCGAGCGCTCCGAGCTCGTCCACGTAAACAGGGAGCGCCCGGAGCCGCCCCGCGGGAAGGGAGCACCCCAGCCTGCCCCCGCGAGCAGCGAGTGCCGATGGGAGCGCCACTCACGAGTGGGTCTTGCCGTCGTAGTACTGCGTGTCCATGATGATGACCAGGTGGCTGAAGACGGACAGGGACCAGACGAGCGAGCGCGAGACGACAGCCACCTGCAGCGCGCCAGAGTCGAACAGCTGCTCCACCAGGTGCCGGTCGCCCACCGACAGGCCCTCGTGCAGGTACGCCACGCCCTGGGCAGACAGCACGCCCTCGTTAGGTCGTAGTGCATGACATAAGGGCAGGCGGCGCCCGGTGCCCAGCGGGCGTGGGGCCTGGGAACGTTCCGCAGACGCTGCAGGCGCGCGCCGGGAACGGTCGCTGGCTGGTCTCGTCTGCCCCTGCACACAAATAACATTATTTTTGAGTGAGGAAGTCAATTGGCCTGCGAGCTCCCTGACGTTCGTTTGATCTATTCAGCACGCATCCAACATCACAGATTATCATTACTGTTGGCGTCTGAGATGTTTTTACGTTTCTTCTTGGCACTTGTCAAATTCCTACGAGAAGGTGTGTCGCTCACAGCCAATTCAAGCCGCCAAACTTGTGAATAGTTTTCATCCGTACGGTTATTTTCACTACGCAATTCCCGCTGCGAAACTCCAGAGCACAAGTATAGTTGACATAACGCATGCGGATAAGGCAAGATAGGGTGCTTTTATTTTGTTCCGCTGATCATGTTTGCACAGCATTTCGCTCCCGCCCGGTTTCCAGCAGCCTTTTACATAAGACTGTATCACGTTCATTCCGTCTGAAGCATTCTAAATGAGTTCTATGAACACAGCGCGGGACGGCGTCCGGAGAGCCGCCGCTGCCAAAGGCTCCCCTTGCAAAGAGCACTGCTGCGACATTCGCGTCAGAAAGGAGGCAATGTCAAGGATCAATCAAATGGACATTCGATCGATAGCATTAAATTCTAAATCACCGCTGGAAACCAAATCATGTAAAATGCACACAGCAGCGTGATTTGAAGAGCAATCCAATCATATTATGTTACAATTGCACATGTGGAGCGTGCTAGATTGTCACATCACACTCGCACGCGCGCATACGCACACAAAAACACCCAGCTACGTGAACAAAACACGCGTAATTTCATCAGCTTAACAACCTTCGGAACAACACACATTCCATCTCGAAGTTGGTTTGCCTGCGCACATGTCACTTTGGTGCTGAATACATTAATTCTCGAGTCAATCACTCGCGACCATATCGGGCAGAGGTGAGGTCACACTAAGAGCGGACGCACCGGGTCGCGTCCAACCGATCCCCGGCCGATGGTGCCGCGTTTGGTATAGGCGGGAGGTGGGGAAGGGCAAGGTTTATTGATGTTGCTAGCTTCCGCTCACGAAACACAAACCTGCGTCTGTCAACTGGGTCGTACGAATTCAAGCTCTAGCCTAGCCCTAGCCCAAGCGATGCAGGGACTGCTGCAAAAGAGTAGAAAGCAGGAAGCCTTAACTTAACACATCACTTCTGACCCCTGTACCTCCCGTAGTACGCATTTGCAGATGCCACTCGCATCTTTACTCGAGTCTTCATCTCTTTCAGCTTCTACCCGCCGACATCATTTGAGCACAAACGTCCTAGTGCGTCGCCTCCCAAACCCCAGCAAACAGCCGGACGAGCACTTCAGTCGTCCGGCAACCGAGGACAAATGCACACAGTGGAGAAGAGCACACGCATTTTGTTCTTGCTGCTTGTAGGTAAGTATTCATGCATGATGAAATTGTAATGCAGCCGCTCACCTACCATCTTACCGTAACTGTCTTTCAATTTGGAAAGATTTTTTCCGCAAAACACCTTATGTCGGGGTACAATGTAGCATCCCCACTGAACCCACCTGTTAAGTGCTCGACAGATACGGATACATGTATCTGACGCTGGCTCAACAACGCCAGCCTACACCGATGCACCAACAAGGCTCTCGTTAATGTTATTAGTGGGCAAAGCTCCACTCCGACTCGCAAATCACATTGCATATGTAACGCAACGCTGCCACACAACTTGACGGCTTGATGAATCACGTTGATTATCGGGGAGATGAGAACATAACAGCTGCATGACCTCAACAGTTGCATTTCCACGGCAATCAAAATGTCCACATTTTTCCTTTCAGTTAACTATTCAACACAATCCTTCGTGATGCGATGAACTGATTAAGCAAAAACTAAACTCAGTTGATAACAACCCCGTGAATCGATCCGACATGGTCACCACTCGGCAAAATCATCGTATGTCAGAAATGATCAGGTATTAACACGCACACTTCCTAAATCTCAGCCTTGCCACTACTGGCTCTGGACTGACTGGTCGCACGCACCGGAGGAAAAAACAGCGGGTGGCCGTGTACGCTGGCCGCAATATTTGACCTATCGCTGCCAGACGGTAATGCCAAATCTGCAAAGCGCCTTCAGAGGTGGGTCAAATTCGTGGGATGGAAGGGGCAAATGCACGTCAGTAAGATCGAAGGCCACTTACAACTCAGCTCGTGCGGGGTTCTCAAATTTCTGGCCATGACAATGTGACGCGCATAGGTGTCTGGCACAAGCCGTGCATGTGTCGTGCAGCACAGCATATGCACCTACATATCTGAGGACCACCACGACCCGAGCCCAAACTTACTCCACGCCTGACTTACGCACACTCCAGTCACGCTACTCTGACCACACCCACTTGGACACTGTGTACACGGCAGTAACGGTCTCTCTGCGGGCAGCCGCAGGGAGCTCGCTGCAGCGGAGAAACATCACCCCGACAGAGCATAGGACAGATCTGCTCCACAATGCCCTGAGGTGCTTCAGCGCCCTGCGACACCGTGCCACCCAGCTGACGCGTAGCGTGTCACGCCCACACGCGCCAACACGTGCATCTCGCCGCTGGCCGACGACCCGAGGGACGGACGAACATGAACCAGTAACAAACGCGCAAAAATCCACCCACGGGCATGCTAATGCCGGGTCTGTAGTAACAACCATCCTTCACAGAAATATTCGCGACTATTGACATTCTGCGGCATATTCAATCTATGTAGCCGAGCGTCTCATTCGGAACAAGCGACCCCGATTCTTCCTCGCTACACTACTCCGGACTGGTGTAGTGATACCCTACGGCTAGCCGGAGGCCGGCTGGCGCGGCGCACAGCTGCTGCTTCCAACAGCTGTTGGTTGAAACGGCTAAAGTGTAGCTTGAGCGGCAGCCTAAACTGCAGAGCACTCAGGCACCAATCCACACGGACTGTTACGAGGTCCTCGACGGCCGACGTGGGCAGCGGCGTTGGGGGCGCCTTCCGCGGACACCAGCAAACCACTCAGACCCTGGCTGCGGAGCGCCCGGCGCAGGAGCACGCCGCCGCGCGTCCGGCGCCGACCCGGCACGTGCTGAAACCAGCCGAACTACGCGCAAACTCGCACGCCCTGGCCAGAATACACCTCCTGATAGTGAAATATGTCACATCAATACTTTCGATTAGTCCTTAGACGCATCGTGCGCGGTTATTTTGATGTGGTCGCTCGCACGCACACACGGACGTGCGTGTTTGTGTTAGAGTTCATCGCCTGCGGGAGTCGCCCTCTGCTGGGCGGCCACACGCAGGCTGGCACGCAGAGCGCCGATAACGGGAGCTTGTAGCCTGGCTAGCCGTGCGGAGGCTGGCACGCAGAGCGCCGATAACGGGAGCTCATAGCCTGGCTAGCCGTGCGGAGCCTGGCACGCAGAGCGCCGATAACGGGAGCTCATAGCCTGGCTAGCCGTGCGGAGGCTGGCACGCAGAGCGCCGATAACGGGAGCTCATAGCCTGGCTAGCCGTGCGGAGGCTGGTACGCAGAGCGCCGATAACAGGAGCTTATAGCCTGGCTAGCCGTGCGGAGCCTGGCACACAGAGCGCCGATAACAGGAGCTTATAGCCTGACTAGCCGTGCGGAGCCTGGCACACAGAGCGCCGATAACAGGAGCTCATAGCCTGGCTAGCCGTGCGGAGGCTGGCACGCAGAGCGCCGATAACAGGAGCTCATAGCCTGGCTAGCCGTGCGGAGGCTGGCACACAGAGCGCCGATAACGGGAGCTCATAGCCTGGCTAGCCGTGCGGAGGCTGGCACGCAGAGCGCCGATAACGGGAGCTCATAGCCTGGCTAGCCGTGCGGAGGCTGGCACACAGAGCGCCGATAACAGGAGCTTATAGCCTGGCTAGCCGTGCGGAGGCTGGCACGCAGAGCGCCGATAACGGGAGCTCATAGCCTGGCTAGCCGTGCGGAGGCTGGCACACAGAGCGCCGATACCGGGAGCTCATAGCCTGGCTAGCCGGGAGGAGCCTGGCACACAGAGCGCCGATAACAGGAGCTTATAGCCTGGCTAGCCGTGCGGAGGCTGGCACGCAGAGCGCCGATAACAGGAGCTTATAGCCTGGCTAGTCCTGCGGAGGCTGGCACACAGAGCACAGATAACGGGAGCTTAGCCTGGCTAGCCGTGTGAAGGCTAGCACGCAGAGCGCCGATACCGGGAACTTAGCCTGGCTGGCCGTGCGGAGGCTGGCAGGGCGGATGGGTGGTGGAGGGGCGGTGGGGCCACAGAGTCCGGCTGAGCCTGCCGGCCCACGGTCCCACCTCACGCTCCGTAAGTCGCTCGGATGGCGGCGGTTCTGCTGATGGATGCACCGAATGCATTCTGAACAGCTCTAATGCGCCGGCTCCAGGGCCCGCCATCTAATTGCTCTTCACTACCAGCTTGTGTTCTCGGAATTAAGCTGGGGGCACGCTCAAGCGTCTCCAGACAAATTTACAGACCTCGGGCTTCCATAGCTGGTTCCACTTTAAACTTCTCCCGCAAGTTTGGCAATGTCAACGTGCCGTGAAATTTTACGACACCGTTTAGGATAAAAAGTAAATTTCCAATTATCAGGCATGGACCATTTACAATTAAGCTTCGTTGTTTGCAACCGCTCGAGGCGCAGCAGTCCGTGACACAAGGTGATTAAAACTTTTGTGGCGTTAAAATATCGATTTCCTTAAATGTTTCAAGGAGGTGCATTCCCAGATACCGATTAATATTGGATTGTGGATATGCTAGCCATGTTAACTACGAAGAAGATGGGGGGGGGGGGGGGCACGGGCGAAACGGCGCGTATATGGACATCATCATAACGGCCGCCACTGTTATCGCTCTGTCTATCGCCGCTGCCGCTCTTCCCAAACAGTCAAGACATGGTAAGACCTTACGAGACGGTGCGTTTCCGCAAGTGACCTTTGATTTCTCCTGGGATGTGTGTGTCATTGGGGTTTTACAGCGCACTCAGCTGCTGAGGCTATATGGCGCCGCCTGCCTCTCATCCTGGCAGGAAGGGCGGGCACCGCGGGGAATCGAACCCCGTACCTCTGGTTTCCCAGACGCGCAGCAGTTAGCACAGACGCGCTAACCACTACACCACCGGCACCCCTTTCTCCTGGGATGTCATGACCCATATGTTAAATATACATACTTGCTAGAACTAGTCCAGATTACAGTCTGAGCCATCGTTCCAACAAACCCCTGCCCTGGATCCGTTCGTGTCACCATGCTATCAACTTCCGTAATGTCAGTGCCTTTTGCATGGAATACGTGGCCGGCATTGACTAACATCCAGCATATATCATGCCCTGCATATAGGGCGTACTCATTGAGAACGCCCCCACTAATGTCAGCACGAAAAAACAAGACCTATTCATCGTGACACGCTCCCACAAAACTGCCAACTGCATTGAAAACAACTGCACAAACTGCCAACTGGTTAGACCAACCGCCCGGTCGTCATCTGCCCCGGTCGCTGGGACCCGCCGTCAGTCTGACGTCATTACAAACACCCCAAACCAGCCTAGCATACCAGCACGCCCTCACTAATCTCAGCACAGAAAACAAACACCCATTCATCGTGATATCGCTCCTATTGCCTGTCCTCTGCATCCGACTACGATAGTCCAGTCTTTGACAAACAACTGTATAAATTACCGATGCGACATCCTGCGCGGCGCGAGACTAGGGAAGCCACCACGTAGGTGAGATCTGCCAGCCGGCAAAGCTTCGGGAATGTCAAACGCTAAGGTAAGGAGGCCAGGCACCGGAAAGGGACACCGAAAGCTTTGAACAGTGCGCTAGAAAATCTACCTTTGATATATATATATAAATCTACCTTGAGGATATAGCAGGCGGCGGTTCGCTGATGCAGAATTCGTGGACCAACGCCCCCCCCCCCCCCCAAACAAACAAAAAAATGTCTGAGCGTCAGTCTGGTCTCACTTCGTTAACTTAATCGACAAAATCGATGAACTTGCACTGACTGATAGCTTTGGCAGTGATGGCCCACGAATTATGAGAGCGCCTACGAAAGTTGGGTGGATATTGGTCACAATATAAAATGCTGCATGCGTGAATCCTCGGTTTAGACCACAGCACCTTGCATTCGAGACGAGTTACAAAAAACAAAAACAACTTGATATCCGGTCGACTGCTGACGCATCTACGGGTCGAGCAGTTTCTAGATCCGTCAGCGGGTTGGAGCCCGTACATGGTCCTACACGGCGCGGCTGGCCAAACCAGCTGTCCGGTCGACTGCTGACGCATCTACGGGTCGAGCAGTTTCTAGATCCGTCAGCGGGTTGGAGCCCGTACATGGTCCTACACGGCGCGGCTGGCCAAACCAACTGTCCGGTTTTCATCTGCTCTGGCTGCCGGGAACTGACGTCACCAGTAAACAAAGCCCCAAACTAGGTGAATCCATGGTTTGCGTGCGAGGATACGCGACTCTCTGCACATGTCGGTTTGCTTTTTTGCTGATAAGATTGGCCGTTTTTGTTTTGTTTTGTTTTTCTTATTCCCCAGACATGCTTGTCTTCTGTCGCTGTAGCGCAGAGTCGTGGAAATTTAGACTAGGGCATAGTTTCATAGGCAGAAGTATGAGCTTACGCACTAATAAACTTCGTCGTATTACTAATAGCAGGTCAATTTTTGAACTTCGTGCTTTGCACCTTTTCTTGATCTTTCGATTCTTACGCCATTGAAAAATAAGGCATGTAGGTAAGGCTGTTGTTTTTATCTTCGACGTGCGATGAACTGCCGAACTCGCCCCTGCCGCGAGCCCGCACTCGCTCTCCCTGCCCAGCACTGGCCCCGCCCCACTCTCTACACCTGCCCACTACTGCCCCCGGCCCCTGTCCGGTGCCCACCGCGCCTGACCTGCGCCACCGTCTCGCGCAGCGTCTTGTCGGCGATGCCTTCGATGAACGGCTGCACGTCCGCCTGCTCCGCGTGCAGGAAGCGCGCCGGGCGGCCGTCGCCGGCGGCGAACGTCAACAGCTCGACAGCCGTCAGTCGCGACTGCTTGCGCGACGGCACCAGCACCAGCACCGGCTTCAGCGGCGAGTACCGGCACAGCGCGTGGTACACCGGCTTTGACATGGCCAGCAGGCGCGAGCCGGCGTGGGTGATGTTGAAGCCCTGCCGGCAGACGAGGCCCGTGTCGGCGTCGGACGGCACGGAGAGACGCCGCCCAACGCCCACGCGCGCACACACGGAACGGGTGGCCAGAAGTCCGCCACGGCCCGGCCGAGGGCGACCCGGCGCCGGGATTGCATTAGCCAGACAGGGCGGGCGAGGCGGTCCAATATTGGCGGCCAGAAATGTGTCCGGCAGCTACCCAACATTCCTCCAAGAATGCAATTTCATCGCCTGAGATCGCCGCGGCGGCGGCGGCGGCGGCAGGGCTCGGTGGGCGCGGCTCCGCGCCCGGGCCGACGGCCCGGTCAGCGCGCGCGGCACCGCGCCGCCGACGCCGCCCCACCTGGATGTGCAGCTCCAGCGGCAGAGGCCGCACGTTCGGGTGGAAGTTGAAGGTGCTCTGCGGCGCGCAGCCCAGCCACTGCGCCACGTCCCGGGCGTTCGACAGCGGCGAAGAGAGCGCCACCACGCGGATCGGTTTCTCCAGCTGGGACGAGATGTACCTGGCGGTGGCGTCGACGGTCAGTTAAGGTCCGCGCGTCCGTCGCCACTCCCTGCCAGCTGGCCAGCCACCGCCTGCAGCGCATAAACGCCCACCGGGATTCGCGACAAACGACAAAGAGGCGGCCGAAAAACATGGCGCGGGTAGATGAGGCCATTTGCTTAACAAATGGGGAATAAGCGCGCATACATGAATGCTAAATTTGAATCATAAGCAGCATGCATCGAAATCGTTGAATAACGCACATCAATAGCTGAGTCGAAAATAATACGCAACCGCCGTTCCTTCTTGATAAGCGAAGAAACGAAGCCGTTGCACGATTAGTGGCAGGAACAAACCAAGCACGCGATGGGGAAAAAACGGGCGATGAAGGAACTTTAGACCAAAGGAGTTATTTTATGTTGGCGGGCGGCAGGAAAACAGCCAGCACCGGTAAGCAATGACTGAACTGGTCTGACGAAACAAGTTAGAGTTGGGCGCGTGTAACGGCATGCCGTCACGGAAGGTGTCACCGATTGTATATAAAAGCAAATTATATAAATACAAATATATATATATATATATATATATATATATATATATATATATATACATATATACGTACAAATCACTTCATTACTACAGCCTTTGTCCGCACATACTGGCTATCGCCCTGCAGCCAGCCTAACAACATTATACCGTCCCGTTGTTTCAGCGCGCGTTCACCGCTTGCTTTTGCGTATCGCTAATTAGTTTGGCTTCCAGCTAAAGCCACTACCCGCGCAATGCCGGTGGAATATATATATATATATATATATATATATATATATATATATATATATATATATAGCGTCGTCGGCGCTTACCTCATGCGGCTGCAGACGACCTCGAGCACGGGTCCCGTCTCGCCGCCGATCAGCTGCAGCTCGTCCGCGATGAACAACTGCACGGCCTGCACGTTGCGGCGCTGCTTCCAGCGGCGCGACATCACGTCCCAGCGCTCGGGCGTGGCCACCACGATGGCGCCCTTGGCCAGCATCTGTCGACCGGCGGCCCGGTGTCAGCCACGCACCGCGCGGTTGCCGGCGACGCGCCGGACGCGCCACGAGACCAGGTCTCGTGGTCGCGGGGAATGGTCTGCGTTGACGCCGAAGCTGCGGCGGCTGTTCTCGAGACGGTGGTACGACAGCGTCGCACCGAGTGCGGTCGCAACGTGTCTTTGACAATTTCTCGGCACTGCCCATCACAGAAGTCTCAGCCAATTTAAGAATTGTAAATAACACCAACCTTAAAAGCAATCCACTCAAAAACATAAAGCAATACCAGCACGCATTTTGGCCTACTAACACGGCCTCCCAGTGTCACGGGTAGACCTGACCTCGTAACCGGCCCTGCCGCCTGACCTTGAGATCGGTGCCCGTCTCGCCGGTGAGCAGCTCCACGCGCTTGCCGAGCCGTCGGCCGAACTTGTCCTTCCAGTGCGCGTACACGGCCTCGGCCAGCTGGTCCTGCGGCGTGACGTACACGCAGCGCGGCTCCGGCTGAGTGCTCAGCAGACGGAGGATGGCCAGCTCGGCGATCACCGTCTTGCCTGCGGGCGGTGCCGGGGTCACGGGTGCCCCACCCGCACGGCATGCTCAAACACGGCGCACGCGTCCGGATCTGAGATTGGCACGTCGAGAAATCACACCAGCGAGCCGGGACCTCCCACCAGCGGGCCGGAAACTCACACCAGCGGGCCGGGATCTCCCACCAGCGGGCCGGGACCTCACACCAGCGGGCCGGGACCTCACGCCAGCGGGCCGGGACCTCACACCAGCGGGCCGGGAACTCAGACCAACGCGCCGGGATTGCCATATTTACCAAATTGTTGTACCTCGCGATGTCCACATGGCCTATCCATGCCACCTGTGACAATTGAGCTCAGCTGAAACGCTGCTTCTACACAAACACTGTTGTTACTACTAAACAGCCAGCCCGAACGGCCCGGCTTTATACCTGAGGGCTGGTCTCATTCACATGCATCCCCGCATTCGTCCCTGTCACCTCCTGCGTGTGGTTTTCTTTCACAGCCGTTAATGGTTTCACGCCTGCAATGGTTACGACTCCGGCATCGAGTACATGGACCGCGATTGGCTAGCAGTCATCAAATGAGGAAGCACGCCGATTCCAACAACAAAACCAACGGCAATTCATCGCAGCAATGTCCTACTTGTACATCATCTGCATTCGCCCTCGACAATATATTATTTAGCAGCCTTTGTCAATATCTTCCCTATTCGCCGCTGGCAATCAATGATTTAACAGACAGTGCAGCTAGTCATGATTTCATTCACATGAATGCGTAATGAGGCGAAGCACCTGCACTCGGTTGTTCGAAGTGCTCTGCCAAGGCGTGCTTTCGAAAAGAAATTCATGCTGGCACATGTCCTAAAATCGAGCCTGACGTCCCCCCCCCCCCCCTCTCTGTGCAATATGGGTGCCAAAATGCTGCCGGAGTACGTCATGTTGATCATGCGGAGGTCAAAAATATCGCAATCTGGATAGAGTGGTCCGCTGAACACACGGAAAACCAGAGAAGGCCGATTTAGTCCCATCCACCCCGACTTGAAAACAAGGTCCAGCTAGAGGAATCCCCGGGCGGAGGCTGACAATCAAAGCCCGGTCGCGGCCACCGCCGGCCGCAGGGCATGTTCGGGGATCATTCGTCCCACGAGGCTGGGGACATCAGACGGTCGGGCTGCTTCAAAGCCGAGCCCCAGAAGCGAAGCAGCCCTGGGCTGCTGCGCGGTCCGCGTAAGAAGTCACAAGCGCCCCGTCTCTCGGGAACTAATTTCGCGGAGCGCCGCGGCCGCGACGTCCCAGAGGGGCTCGGCGCCGCCGGGGCCACCGTGAACGGGCTGCCCCAGATTGGCAACGCTTCAAGTGCTTCCAATGGGGCGCTGGCCGAGACGCGGCCGGGCGGGCGCTCACCAGAGCCGGTGGGCGCGCCCACAAACACGTTGTCGTCCGAGTTGTAGACCGAATTGAAGACCTGGGTCTGAATCGGGTTGAACTGCTGCAGCTGCTCCTTGTAGAGCGCCTCCAGCGCCGGGTTCCGCAGCGCGTTCACCTGCAACGTGACGACGCGCGCGTGTCACGGTCCCTGTCCTTCTCACCGAGCGGGGCGGGGGGGGGGGGGGGGCTGCTGAAGAAGTTATCACGAGGACCACGGCACGGCTTCGTGTGTCACGCGGATGGCATAGCTTTCTGCTCCGATTGCCTTCAGCTCGTTCAAGGCAACAGAAAGTCTTCACACCAAACAGAAACACTAACCGCCCTTCGTCACCTGCTCATGATGTGCAGCTCGTGTACTCACGGCATAATAAGGCGAGCTTATTCCGGGCATCAGCCCCCTGCCTTCTGATTCTGAATCGCCACCATCGTTGAGAAAAAACTGCCCTCTACATGAAGCCGACCCATGCTGCTCTGTCCGTGATTCTTATTTGTACCTGGATAAGAGATTAACATTGCGCAGGCGACTTCCGCCTTGTTTAAGGTGTACCCGGGCACCCAGGCACAAAGCTGACCGTCGGCCCAGGCGCCAACAAGGTTGGAAGTCGCCAACCGAGCCGACCTCTTCGGCTTCTCTATCGTTATTCCAGACCGGCTGCAACAGCTCCAAATGCAATCGGGGAGCTCTGCTAGCCGGGCGTTTAAGCAGAAAGAGTTCAGCGCGGGGAGATCCGGAATGGGCGGCCGCTTGCCACACCAAGCGGGTCGGACGCACGATGCGCAAGTTCATCATGCCTGGGCATGGGAACGAACATGCTCTTCGCTAGGCCGGGTCCACACCTTTCAGGCATGTATTTTCTGTAGACTGTGCGGCTAATGAACTCTTATCAATCTAGCAACGGCCAGGAAGAGTACATGCTTTCACATGAATCTCCAGAGCTCCGAAAACTCATGTTTCATGGCACACCGCGTCCAAAAAAAGCATAATTAATGCAGTGCGTTTTAGCTTTGGTTTCGTACCTAACACGCACTTTATAACATGCGTTCTCACCAGTGATTTCTCTTTCAGTAGAAGGAACTCTGTTGACCATACGAACAAATACAAATACCAGGAACGATAACACGCACAAATTGCGCGGAAACAGCTCTGCCAAAGATGCGTGGGGAACAGCGGACAGTTTCCGGTCCTGGAAACACAGCCAGCCCACGCTGGTGTGGCCTGTCGGCGGCCATGCGCATTTGGCTTGGAGGCCGCAACGCCCGAAATTGCTGTCACGTTTCCCAACGGTGCAAAAGCACATCCTTACCAAGCTGTCTGAGCGAGACGGCATTGTGTGTGCGTTTGCTTGAAGATAATCCAGATGTTACTAGGTGCGGACATCGATACAACTCACGACACTGGGGGTCCTTTTAGACCCAACACAAAGTCGGCGTACCACCGGAATTTCCGGAAATGGAAAAAAGAACAGGTCTTGGGACGACCCCGGCGTCGCGCCTGCCATTACAAGCTGACGGCGCCGCGCGCTGCATCTGGAGAATGCAACACCAGAAGAACTGGCAGACTCCCTTTACGGCAAAAGCACAATCTACCGCAATTGTCAACGCGAATTGGAAATGTACGAGAGCTCAAAGGGGGCAATCTTGACAGTCTATTTGTGGATGGTGTTGCGTACCAAAGCCAACTCGGCGAGCGAGTGAGCGAGGAAGGGGGAAAACTGCAGCGAGAGAGTGAAAGAGGGCCGGCAGCGACTGAGGGAGATGCCGGAGGGAAGGGAGGTAACGCGAGAAGGCGACCGGACGGGGAAGAGGGGGAGGACAGAAGGACAGAGAAGAGAGTGGGGGGGGGGGGGGAAACGCCGACATACGCATTAGAAATGACAGGGATGTCCATGCGCTGGCACAGGGGTGCAATCAGCCCGCAGCACCACCGACCATACGCATGGGCGCACGCATGGGCCACCCGAGATCCGCCGGTCGCCTTGGCGTTAGGTGGGGATTGCAGTCATGATTTGTTTACCGCGGCTGCGTGGTCCATCCGGTTAATGAGTGTCGCCGACGCCGGCTGCTACCCGGACTGATCGTCAGCCCGCTCACTGGCGCCGGCACAGCGGCGGCCGACACAGCGGCGGCCGAGACAGTGGCGGCCGGCGCAGTGGCGGCCGAGACAGCCAGCTGTCGGTCGCAACACGGACGTCGCCACTTGGACGGATCGGGCCTTCGGAGAATATTCCTCCAATGAAATTTTTCCTACAAAGCAATAACTTCCAGAAGCCAAAATCAATCCTTTTTAAGCCCAGCCATTTACAGTAGGCAAAATTGTGCCGCTTTTGTACATGCGGTCTTAACGCTATGAAAAAGGGCACTGCCATAAAGGAATCGAAAGATGTGATAAAGACAATGCCGGTGTCGTGTGCATGCTACGCATAGTGCTGAAGCTAGTGCACAAAACTTCAGAATTATTACAGTACAAAGAGAAAATTGCTTGCAAAAGGAAACAAACAATCCAACTAATGCGCCACAATTCTCTACGGATATGGATCAAAAACGATTTGTCAGTGCGCTAAAGCAAAGCTACGAACTGGGCTCCAGGGGAGCAGGCAGCAGGAGAGCGGGGGGAGGGGGGGGGGGGGGCAGGGCGTGCGGTATTTCCGAGGGTTAGGCGCCGGAAGCCCGTTCGCATGAGCGCGTTGGCGGGCTAATGACATGGTTAGCGGCACCGCGGGAGGGTAGGTGGTGTGTGGGACGACACGTGTGGCCAGCGTCGGCGGGCCCCATACCGGCAGCGGCTGCAGGTCGAGCAGCTCCGTGGGCGGCGGGTACTTCTCCGGCAGGATGAGGTGCCGGAACGAAACGGCCAGGTGCGTCTCGGCGCCGATCCACCGGTCCGACACCACCCTGTCAACACGGCGTACGTCACAACATCCTGTCAACACGGCGTACGTCACACCATCCTGTGAACACGGCGTGCGTCACACCACCCCGTCAACACGGCGTCCGTCACACCACCCTGACAACACGGCGTCCGTCACACCATCCTAACACGGCGTGCGTCACACCACCCTGACAACACGGCGTACGTCACACCACCCTGACAACACGGCGTCCGTCACACCACCCTGACAACACGGCGTGTGCCACGACAGCCTGTTAACACGGCGTGCGTCACACCACCTTCACGACACACGGCGTACTTCACACCACCCTGTCAACACGGCGTCCGTCACACCACCCTGTCAATACGGCGTGCGTCACACCACACTGACAACACGACGTCCGTCACACCACTCTGACAACACGGTGTGTGTCACACCACCCTGTCAACACGGCGTCCGTCACACCACCCTGTCAACACAGCGTCCGTCACACCACCCTGACAACACGGCGTCCGTCGGCAAAGAGTGGATGCATCCAAACAAGTCGAACCTGTGACCGTTTTTGGGTTTTCGTATGCTGAGTTATCACCCAGCTTAGGAACCCCTCTTTCGCCCCAGAAGGGCCTGGCTGCGTTCCTGAATTGGTCCCCCCAAGTACAATATTTGTTACGTCGCACACATTGTTGTCCGAAAACCAAATGTCCTGAGGTAAATTTGACTGCTTCACCCGCCCCACTCATCGAATCGATTCGCCTATTTAACAACTGAGAAATGCGTACGATGTGCGGAATGCAATACGGTCCTTTATGGAACGACACGCCCTTAAATAAAGGAGATTTTGTAAACTTGCAAAGGCAAACCTCCAATTGTGTCTTGTATAACATGTTGAGAATAACCTGCCTTCAGTATGCCGGGAAATACAGGTTCAGAAGCGTTACACGGTAATCAATGAATCTGCGCGTTTCCATGATTGCCTGATATCGCCAATAAACCGCCTGATATCGCCTATTGACCGGTACTTCCGTGTTATAATCAGGGCATGCTGTCATAAAGGTAACCCTTGAAACATAAAAAAGGGATTCGACCAAAGTAGGGTCCTCCCTACCGTCGTCAAAAACCTCGCACACCGTGCGACAGTGTAACAGCATCGCGGATACACTGGTTGGGATGCGTAAATATTTCACCCACGCGTCACGCGTTACGCACGCTCTGGCGTTGGCCCCCACTAATGCATCGCCAATAACAAGTAAATCACAAAGCATAATGCATTGCCAATAAGCCCAGACCGGTGGTGGGGAGTCCGCAGGGCGCGTGGGCGACCGCCAGCCGGCGGGCGTCCGGCCGCGGCCCGCCGGCCAGCATTAGCAGGCTGCGGCCACAGGACGGGGATCAATGCCGCGGTGTGTCGGCGCCGGCCGGCCGGCATGCGGTGACCGCACGACCGCTGCGCCCCGGCCGGCCGCGGCCCGGGCCGAACGACGCCGCGCAACCAGGTGTCCCATCTCACAGTGTCGCCGCCCGACGCCGGCCGCCGGCGGCACCGGGCGGCGGCCGCGCCGCGCCGAGGCCGGCGACACGGGCCGGTCCGCGGAGCCCGGAGCAGTGGCGACGCTCGTCGCTGGCCGCCGGTGGCACCGGGCGGCGGCCGCGCCGCGCCGGGGCCGGCGACACGGGCCGGTCCGCGGAGCCCGGAGCGGTGGCGACGCTCGTCGTCGGCAGCCGGACGGGCGGCGATCGCGGCGCGCCGGCCCACACTTCACCGCTCAGATTCGGAGAGGGTGCGGTACCACGCTTGCGTGGTCGAACCAAGGGATTGGTTATTGCTATTTCCCAGCTCCAGACATCCACGTGCGCATTCAGTGCTTCGGCTTTACCCTGATGCCTAACGGGCGATAGCGAGTGTTGTACGGGTGCACGACCACCACACATTGTGGCGCATTTGAAGACTTCGGACGCGGTGGAACGTAAGGTGCAAATCAACTGGCGTTCGGCTCCCAGCTCGACATCCAGTTCCGCATAATCAAGATGAGTAACGTATTGATAGCACAATTAATCCGCATCCATGGGGTTCGTTATATAACAAACCTCATTTGGCTTATGCTACCCGGCATAGGACGGCCTTTAAAAAGACCCCAAAAGGCAAAAGGTACGACTGCATAGACCACTGAATGGGACTAGAGTAAAATAAACCGAAGGTAGCCCGTTGATTTGTCGACCACCAGCACACAAATTACAACTATTTGCATGTCCTCTTCATAGTCGAGACCAGAGCATGGCTCAGCAGTTTGGTAGACCCTGTGACTTCAAAGACGCTGAACGGCCGAACTCAGGTCCAAATTTGCTCGGTCAGCAGACGAGCACCGTCGTGACGGCGCATGATCCCTTGTCACCGCACGCCACTAGCTGCAGCAGAAGACAGCAAGCCGGAGCACGGTGCTCGGCCGGCCGGAGCACGGTATTCGGCTTGCCGGAGCACGGTGCTCGGCCAACCGGAGCACGGTGTACAGCTGGCTAGAGCGGAATATTAGGCTTGCCGGAGCACTGTGTACGAATGGCCGGAGCGGGATGCTCGGCTAGTCGGAGCACGGCGTTCGCGGAGGCCCGATATAAACCGTGAGGCAGCCAGTCTGTGGCACAGCACCTCAACGGCAATTACCCGTAAGTGGATTTCCCCGGAAGCGTGGGGGTCCGCCGTTTTTTATCACATTTTTTTCACATCGCGGATCGGCCAGCGAGGCACGTTCAATAACTACCAATACGACGGCATGATCGCTCCTGGGTCAAAGAAATGAAGCTCACAAGGCCGATGAGATGGTATGGTCCAAACAGAAGTTCGCGCCGGACCATATTTGAACAATTATTGCAACGGCACACGGATGATTGCAACGACACATGCCAGTGAATTCAGAGAAATGTAATTAAACACACGCGTGTACTCCCCACCCGTCCTCATCCACAGTCAACATCCCAGCCGCTGATGCGTTCCAGCGCAGCACTAATACACGAGCGTGACTCTGCGTCGGGACATAGTACTGCTACCGTAAACGCGTTGGTTCGTCGTTGGTCTGAAATAAAGCTAACCCTTCCAATAGTAATATAACTCAAAAATTGGTTCTGTGCTGGTGGTGGTGATTTGGAGTTTTGGGGCGCGTCGGCATCGAGGCCATTTTGCGCGCTCTCGATGGTGGCTATCTACATCTGCGACGTCGCGATAAGCGTGCTGTCAGCAAATAACAGGCGGTATCACTGGTGCACTTGCACTGAGGGGTGAGTTAAAATAGTGTCAGTCAATGTGTGCTAACAATGCGAGTATATCTCTAACCACCGGTCGAGCTGTAAAACATGGTCGCCGTTTACGTTTGATGCGTACCGGACCATGAATGGCCTACCATATCGTATCAGGTTTATTCCATATGTACGGCGAACATCTCTCGTCAACTCGGCCATTCTGGAGTTGGCGCGGAATCACATGCGTTTGGCGGTTTACTTTTTAAATCCAATGCAACTGAAACAAAACTTTCGAGGTGATCTTTAAAACCGGTGTGACAGCCCGGCTGTGTCACTGCCCGGCCCGTCGCGGCATTCAGCCTGGTAAATTGGCGCATCCAGCGAGCAGATAGCCGTGTGACGGACCCCCGCCGCGCAAGACCACACATAATCAACACAGCCTCTATCCTGGTCAAGTCGGAAGGTCAAATCACGCTCTATGGGAAAAATGTTTTTCTTCCTTGGTTCTGGCCACATTTTTTTCTCAAAAATCACGGCAGGCTCTTTCAGATTAACCTTTCAAATTTCATACACCCGAGCCGTGATTTTAGTCACCCCGGACTGGTGCGGTGCCGGTGCGCCTCCTGGCGGTGGCTGTTCGAACGTTTCAGATAGCCGGCCTGCGGCGCGCGACGGGCTCAGGTCCGCCTCCAGCTACCACCGAGCCCGCTCGGCCGGTCCGAAGCCTGGGCATACGCATCAGGCGAGAAATTGGGGCTACTAAAACAGGCCGTTCACAAACTTTTTCTTAAAGAGGGCATACAGCTATATACAAAAGGCAGCTTTCTAGCCCCAGACTCAGCGAAAAAAGAACATGAAATCCTGCCCTGTTCTGCTTTGTCTTCGGCTGTAATGTCACGGACGCCGTCATAAGGGACGCACCAAGGCTGCAGCGGATTCACCTTCTTAAGCACCCATGGTGACGTCAAAACTTTGCAGAAATGTGACACCATAAATAGTTAACTGCTGACAAAAATGATGACACGAAATGGATTACGGCTTCCCTGTATGCACAAACTTCACATATTTATGTCAGGCCTGCGCGCACCTAACTCGTTCAGCACAGGTGACAGGGCGCTAGGACGTGTCATAGACCGGCCCACAAGGATGCCGCGACTTGGTGAGCAATCCCCCCCAAAAAATACCGCTCTACCGATCCTGCCATATTGCAACGTCTGGCTATAACTCAACGGGGAGAGGAATCTTCTCGCATCGAGTTGTGAGCAGTGCCGATACGAATGCCTCTCGTCTGTACGCGCCTGCGCAGGTGCCGCAATCGACGTCCCCACACCGGAGGTCACGTGACAGTGCAGCAGGCAATGCGGACCACTCTGGCAGCCCCATTCAATGATAGGAGCTGCAATTGCGCGCTGCTACGCTTGCACTTTGTCTCCTCGTGGGCGTGCCGTGACCTTTGAGCATATTGGCGGCCTCTGGAAACCTTTGCAGGCTCTGAGAACCTTTACTTAACAAGGGGAGCGGCGCCAGTTGGGCGATGGGCTAGCAGGTCGCCTGGCCAGCTGCAAAATAATGTCCGACCAAAAAAACCCTAAGGTTTCCGCATTTTGCGGACATGCGATTACGACACGCAGCCAAGGCGGCGCTCCTGCCGGTCACTGATCGGTCCTGATGGCACGCGCATCTTTGTCATGAAGATGCGCATTTTGTAAATGCCCTTTGTCAGAAGGGCATTTACCTTTGATATCATTATGACTAGGCCTGGCAGAAGCCTGGTCACCGGATATGACTAGGCCTGGATCACCAGATAATATCACGCGAGCCGTTTGTAGAGTTGGCACTCGCATAAACTCCTGTTGACTTTTAAGACGACGGAGTGCAAACGTACGCCACCATAGGTAACATGAACACACGACCCTTCTGAGAACACTGATAACGATGGCCCAAATGCAATCATGATTTAAGGGTTATTTGCGTTCATAATAATCGTCGCTGTGGACTTGTATGAGGCCTGTGGGATGGGAAGGATTTCTGGATATGCAGCATCACATCACAGTCATAAACTAGATGCCTATTTAGTTATAATTACGGTGGGTTCAAAACTCCTAATGCATCACAGCATACGTCATGGTATTTAGCAGTAACGTAGCCATAAAGCAAAGTAAGCTACAATATCTCTATCTGATTCAGAAGCCTAATTATGCAATAACAAAGCAGGGCGCGTGAACTGTGAATATTTGAACGACGCGGAACTAAGGTTAATGTCAATATGCCTACATTGAGCTACCAAAGGTGCTACAACTTTTATCTAGGGACTATCAGACTTCGCATACGTCTCGTTTGTCTCTATCAGTAAAATGGCCGTATTCCATATTGTAAACCGATGAGCATTAACACTCATAAATTACATCATGTTAGCCTAGGGTAAGGAAATGGTCATACCTTGCTTGAGCTCCCAACTCGTACGTCACACGTAAAGAATATGCGCCGATGAAATTAAGCCATGCATGACACGCGAGTTCACCAAAAAGCACGCAGTTCTCCTTGACGATGCAGTGATCAACTTAACGTCACATCGCTATCATAAGTAAACGCAAGGCTCTGAAGTGCGTTTTTAACAGGCTGGGGCTTCCAAGCGGGGTCATATTTTGCTTTTCCTGGAATGGTCAGAGAATTCCGGTTCAACAGAACAAGATGCCCAACTCTAATAAATCCCGCGCCACTGAAATAACGCTGCTCTTTAGCCTTGTCTGTATCTGTACCACTATGAACTGAAACACAATCAAAGTACCATCGCCGCTACCGCATACTCGCCAACCACAGAGCCCCATTGCTCGAGCGAAAACTTCGCCGGCTTTCGCAACTTTGAATGCCTCGCGCTCACGGCCCGGTTCGCAGTGGGATCCATCCCTTGCGCTGCGAGAAAAATAGTCCACTGTCGGCGCCCAACTTCGAGGGACGCGCTACCAGCTGTCACTCACTTGATGAAGTACTGCGGCGGCAGCGGCTCGAACACGGGCACGAAGAATTTGACGACGTGCTCATCCTGTGCGAACTTCTGCTTCAGCAAGAAGTACTCGTGGTGCAGCAGGATCTCGGCGTCCACGTCCAGCACCTGAGGCAGGCTCGGCTGGGTCACAGGCGGCTCTAACGACCGTAACTGGGGCCAGGGCCGGCTCTAACGACCGCAGCCAGGGCCAGGGCCGGCTGGGTCACAGGCGGCTCCAACGACCGCAACCGGGGTCAGAACAAAATCAAAAATGTAACACGTCACGAACTGCACACATGAGATAAGGAGACAAGCAGCCATAGCACCCCACGCGTCTGATGCCAGAAACCAGCCACGTCAGGATGGCAATCACGCTGCTCGGTCGCGCTACGTGACAGTGCCTCCGGCGGCGACCGCACGTCTCTGCGACATGGCTCACCTGGATCCAGAAGGCCTCAGCCTTGCCGTGCACCTTCTCGTCCCACTGGAAGTCTGGCGTGATGGTCAGCTCCACCTTCAGCGTCTGCCTGCGATCGCACCCGACGGGATCACTGGACGCCGCAGGCCAGGACACCGTGCAGACGGGGCGAGCACGCACGGGGGAGGGACAGCTCGGAATCAGCGGGGGGCCGAGCGACATTGGCAGAAGCGCGCAGCCTCTCAAGGACATAATCACACACGGACGACGACACACGGCCGCCGTAGCCGTCGCCGTCCGTGCGACAGCGCCCATCTGGACCCGCCGAGTGCACCCCGCGGCGCAGAGAGGCAGCCCCACGTCCCCTGTCCCATGGTGCCCGCCGCCGCCGGGCGCTGACTGCTCACCTGGTGATGGGCTGGATGTGCGTGGCCAGCTCCAGCTTGGGGAACTGGTGCACGTACTTGTGGATCAGCTTGCCCATCTTGGGCGCGCGGATCAGCTCTCCGATCTCGTTGGGGCCCAGGTCGTACAGTCTGCGGCGTAATAGGCGCGTTACACGCCGCGTGAGCGTTAGTCCTGAGGCGCTAGTCCGTCATGGCATGAGCGGACTGGCGTAATGGAAGCGACTATTTCCTGCAACGGCCGAAACCGTCTCATGCGCGCCCGCCTTATATCTTGAAGCAGTTCTGATCTCTCTGGGAGGTTACTGGGCCCGCATACTGAACGGCATTGTACATCTCGACGCATTACCCACTTGCTCTGTGCAAAAGTAGATATACCCGACACAGCACAAAGCCCTCCTCACCGCTGAGAAAAGTTCACTCACGTTGTTGGGATCATGAGACAGATCATGACGTAACTCCTCTCACGTTATTAAAATAATTCACCATTCATGACGTTGGAAATCTAGCGGAAGAAAAGCCAGCTGAGGTTGGTTGAAACTGCTTAGCATGGCCTTAGCTAGTAACCGCCAGCTTTGCGACAGTCCTGGCCGGGGGCTGCGGCTGACACGCACCTTCGGTAAACTTGAACCCATGCAAGGACAATATGATGATCATTGCGATGTATTCGGTTTGGACGCAGCTATTCACGGCACTTGTCGGGGACAAACAACGAAGTAAAATCACCAGGACTTTTGGGGCAATTTCCCAGCCTACTGGCAAGCATTTGACAACGCGACACTGTCAGTATCTAATACCACGATAACGCGGTATATACGCCGTATATATATATATATATATATATATATATATATATGCGTGTGTGTGTATACGTATGTTATCAAATTTGTATATACATTAATATAATCTTTGTGATTAAATGTCGAGAACTACAAAATCAAAGGCAACACGCAAAAATTACTGACAGAAAACCCTTGATGATGTTATGCCCTACGGGAAAAATTTTGCGCACCACTTTTCGAAAGAAAGTGGTTGGGTCTCCTCCACCACCTGCCCCCCCCCCCCCCCCCATCCCACACGCATACATAGTGTGACCCTGCCTTCGCCCATGGGTACAGATAACACGGTTGCTAAAGGCACAGCCGCTCCATAGCCGCCACTCCATTCCGCAAAACTATCTCCCACCCAGAACATACAAGACTGCTCAAGATTATGACAAACAACACACGCCCGCTACCCAGCAGAGAACAGACGACAGATTCATCCCGCCGGCAACATTCGACGGCACAAACAACAGCTCCAACTGATTCCACCAATTCGCAATCAGCGTGGTGGCGGCCGGCCGCTGCACGCCTTGCCCGTCTGCCCCGCTTGCGCCCGGGGCGCGGCCGAGAACGGGCGCCCGCCGCCGCCGCTCCGCCCGCCCGCCAGGCGCTGTTTGGCGATCGGCACGGTGGTTAGGCCGACGGAGCTTCGGAGCGGCCCTGCCGAGCGGGTAAACGGGCTGGAGAGGCCACTGATGGATCGAGCGCGACAACGTCGTGTGCGGCACCACGAGGCGCGACAGACTGATAACGACACGCCGGGCGTCAGCTGAGTGCCAGACGTAGCACGACCAGCGCGACGGCGTGTGACATCGCCAGCCAGCAACAAACCTCTCGAACGGGAAGCTCTTCTTCTCGATCTTCCTGACCACCTCCTCGGGGATCTTCTTGAACTGCCTCAGCGGCGACATCGACTGCCACATCCGCTTGTCTGCCATCTTGCACAGGCTGAGCGTCTTCTCAGCCAGCTGCGCCCAGCCCCGACTCAGAACTGCACACAAACAGGGGTCTGGCTTAGCGAGACACGGAGGTGGCAGACGCCATACCGCACGAGCAATGCGACAGCTTTTCAAAGTTAAACAACATCAAATTTGGTGCGCATTCCGAAGACACGTCTCGGCTTATTTATATATCCATTGTACTTTATCGGGTCGGTCCACAGTAAGACTGTCTCCGAACAGTCGTCAAATACACATGTACACACTCAGAAGTGCTTAGCGAAGGGACGTAGCTCAAGTGACATCATATGAAGGCTGAGCGAAAACGCTGGGTTTCAATGTCACTGACGGTCACCCATGCACCCAAGCATAGGGGATACAACCAGACACGTTGGCTACATCGTGCACATGACGTGCTAATTCTGCACCTGCGTACACCATCTTTGATCCAAAAATGGCCCAAGCTCCAAAAGCTGCCCATCAGCATTTCTGCGGCAGCTGGCCTTTACAGCAGCCGGGGCCTGGCAAATGGCGTGGAACGGTCCATTGATTCAGTGTGGAGGTCGCCGCCGCGTTTGGCCTTTCTGCATGGAAACACGGCATCGGGCGTGCCACCGGCCACAGGCGGGGCGGTAAGATGTGCACGCGATGTGCCCCCACTGCAGCGTGAGTGTTCAGAATGCGGCTGGCTTCAGCAGCACAGCGGTCAGACCGTCGTCCACACGTGTCATCCCCTCACATCACCGCAGACCAGTCTGCGCTGCATACGTCATTAGCGAAGCTTGCAAGGCTAGAAGCACGCCAAATACGTCCTGGTGGAGGGTAGACCCGGGCCTGGAGCGCGGACGTACGGCGGTGGCAGCGACACGCCCGCGACGGCGGTGCGATAGCGCATCTGAATGGCGCAAGCGGGGAGTACTGCCCCTCACAGGTCAGGTCAAAGGACAAAGTCCTGGGTACAGTGAGTCTCGCCGTCGTGGAAGACTTGCTGGTAAACTCGCTGATGAAACCACTTCAGAGGAGGGTATCTAATTGTATCTGACCACAGCTGCATCAGACGCTTAAATGGAAATCAACACAGCACAGGAAAAGGGATACATTCGCTCAGAACTGGCCGGCATGAGGACAATAAATACATTAGCGAAGCACAGAAGACATTCACAGCCGCCGCTCGGCAGCGCCGAGTCAAAGAGGACTCAATCAGCCGAGCGTAATACAAGCTCATCACATCCAGACGGCGGCAAGGAACGAAGTCAATAGAAACGGAACCTAGAGCCGTCCCAGACGCCGTCTGCGGGAGAGGCCTTACGCAAAAACTGCTTGCCATTATGTCTTGCTTAACAGATCAAAGGTTTCCACCTCGTGCGCAGACTGACGCTGACCAAACGTATCAGGGCGAGAGCCAAAGCACAGTTTAATGGCAAAGTGTCTCCCATCCGATCAAAGTCGCATTTCAGAAACTTCGGTCTTGGTCCGGTCATTCGTCTATATCAAAAACGCGTTCCGCTAGGTTTGAGTGACGTCCCATTTGCGCAGCTCAGAATGAGGTTATCACTATGCCACGCGCGTTGGATATTTAAGCTTAAGGAAAACGAAAGCATTTCAATCAGTAATTTTTTCAGCAGGCGCTACATTAACCGCACTTCTATAATCCGAGCGGGGCAGCGATCACGCGATGTAGTCCCCTCCCCCCCCCCCCCCCCACGCCTCAGCTAATCACAGAACGAAACGAGTCAACAGTGCTGTACTACTGAGCACTTACTGGACCACCGGAGTGCGTTCACACTTCTTGGTGTTAGGGCCCTCATCTACTCAGTGGAACTACCACTACCAGTACAGAACCACGTCTGCTGTCCTTTAAGCCCATATGGGTAGGTAAGTGGCATCTGTGAATGTTATTGCCAGCGAAGCTGTAAGCAAAACGAGTCTAAAGGAACCGGACCAACCGAAACAGCGCACTCTATTTTCCCGCAAGTAGCAGAAAACTGGTTCAAAAAGACATACAATTACTTACCATTACACATCACTTGCCCACGGTCATTTCCTCGTTTCCATTCGATCCGAGTGAGGGACTGTCATGGCGGGAGTAGTGACTGGGCTTATTGGTTGTAGGTAGTGGTTATTTGATATAAAGAATTGGAAGCCTTTGGAAAACCTGAATTTTGACACTTTTTTGGACGGGCAGATGGTCCATCCTCGGACTTCCGACGGGAGCTCGGACAAGAACTTCCCCAAAACGGCACCTCTGTTCTCAAGCCTCTGGTGTTTTGCGTACTCCGGCCACAAGGTCACACAGACGCGTCTCCCTACCAGCTTGTGGTCGGTGGGTACTCTCCTGGACGCTGCGGTGGAGGCGCCACTGCCCGGCCGATCAAGGGCGCGGTCCTCCGGCACGAAACGCCATCAGGCGCGGTCTATATCAGTGAAGAGGCTTGCCACGGGCGGGACGCCATCTCCGCTGTTCTGGCTTGTTTGCAATCGATCCGGTGCTGCGCCGCCGTGCCCAAACCAGCATGGACTCCGAAGGGCTGGCCGTTTACGCGTACGACAAAATCGAAGAGGCTGCGACACTCACGGTTCAGCCCGCTGTTGATGAGGTGAAGGAGTGAGCTGACACGTGGTCGATGGAGGTCAGAAAAAAAGAAGACCAAAACCACGCTTTTCATTTCGAGTGTGCACGAAACAAACAGCAAAACCAGCGTGCCCATCCGCTTAGGCGACAACGCGGTGGAGCGTCACCTTCGGCACGCGCTGATCTCCTCAAACGACAAACGGCTTGAGACCACACTGGCGAGACGGCTCAGGGCCGTCGAAGCCCTGGTCGGTACGACGTGGGGCTGTGGCTCGCCTCTCCCGGGACGCGCGCGCAGCTCACCCTGCCGGTCGCGCTGTACCGCCGCCGCCACGTACGTACAGTTCAGCGCCCATACAACCGGAGGCCAGGCCGACGTAGCTTCCGCCGTGGATGAACCATCACGGGCGCTCTGCTGACGCCACGGGAGGAGTGGCGCTCGCCGACGCAGCCATGAGAACTGCCTCCTCAGCCGAGTAGCGAGGGACGCCGCCGCGTGAAGGAGTCCTGCGCTTCCCACCGCACGGCCGAGATGTGAATCAGACCACGTCTCCGGAGCGGAGGGACTTGACGGTAGTACAGCTGGCCGCCCGGTTAGCGGCCGACGTCGGGCTGGAGCGCCTCCCACGTGAAGAGACTACATCGCCCAACAGGTACCGAGTCCCAACCATGTCGCCCCGGCCGCGCGCCGGGCGGTGCCCCACCGTGTTCGACACGTCGGCCACGGGAACACACCGCGGATCGACGCTACGGAGACCAGAAGGGCAGCGGCTGACGGCGCGATGGCAGTCGTGCCTGCGGCGGACAGCACCTGCTTCACCGACGGCTCCACCGAAAACGGACTCGGGCCGGGCGGAGGTGGTGTCATCCGTGGGGAACAACGCCGATGGACCGCCGACTGGGGCGTCCCCGCTGGCCGCACGACACGCTTACGCCGCTGGGAACAGGGAGCGCGCCCTGCAGCGGCTCGGCACGCTAGCGATACCCCAGAGGAAATCAAACCACTGGGGGTTCTGCACGCACTTCCTCTCACTCGCTGTAACCTCAGCAGCGGTGCGAGAAACGACTCAGAGGCAGAGGCGAAGATATGGTCATCCCTGACCGGCCTGAGCCGGGGCCGGGAGAACGTCAATCGTCTGGGTTACAGGCCGCGCGGCAATCGAGGGTAACGAGAGGGCGGATCAGGCGCCCAATGAAGGCCGCGTTAAACCGGGAAGCTGTAGACATCGACTCTCGCCCCGAAGTGCGTATCTGAACAACTGGTCGGACATCTATCACACAACCTGGCCGCCCGAGCTCGTCCCCTGCAGAGCGGCCAGGGGCCCACGGCCTGGAGTGTGAGGATGGCTGGTTCGGACACGAGCCAGTGGTGCCGCGTCAGCTCCATGCCAGTCACCGCTCCCTGCTTATTGTGCACCGCTGTTCCGCCGGCCGATAACCGCCTGTGTCCTAAGAGGGGGTGCTGGAGAGACTGACTACCTTTCTGTGACTGCCTGCTTCACACAGCGGCTGGGTCGGCCCTTCCTGGCCACACTTCAAGGCTGGCGGTGATGCAGGCTGACCAGGACGACGCAGTGCGCTTACTGTGGCCGACAGGCCTACGAGGGGACAACTGATCCGCGTGACAGATCCGCTCGACGATGGAAGGACACCAGAGAGAGGGACGTGTACATCGCTGTGCGGCCGCTCTCGTCCCTCTGGATCACACAGCAGAGCTGTCACCGTCCGGCGAGCGGCCACAGGCCGAGCTCAGTCCGCCAGCGAGCGGCCCACAGGCCGAGCTCAGTCCGCCGACGAGCGACGACAGACAGAGCTCAGTCCGCCGGCCAGCGGCCACAGGCCGAGCTCAGTCCGCCGGCGAGCGACGACAGACTGAGCTCAGTCCGCCGGCCAGCGGCCACAGGCCGAGCTCAGTCCGCCGGCGAGCGGCGACAGACAGAGCTCAGTCCGCCGGCCAGCGGCGACAGGCCGAGCTCAGTCCGCCGGCGAGCGGCAGCAGGCCGAGCTCAGTCCGCCAGCGAGCGACGACAGACTGAGCTCAGTCCGCCGGCGAGCGATGACAAGCCGAGCTCAGTCCGCCAGCGAGCGGCGACAGACAGAGCTCAGTCCGCCGGCCAGCGGCCACAGGCCGAGCTCAGTCCGCCGGCGACCGACGACAGACTGAGCTCAGTCCGCCAGCGAGCGGCGACAGGCCGAGCTCAGTCCGCCGGCGAGCGGCCACAGGCCGAGCCGTCACGGCGAGCGGCGACAGACAGAGATCAGTTCCGCCGGCGAGAGGCCACAGGCCGAGCTCAGTCCGCCGGCGAGCGGCCACAGGCCGAGCTGAGTCCGCCGGCGAGAGGCCACAGGCCGAGCTGAGTCCGCCGGCGAGAGGCCACAGGCCGAGCTCAGTCCGCCGGCGAGCGACGACAGACTGAGCTCAGTCCGCCAGCGAGCGGCCACAGGCCGAGCTCAGTCCGCCAGCGAGCGGCGACAGACAGAGATCAGTCCGCCGGCCAGCGGCCACAGGCCGAGCTCAGTCCGCCGGCGAGCGGCCACAGGCCGAGCTCAGTCCTACGGCGAGCGGTGACAGACAGAGATCAGTTCGCCGGCGAGAGGCCACAGGCCGAGCTCAGTCCGCCGGCGAGGGGCCACAGGCCGAGCTGAGTCCGCCGGCGAGAGGCCACAGGCCGAGCTCAGTCCGCCGGCGAGAGGCCACAGGCCGAGCTCAGTCCGCCGGCGAGAGGCCACAGGCCGAGCAGCACGGTCCGCCCGTCGCAGCCGCGCTCCGCGAGTCGGTGGCACGGCGCGCGCCCACCAGCCTGCTCACCGATCTCGTAGATGGCGCGCATGAGCCGGCCGGCCGACTGGGTGACGTAGACCATGTCGGCCATCAGCGCGAAGCCGTCCAGCTTCAGCTGCGAAATGTACGCCTGCAGCAGGATGTTGATCTTGGCGCTGGGCTCCTCGATGCTCTCCTGCGGGGGAGGCGCCTGTCATGCAGTGGTAGTGGCGCAGTGTGAGGGCAGGGCCGCGCAAAGGGCTCGCTCTCAGACAATGGCGCCGGTGTCTACGTCGTCACGTGACCGGGGAGCCTGTTGACATTACTGTTTGTTACTATGATTGGGAGGCTGTGAACCGGTCTCTGTTGTCCGAGGCGGACATGATCGGTGATCGGTGAGAGATGCCGGGGGTCCGGCTCGTCTATGGCAGGTGACGGGGACGACCGAGAAGCGGACGGCACCACCGGCACCCGAATCGCCGCCGCTGCCCGACAGAGGCAGCGCACTGCTCACCTTGATGGGCACGGGCACGCGCTCCATCAGCTTCTGCAGCTCCAGTTTCTCCTCCTCCCGGACGCCGACGTTGCGGAACTCGCCGGACAGGGAGAACACGCGGAACAGCTCGATCTCGGAGAGGCTGGGCTTCAGCAGCTGGTTGTAGGTCTGCACCGTCTGGTGCGTCAGGTAGTAGTGGCTCGCGATGCGGCCCAGCTCCGTCACCTGCCGGGGCGGGCGTGGCGGCACGCGGACGCGTCAGCGGGACCGCAGAGGTCACACACCACCGGGCCCAGCCTCTGGTCCGGGGTCGACATCGCCGACGCACCAACACCGGTGACGCCGCTAACAGGACGCCGCAGTCACATACACCACAGAGCACGTGCGTCCGGGTGCAACACAGGCCGCGCGCATAACTCATGGAAGATACCGTACACGTCAGTTTCATAACGCCGGACAACGCCACGGCCTGAGCAAAGTCGAATACGAAGATCCGTCCGGACTGGAATGCAGCCGCTGCGGCGGGGCTGCCGTCGCAGCGTGCCGCGGCGGCGCCGCCCGGCTGAAGCGGCGGCCGTGACGCGTGCCCACCTGCAGCTGGCCGGTCTTGCGCTCGTACTTGACCAGGCCGGACTTGTCGAGCGCCAGCGCCGCCGTGTGCACCAGGTCGGCGCGGCGGCCCTCCATCAGCTGGTCGGACTCCACGGAGTCGTGCTGCACGCCGTACAGCGCCGGCGAGCGCAGCATGCTGCAGGCCGGCGGTCAGGTCAGGTCAGCGCAGGTCACGGCCGGTGCCACACTCGCACGCCGGCCAGCGAACTCAACCCGGCGCGCTCGACATCGCGACACGGTCAGGGGTTGACAGACGCCACGCTGGGTCAGTGTGGATTGTCGAGTCAGTGTGAACTGCCGAGCAGCCGCCCGCCCGACAACGGCCACGAGCTGGAACGTGTCTGACGGCAGCACACCAGGGCTGGGCGCAAGCAGGCACGACTCAGATGGGCGGGAGAGTGCCGCCACTGGGTTCAAGGGTGGAACAGGTATCAATGCTGGCTGGGCGTACACACTATCGAGGGTTCATTGACCTGTTCACAGCACGTGTTCTGCTCTGGTACTCCACGCCGCCGCCGCGGGATCGTGGTCACCGTTCCCACGGCGCACTCACCGCACGTAGAGATACGTGTAGCCCAGCCAGTTGACCGCGTCGCGCACGTTTTTGACCGTGCCCAGTACAATCTCGGCGTTCAGCGTATCTGACAGCCGAGACACCATCTGTCGGCGGAGAAACACACACACACCCTCCAGAAGCCGGAAAGCTGGTCCGTGTGATGAGCGTATCGAAACAATGCTACCACGCAAGCTTCATATGACATGCTTGACATAAACGACGTGAAATGACTTCCGCATGACGTACTAGCAACTACATGGCATGTATGTAGTTGTTGTCTTGCGACAGTCATCTGTTCAAGCGATCTACATATATACACAGCCTGTAGTACTTCAACGTTAGCGCACCTCCCCACGACATCGTACCCAGTCAGGACTGGAAATCCTTCAGCGCAACGCAAAGATGGCCGACAGCAACACAACCCCAGCCAACACCTCCCGCCGGTTTGGACGCACGAGCGGGCGCGACGCGCCGACAGCACCGGGCTCCTGGGACCGGCCGCCGGCGCAGCAGCGTTGCCCCGGCGCCGCACGGGCGCGCCGGCGCCGGCCGTCCCGGACCGGGCCGCCAGCGGTGACGACACGCGCCACGCCACGCACCTGAGACTCGACAGGCAGCTGCTGGTTGAGCAGCGAGAGGTAGTACTGCAGCTCCGAGTGGTTGGTGATGAGGATGCCCTCGCCCTTGGTGTCGTACTGGGGCCGACCGGCGCGGCCCAGCATCTGTAGGGTAACGGCACCAGCACGTCACGGCTCTGCCAAAGCCGCCCCTGGAGTCGCTGGACGGCGCCACCAGCGGGCACCGGAGTACGGGTAGCACTCCAAACCGCAATGTACCAAATGCTTTAAGGACCAAGTTGACACATCTGGTCCGTGGCGCAGCAAACGCTCATGGAGTATAACTATCAGTCACCATAAAAACGACTGTCAACTCAGTTTACTAATCGCCTTCACAAGACTTATTGAACTTTGCATCAGGAACTAAACAGGCGTCCCACATCCCGCCCTGAGCGGTGCGCGGCTCGCGTCCAGTCACCGCACACCCCGCGGTGGTCGGATGCTGTCTCGTTGAGAGGAGGCGTCAGGGCTCTATGGCGGTAGCCTGACCTGCCACGGCGCCTGCCTCACCTGGAGCACGTCCAGCGCGCCCAGCTCGGTCCAGCGGCCCTTCTCCGGGTTGTACACCTGGGTGCCCTTGATGATGACCGTGTGCGCCGGCAGGTTGACGCCCCAGGCCAGCGTGGCCGTCGACACCAGCACCTGGACGAGGACGGAGACCGGGCGTACTCGCGCCGCCACGGCAGCAACGGTGGAAAAGGACGCAGAGCGTGTGTGGCGGTCGGGTTTGACGACCACTTGGCATCCCACCCTTGCTGGAATAACACGTAAACCAGCAGCAAGTACCAGCAATCGTCAGCCGAGCAGTGGCTCCTGGTCACTCCTGGTCAACCACTCATGAATACGACTGGAACCAGACATCCTGAGCACAAGGTCACCGAGCCTCTGAAGAAGCCAGAGTCGCTGTTCGTCGCGAATCGCTGCACGACGAGACGATCGCTGCGTACTGATCGCGACACATTTGCTCGGGAAATCCCCAGCCGCCGTGTGGTCCAACAGCAGCAGCTGTCCATCATGGTCCGCCCCGGACCGGGCGGGGAGCGCCGCCTGGCCGGCCGGCCGAGGCGTCCGCGCAACCCACCTGGATGTGCCGATCAGCGAACAGGTCCTCCACGAGCGTGCGGTCGACGCGCGTCATGCCGGCGTGGTGGATGGCGAAGCCGTACGGCAGCAGGTCCTTCAGCTCGATGTTCTTCACCTGCGGGGCGCGCGGGCGGAACGGGGTCACCGGACGCCGGTCACGGGATCATCGAGACTCACCGCGGCATGCATGGCAAAGACTAATGAAGGTCCCGTGAATAGCAATGCCGTTCTGGGCAAGGTCAGATGGCGTCAGAGGACGGGGCGGACCGCGCCGAGCATTGCAGCACGCTAAGCTTTCGCCACCAGTCTGATGTGGACTTGGAATTGCAAGATCGGATGGTAGAGAACAGGGCTCGCACAACAAGCACTGCTTGGTGTGAGCTCTGATTCCAGAAATCCATCCACTCAAAACGTCCGGACTAAACCTTTAAGAAGAACAGTATTCCGCGAATGAGCCGGAAGCCGCGTGGAGAACACACGGAGATCGTGGAGTTTGACAGCGATACTGGACGCACCGGCAGTTGCAGCGTCGCGTGACATGGGGGCAGCTCGGCCCGACACAGCCCGGCCCGGCGCACCACCCACCTGTTCCGCCTCTGTGCGCAACACCTCGGTGGAGGCGGAGCCCTCGCGCAGGAACTGCCCCAGCGTGTCCTTCTCAAGGCACATGTCACGCACGGCGCGCGCCGTCTTGCCCGTCTCCTTGCGCGAGTGCACGAAAATGAGCACCTGCGAGCACGGGCCAGCTCAGGTCACAGGTCACGGGTCACGTCCTCTGAGGCGGAGGCCGGCCACCTAGTGGGCAGTCGGGGCAGCACAACACCACGAGCTATTCCCCACGATTCTGTGAAGGCCACATCTGCCAGCCATATCCCATCCTCAGACATGCCATAAGCTCTCAACGCTAGGAGTCCGTTGAGTCACAGCAAGAGCACCGGCGCAGAGCATCCTGGCACGCTTCTCACGCAGCAGTGAGCCCGCTTGTGCGGCCGGAGTCTCCAGACGGCGGCGGGAGTACCTGGTTCTTGCCGGCGTGCTCCATGACCTTCTCGTAGACGATCTCGTTCATGACCTGGAAGCGTTTGATCGCCTTCTTCTCGGTGACGCCGATGTACTGTTGCTCCAGCGGCACGGGGCGGAACGAGTTGTCGAAGTAGAACAGGCCCTGCCGACGGCGGGGCCAGGCGGGGCGCGTCACGGCCGGGTTGGCGATGAGGAGGTGGAGGAGAGTGGAGAACACGCACATGCCATCCCGCAGTGAGACATTGGAAACAAGCGGTCCATGGGCGTAACAACCTTGCATACTCCGTCGGCTAGGTTACAGATGGCGCGAGCCTGCAGCGTCTAACCCCTGGGTATAGCGGCAGACTGTGGCGTCCTACATGGACAAGGTCACTAGCGACGCGTACAGGGCCGCTGGCGCCCGGCAATGACTGCCAGAGCAGACCGCGCTGACACTGGCGTTCCGGCGCGGCTCTCGAGCAGACTCAAGCGGACCGTGTGTGGACCACGACACGTGGCAAAGGCAGGTTGACGGCACGCGTAGCGTCCTCCGCCAGACACCGCATCCGAACAGGCCGCGTGTAGCCTGCCTGGGTCGGACACGAGTCTGTCCCTGCCGGACACGAGCCTGTCCGGGCTGGACGCGGGCCTGTCTGGAACGAACACGAGCCTGCCCGGGCCGGACACGAGCCTGTCCGGGCCGGAGACGAGCCTGTTCGGGCCGGACACGGGCCTGTCTGGACCGGACACGGGCCTGTCCCGGGACGGACACGAGCCTGTCCGGGGCCAAACACCAGCCTGTCCGGGCCGGACACGGGCCTGTCCCGGGACGGACACGAGCCTGTCCCGGGACGGACACGAGCCTGTATGGACCGGACACCGGCCTGTCTGAGCCGGACACGAGCCTGTCCGGGTCGGCCACGAGCCTGTCTGGGCCGGACAAGGGCCCAGTCCCAGCGCAGCTCCGCGGCATCACAGCGCTCGTCCCTCACCCCTCCCCTCCGTCCCGGCACACGTCCCCGGCGGGCCGGACCGCAGGCGGCGCTCACCGTCTCCGGCTTGACGCGCAGGAACATGGCCACGTCGTGGTAGTTGGGCAGCGTGGCGGAGAGGCCGACCAGGCGCACCTGGTCCTGCGTCAGCTCCATGTTGCGGATGGTGCGCGCCACCAGCGCCTCCAGCACCGGGCCGCGCTCGTCGTGCAGCAGGTGGATCTCGTCCTGCAGGCACGCGCGTGCGGCGGTCAGCGATGCACGGTCGCCGTGGGTCACGGTACGGCCACCGCCGATCGCGGCAGGTTCATCAAAACCTCCGACACGGTCACCGAGTGAAATGGTATAGTCACCAAGCGTCCCAGGATGGTCACCGGGGATGGCCACACAGTCACCGTATCACATGACATGGTCACCGAGGGGTCACGATTCGGTTACCGAAGGTCACGGCTTGGTCTCAAGGGTAGTCGTATACACAGTGTCATAGTAGGGCCACAAGGGATCACTCCATGGTGACCAATGGTCACGGTCAAGTCATAACACGCCATGACACGATCACCGAAGGTCACGGTATGGTAGCTGAGGGTTACGGTGAAGTCACAGAGGATTGCAGCGGAAGCACCACGAGGCACGCTGGATCACCGGTGGTCAGCGAAAGTCACGACATTGTCAACGAAGGTCTCTATATGGTCACCAAACGTCACCAGTATGATCACCAGTAGTCACGGCATGGTCACCGAAGGTCCCTATGTGGTCGCCAAACGTCACGGCACGATCACCAAACGTCACGGTATGGTCACCAAAGCTAACGGTATGGCCGCCAAAGGTCACAGCACTGTTTCCGGGGTCATAACGGTCAAGGTGAGCCGACACAGCTGATCATTTACTGATCTGAAATACCAGTCTAAGTCAGTCAGATTGCAAGCACATAAATTGTTCGTCAAACTGTGCGCACAACACGGCTGAACAACTGTCGGTCCTACACATATGTATCTGTCAGTGGTAGCCCGCTGCGCGCCGCAGACCACGCGGCCAGCGGTCGCGAGCGGACCGACGGCGCGACCGCCGGCGCCACTCACAAAGATCATGAGCCGGACGAGCTGGGTGAACGTGCGCTCGCCGCCCTTTCTGGTGATGATGTCCCACTTCTCGGGCGTGCACACGATGATCTGGGTGCTGACGATCTGGTCGCGTGACAGCTGGTGGTCGCCCGTCAGCTCGGAGACGGTGATGTTGTACGCCGCCAGGCGCTGCGGCACGCGGACACAGTCGGCTCGGTTGGCCAAGGCGGGGCGTGATAGCACGTGGTGGCGGTCGTCCGGCATCCTACGTCACATGTGCGGGTGGTTTCGGAGCACTCGGGTCATCACTGTGCTGTAAACGGAACTACAAATGACACGTGGTTGGCACCAGATGTCATTTCTCCGATTACGAGGAGAGGCCAATGGTTGAGGATTGTCCGATGATCGCTGGGTACTCCTCACGAGCTTGTGAAAAGGCTGGACAGCTCCGCTAGACCCCCGTCCTGAATTCGCTATAGCCCGCAGCGACGCTCCCCCGGAGGCCGGCGCAGCTCCGCGACCACTCACCTTGCTGAAGTTGCCGACCATCTCCTGCACGAGCGAGCGCATGGGCGCGATGTAGATGATTTTGAACTGGTCGGCGCGGATGGAGCCGTCCTCGTTGATGTGCTTGCCGATCTCGCGCATCATGGTGAGGAGGGCGACGTTGGTCTTGCCGGCGCCGGTGGGGGCGCACAGCAGCAGGTTGTCGTCCGAGTGCAGCGAGGCCTGGTACAGCCGGCTCTGGATGCGGTTCAGCGACTTGAAACCGTCGAAAGCCGGCTGGGCGTATTTAGGCAGCTCGCGGATGGGCACCAGCTGCTCGTCCGGCTCGAATGGCTTGGGCTTCAGCGCCGGCACGTGCACCTCCTCGTAGCCTTTGCGCTGTTTGCGGAATGAGCCGTCGGGCAGGTGGCACTTCTTGTTGGACATGAAGTGGCTGCCATTAGAGAAGACCAGGTCGTCCAGGTCCAGTGTCTCCCGCGGCCCGGCCACCTGCGAGGACGGCAAACGGGTCAGGTCACGGCGGAGCGGCGCGCGGACAAATACGGTCATTTGTCGTGAATACTGTACTGGCAGATGAGACTAAATGGCCAATACAGAGCTGCAGTGATGCAGCTTCACTTGCATTCGTACATCATTATCATTTGTCCACTTTGTCCTTGTCTCTGATGCCCTGTCCACCTTAGCCTTGCCTCTGACTACCTGCCCACCCCGTCCTTGTCTTTAGAAACCTGTCCACCTCGTCCTTGCTTCCGAAACCATGTCGGCAGCGTTGCCGGCTGTACCGCGTCCGCGTCCCCACCTGACTGAGCTCGCCGTCCACCTCCATGGCCTCCTGCTGCGGCTGGCGGCGGTCGGCGCCGCCGGCGGCCCGTTCCTCCCCCTGCTCTGCCGCCTCCAGCTCCTCGCGCACGGCGTTGTCTAGCAGCCGGAGGATCTTGCGCAGCTGCGGTTCGGCCTCCATGCGGTCGCGCAGCTCGCGCCGCTCCTGGTCGGACTGCGCTGATGCCAGCAAGGTGCAGTGCAGGATCATCTGGCGGTGCTTCTTTAGCGTGCGAATAAAGTCGAACGCGTCGTAGCCGAGCAGGATGACCAGCTTGTTCTCGGCCTCGCGGTCGTCCTCGGCCGACTGCAGCACCTCCATCACCTCTCGCGACTTGGCTTGCGACACGAACGGGTCCGTATAGTACCTGAAACAGCGGGCGATGGCGATGGTCGGTGGCGCCGCACCGCGCGGCGTGCCCGCTACCGGCCAGCTCGGCGACGAGAACGCCGGTAACAGCCGCCCCCCACCCCGCGCCCGCGCACACCTCAGCAGGCCTCTGGATGGCGGCGGGGAGTAACGGCCGAGATGGAGTTCGTACGAATGCAGCTGTTAGGAACACCGACTCGTCACCACGCATACTTTAAACAGAAACACTGATGAGGGCAACTGAAGAGATCGTCGGCCACCGCTTTAGATTACTGTGCTGGTAAACTGATGACGAGCGGAACAACATACGTAAGTAAACGGAGGCCTCAGTTGGCACCGACTGTCTGAGGCACAAACCAGCCGCCATTGACGTGGAGGGCTCCGGCAGGAGCAGATGACGCCTCAGTACCTGGACAGCTGCCGCTGAAGCCAGTGAGCGTCAATGTCCTGTGGATGAAGCGCCTTCTCTTTCTTCATCAGAGACTCGTCTCCTCCTTGCAACTGGAATGTGAGGCAGTATAGACGCTACCCGCCTTGAACATGCTAACGCTTAATAAAACAGATCGCCACCTGACAACTCTCTCATTACAGACGTGGTGTGCTTTAAACTAAGTGGACAGCTCCGGGCTACAACGTTCTTCGTATGACGACGCCGTCTTATAGATACTCCCTTCAGCCTACTGTCCGGGAGGGTGGTGTGATGTCATGTGGGACATCACATCACGCGCTACAAGCTGCAGCAGCTCAGCTCGGTGACGGAACCCCTCCTACCGGAAGCTGGTGCGACGCGGCCGAACTGCCGGGGGGCGGCCGGCCCGGCGACTCACGTTGGTGGCCGAGATGGCCGTGTTGGCCTTGGACTCCTCGCCCTCCTCGTCGTCGTCGTCTTCCCGCACCTCTCCGTACACGTCCTCGTTGTCACCCTCGTCCTCGGACTCCTCAAACTGGACGTTGACGCCGTACGTGTCGTCCAGCTGGTCGGCTGCCGGCACACGGCGACAGAACACGTCACCGTTCACGCCCAACAGCCGTGCACGACCACGTCCTGCGTCATTTCGCACACCAGCGCACCACAGAAGTGGCGGCCAATTACGATAAGAATGCGGACACCGCAAACAAAGCAACGCGTGACCGTCGCGCATTGGCGGTGGCTACCGAACCACCAGTCTGAAGCCACACCTGCGACGCGGTCCGCCACGGACATCAGCGCACTGAGCGCAACTCACTGCAGGGGCCGGCCTACCTGCGGCGGTGGACTTGACCTCGGTGCCGAAGTCGGTGATCTTCTTGCCGAGGTTGACCAGCAGAGCAAACCGCTCCTCGGCCAGCGGGCCCAGCAGGCCCTCGGTTTCCTTCTTCCGCTCCTTGTCCTTCATGCGATCGTTCTTGAGCACTGTCAGCACCTCGTCGGCGGCGCCGCACTAGCACATCTCGGGGCTGCCGGAGCGCGGCCCTCGGCTCAGCACACGGCCACAGACTGGGGCGCCCACACGGCCACAGACTGGGGCGCCCACACGACCACAGACTGGGGCGCCCACACGGCCACAGACTGGGGCGCCCACACGGCCACAGTCTGGGGCGCCCACACGGCCAAAGATTAGGACGTTCACACGGCCACAGAATGGGGCGCCAACACGGCCAAAAACTGGATCACTAACGTCACCACAGGACATGGACATGCAACAGGCCAGTCGCCGAGCACTGTTACCTGGGGCGACGGCCACGCCGTCAGAGCTGTAAACTGGTGCCAGAATTGCATAGACGTTGAGCTGTCATCCTTTGAGAGACAATTTTATTTTGCCCCCTCATTGGCCAGATTCACAAAAACATTTACTCAATGAATGCTGATTAAACCACTCCGGCTTTGCTAGCTTTGACACTTTTGGTTATCCCATGGCGGGGGGTGGGGGTGTGAACTACGAACCTCTCTCTGCCGTTAAACACCTAATGCGCTAGAAAACAAAAAACGAGGACGACATCACTTTAAGTGGTTTAAATGGCTGCCCAGTTTCTCTCGTTTTGTCCAAGGTTTGGTTATGCTCAAATTTGACCATTTCATAGCGGCTTTCATGGTAGAGTTGTCAAGTTATGGCAAATGGAGCCAAACCAACTCTCCACAATCTTGATGCATTAGCCAGATCCACACAGCAAGCAGAGCCTGTGTCAAAGGCCCCAACAGCCATCCACGCACACCCACTTCTCTTCTTCTCTCCCCCCCCCCCCCCCCCATGCCGACAACACGGGTCATCACCACAGGCCAAGGTGGCACCGCAACACATGACGTCACATGATCCGGGGCGTCCACGGGGCAGGCCGACCGTTCAGTGCGTCCGTCCGCAGAGTCATGGCGATGCAGACCAAAGCAACCTGACATTTGCCCACGAAGGCGTCATATGAGCCTGCCTGGAGTGATATTCAAATGTCTGATGCACTCTGATGTCTCATGGACACTATGAATCTCATCTAAAAACTGCCAAGCTAAAAACGGGGTGTGTACCTGATCGCCAATGGCCTCCTGGATGAAGCTGAGCAGCACCTCGTAGGTGTGGCGCGTCTCCTGTGTCTTGGGCCGGTAGTAAATGCCCACCATCTCCTCCACACCCTCTGACAGCAGTGTGGTGCCGCGCATCTTGGTAAAGTCGTGCTGTGCCTCATCGCGCTTCTGACGCCTGCACAGCACAAAATCAGCACAAATCAGTCACTGCCCCACTGCAGCAAGGGCACTCCTCCCTCTAAAAATGCATGTGACACATCAGCTGCCAACTCTTTGAACAGCAAGTAAACTGCAAAGCACTTAAAAACTCAATTTCCATTTCATGTACGATAACACTGACTTATGAATAAATCCCAATCATTTACAGCCTCAAATATAACAACATGCTTAGGGTGAAATTGCATATTACTACTTGGACCCCTCCACCAAAAAATAGAAACTGAACACTATGATGACATGACACGTCCTACTACAATTTGATTCTGATAAGCTACAGCGGTCCCAAATGAGACAGCTGTGTGGGGCAGCAGGTGCCCTCCAAAATACCTCTTTAAGGTATACACCACTCTGCATGCTGATGCTGGGTACACACATGGCATGAGGACACATGATCATTCTGACTGCCCTCTCACACTCTCCTGACCACGTGTGATTCTCTCACTTGACTTTGCGTTCATCTGTCTTCTGTGGCTTGTTCTTTTGAGCTCTGTCACCCATGCGGGTGCCCTCCAGCTTTCCAACTAGGGAGACAACCTCACCGGTGGCCTCATCTCGACCTCGTCGCTCCACCAAACGCAAGTCAGTTTGCAGGACAAGGTTGGAATTCTGGAAAAAATGTGAAGCATGTCATCAGTTTAAATTTGTCTTAATATTCAACAAATAGCAGTTCACAAAGCATGTCCAGATTTTTGGCTACCAACCAGATGTAGACTGCATTATGCAGATATTTGCAGGTGGATGATATTGTTCATCATACAGACACTAAAAATGCATATCTCATCAGGCATGAAAAAATTAAAAGAACAAAACTTCTAAATTTTCAGCTCTAAATTCCAGCCTCCAAAGCGCTCAGAGCTTTAAGGTCCTCAGTGCCTTAAGGGCCTTGTTGATCTAAAATCCTTAACTCGCAGAGCTTTAAGCTAATCCATGTTCTAAACAACAGAAAGGTTTAGAGTTCAGCATCATGCTTCCCACAAAATCTCCTTGCAGTGACTGAAGAATATTCAGCATGATTTTCATGTAAATTTGTAGTGTTTTTTATGGTTGATGAGAAGGGAATGCTCCATATTTTGAGCACACGTGAAATACCATGATGCCTAAGCAGCTGAGTGTGTTATAAAGCCCCAATGATGATGGACACACACTAAGCTACCAATATCAGGGTAATGTAAACATCATTTAAACTGTTGTGAGCTCCTTGCATTTGCGCAAAATGCCACATCCATTAAAGCACTTCTCAACCCAAACACCCTTGGATCTGGGACAAATTCCTATTACTGCATGCATCCCATAAATTTTGACATGCTTGCGAGCACTTCAAACACATGTAAAGGAAGATCAAAACAAAATGTCTGACAAATAACAAGTTATTCCCCTATATAGCACAGTCACTTGTCATATATGACATCATTATTTGTTAGATGTAAGAATAGCCATTGAGTGTGGTTAATTTCACATCTCACAAATGACCACACTCAATGACTGTAGACCTATATCTTTACGGCAAAATAAGAGAAGGTGCTTTTGATACCACAGTATGCAAGCAGACTTACCGCCTTGTACTCATACTGAAGAGAGCGAGCAGTAGCATCAGCCATTTTTCTTTGTGTGGTCCGCTCTTATTCCACACAAAGCCAAAATACTTTTCAATTCAGATACCGCTATTCGTCTTCATACAGAACGCCAACAGCCCGCTATGTACTAAATGGTGAAAAGATTCACCGGGCACTCTTGAGACCTGAAACAACGCATTCCCAGTGATTGCTCGTGCGCATCCAGACATTGTATGCAATAATACTATGTGGGAACCCAGAAGACACATGCCCATACAAGCCGCTTCACCGATCATCGCCTTTATGGTACCCTAAACACCAACCAGCGCCGTCCCAGCAACGCTGCGAGCTTTTGTAAAACTGTTGTTGTTGTTGTTGGTTAAGGGCGCATAGCCTCTTGGGCTCAGGCGTCCATCGTTGAAGTGTTGTCTTGCAAGTTTGGTAGCACAGGTGGTAACTAAGCGCGACAGAGGATAGAAGGAATGTGTCGCGCTGGTCAGGAATTTTCGTGCAGGATAGTGGTGTAGCAAGGAGGTGCAGTAAACGGTGTTAGTTTCTAGAAAACTCGGTGTTAAATGTTCAGATACATAAACTGATTAGTGAACTAAAACAAGAGAACAAAAAGTCCGGTTTTTTTTTTTTGCCAGGCTCTTTTTTATCATTTTCTTTTAACCGCAGCTTCCCCACATGATAGACGTTGCAGGTTAGTCATCAGTCAGTCGGCAGTCACAACATTGTCGTTTAACAAAGCATTTACCAGATGGAAATTTCACATATCTGCCATGCCGTGTACTCTAACGCATGCACGCACATTCATCTGTCTTCACCATGCTCGTTCAAACCTCATTCATGTTATCTCCTCTGCTTACGCACACACCCACGTATCACACATATACACATATTTGCTACACATAATTCCTATACCACTTCCTTGCTTATCACATTTCTCAAGCATCCAGTCAGACATCGTACGCAGATATGCACGCAAGCTTAAATTATACATAGAATAAACAACTCATTTCAAACAATTACAATATAGTATAAACAGCATGGCAGCAATCAATGACAGCAAAGCAAAAATTGCACTTGTCCCGCACGCAAAGGCAGCACTTCACAATTGTTTCAGTAGGTCGCAGTGTCGCAAATATTTCATCACTCCATCAATGATGTCCGGGAATTGATTTCCTACCAGCGACCTCACACAAAATTGTGTTCCGGACCGTTGACATAGTGTTACCAATGATCGTCTTTCGTGAAAATATACGGGGCATTCAAGAAGAATGTGATACACTGTTAATGGACACTGACATCGTTCACATTCAGGTTGGAGGTTTCTATCTATCATGTATGCGTGGGTATAGCGAGTATGCCCAAGTCTCAGCCGGCACAGCACTATCTCTTCGCGTCGGACTGCTCGCTTACAGGAGACCCAGTCTCCTACCTCTTCTTTGATGCGTTTTAAATTAGTCCTAGGGTTGTAATCTGTCCAATATTTGTTGAATAATTCACGAATACTTCGACGCACTTTAGGAAAATAATCTTTAGGACCCATTTGAAAATTACACACGTCATTCAATCTTATAGCCATCTTTGCTTGTGCATCCGCTGTCTCGTTTCCACGTATATTACTATGGCTTGGGATCCAGAGGACAATGATTATACTGCCCATTTCAATAAGCTGACTGACCGTCTCTAGTAAATGGATCACGATCGGGTTTTCAGAAGTCGGATTTCCCAGGGCTGTTATAATGGACAAGGAGTCTGTGCATATAACACATTTGAGGATGCGATTTGTATGTGTATAATTCAGAGCCTGTAATACTGCGAATCCTTCAGCTATAAATATCGAACAAAGTTCAGGAAGTTTAAATTTTTGACGTCTTTCACCGTGGACAAAAGCACATCCAACTCCGTCTGCACTTTTTGCTCCATCGGTAAATATGAACTCGTATTCTGTATACCTGCTTCTCAAATCATTAAACTCACATTGAATTTGCACTTCATCTAGCGTTCTCTTGCTCCTGTTAGTCAACTTTATCAACGTACATTTACGTAATCTCCATGGCGGAACGACGCTGCGTTTTAAGGTCACCTCTTCTGGGAAATCGAATCCTGTTTCATGGCACATATCAAGTATTCTCTCATATAGCGGGAAACCAGAAATCCTTTTCATATATCCAGTCTCTACCTCATGTAACGCAGCCTCATTGGCCATAAGTTTTCTGCATGGATGATCCTCTCGACTTAGTATCTTCAGGGAATAACGGAGAGACAAGTCGCATCTCCTCAGTCTCAAGGGAAGTATGTCTGCTTCAACCATCAATGGTAAAATGGGCGAAGTTCTAAAGGCTCCAGTAGCAATTCTAATGCATTCATTTTGAATAACATCAATCATTTCCACTGCCTTGTTACGGGGACCATCAAAAACTTGGCATGCGTACTCTAATATCGGTCTTATCATGGCTTTGTATATTCTCAATAGTGTAGAACGATCTGCGCCACAGCCTTTTCCAGATAAACATTTTAATATTGATATCCTTTTGACAGCCTTTGTTTTAATGTACTGCATCATCGTGTTTAAGTTCAGCCTAGAGTCCAGCATCACTCCCAAAAACTTGACGGTGTCGGTGTATGTTAACGGCTGGTTATATATATGTAAGTTAGGTATGTTCGTCATCTCTCTTGCCTTCATATACCTTCGAAATACAATTGCGTTGCATTTGTGAGGTGAGAAAAGGAAACCCCACCGATCAGCCCATGCACTCACATGGTTCAACGCCCCCTGCATTTTATTAACTAGATGAAAAATTCTCCTTCCCTGCACCCATAGAGAGCAATCGTCAGCGTACAGCGCTCGGGACACTTCACTCGGGACATTTCCACACACGTCATCAATCATGATGTTAAACAATATCGGGGATATAACTCCTCCTTGGACTAAGCCGTTTTCCTGTTCGAACGTATCCGATAATGTTCCATTGCGCACCTGGAAGGTTCTGTTATCAAGGTACGATCTAACGAAATACATAAGGCGTCCTCTAAAACCCATATTAAACATTTTTGTGAGCAAAGCAACTTTAGACGTGAGATTATATGCATTTTTAAGGTCCAAAAAAACAGCCAAGGTATATTTGTTGTAGAAAAAACCTTTTCTAATCTCGGACTCCAGCCTGACTACATGGTCTGTGGTACTTCTTCCATTCCTAAATGCACACTGATATTTAGACAACATATTGTTCCGCTCAAGAAACCAGGATAACCGTCTGGCGACCATTCGTTCCATTATTTTGCTAAAACATGAAGTTAGCTGAATTGGTCTATATGACTCAGGGTTTTCCCTAGGTTTGCCTGGTTTCAAAATAGGAACAATAATCGAGTGTCTCCATTCATCAGGGATATCACCTCCACACCATATGCAGTTCATCATTTCCAAAATTGAATGCAATTGTTCATCAGGTAGGTGTCTAAAAAACGCGTAATGTATCTCATCCGGTCCAATGGATGTATTGCCGCATTTAGCAATAGACATTTGTAGCTCAGTCATCGTGAATACATCATTATAAACCTCCTCATTGTCAGAAATAAATGACGGCATTTGATCCATCATCTGCCATTCCAGCTCTCTAAAAGTGGCTCGGTAGTTCCGAGAGGACGACATGTCAGAAAACAACCGTCCGAAGATATTTCCAACTTCAGTTGGGTCGTCAATTATGTTACCAGCCACCTTCAGAACAGGTAAGGGTCTCGCAAATCGCTCCTTTCTGGTAAATTTCCTAATGATGTCCCATAAGTGTTGTATCGGCGTATTCACATTGAACATATGCAATAGTTTTTCCCACGAATCTTTCTTTGCCGTACGAATTATCCTTCTGGCTTTCGCCTTCGCCTCCTTATAAGCCAATAAATGCAGATGTGTGTGCGAACGTCGGAATCGATTGAGCGCCCGTTTCCTTGCCCGAATTGCCTCCTTGCACTCGTCAGTCCACCAGGGGCAGCTATATTTGGTGTTTCTGATTTTCCGAGGAATACTTTCTTTTGCTGCTCCCAGCATAACCTTCGTAATGTTTTGGTAGTTTTGCATACCGTCCCTTTCATTGAATCGCAAACAACATCTGTCAGTAAATTCAGACCAGTTCGCCTTGTTAATATTCCAACCAGTAAATTCGTCACGTCGTGGTGGAATATCTCCATACCTATCATATGTAATATAAACTGGGAGATGATCACTGGAGTGTAAGTCAGTGTCCGTTTGCCAATGCATGAATTGTCCCACACTGCTTGACGTCACAGTCAGGTCGATATGTGACCATAATCCTGTGTACTCGTCCATTCTGGTTGGGGAACCATCGTTCATCACTTTTAAGGCATGTTGCCGTATTATCATTTCCCACACCTTTCCACGAGAATCGCACCGGTCTGCACCCCATAAGAAATGCCGACTATTGGCGTCCGTGTTTATGATATACGGCTGCGGTAGCTGTGTAACCAAGTCGTTCAGTTCAAGGTACGTCAAATTCTCGTTTGGTGGTAAGTATAAAGAACAAACACAAATACGAGAATGCCCCATTGTCACCGAACATGCCACCGCCTGAAAATTAGTATTTAGTGTGACCTGAAAATGAGGTAGGTCGTTGCTGACGTAGATTGATGCTCCGCCTCGTCTAATATGTGCGTCAGAATAAGCGTTATAAAGAGTATATCCGGGAATTCTGAAATCATATTGGTCAGTAGGGAGGAAGTGTGTCTCTTGGAGACATACGGCACTATGTGGTCTTGCCAGCAGCAGTGGTTTTATCTCCGCCCACTTTGAAATCACACCTCTACAGTTCCACTGCATAATGCTGAAAGTCATTTTATTGTTGCCTTAGACTGCAGACTCCGTCCAGTCAAGCACACACGCCGACAACAGTTCGACATTTATTGAACTTTTAAACTTGAACATCAGAAAATCACGCGAGTAGCCTGTACCGCGTACCATATCCCCACACACAAACATACAACCAATGCGCAGCCCGAACGCCGAAATCCAACAAAGGACCGCCACCAAAAACATGAAAAAATCAGATAAATAAATTAATAAATATGCCAAACATCGGTATGTACTACTTGTCCTGTAACTGCGAACAAAACATATCAGTACATACACATTTCCCTTTCCCTTATTCCCCTCCCCAGCCAGCCCCAACCCCGCGGTCGGAACCAGGCGCGCTCCGGCCGGTCGAGTGGAAATAGCGCCTGTACCATTGCCCCCGGCAAGGATCACCCCGCACCCTCCGAAGGGTGACCTCCACGAGACAAACAACCTCAGCTCGTCCACCCCCTGACCCGAATTAGGTATCGCACCTGGATGTTTAACCTTACCTCCGAGAACCAAGTGGGCTGGGACTAGCCCAACCGGGCGACCTCTGCTCAAACCGAAAACGCAGCTGCCTCCGGAAAACACCATGAACTCGTTATTTAAGTCTCCCTCAACTTTGCAAACCATTTCGCATAACAATCCCGGCATTAAGGGTCCTAAAATAACTATGAAAACAAACACCACCGACCTCTGCATGCCCTCCGCACGAGAACAGTTACGTGGAGAACGTCTGAATTTGCTGGCCTATTCATTCAAATATTCAACATACCTGTCAACCAATCACCAACAAACTATTCAGCTATTAACAAAGAAGAAAGAAACGTGGTTCACTCCATTTCAATACTAGTTAGTCTTCCTTCCATGACCTCCTTTGGCTGGAGTTTCTCTTCGGCCTCTCCGTAGATCTCCTGCTCGGCTAATCATTGGTGATGGGGGTAGTGTCATTAGGTACCTCAGATATGTTACATTGTTGTTTGTCCTTTTTCTTTGCCCTACATGCTCTCTGCCAACCCTCCATCTCCTCATTATGCTCCACAGTCATATGATTCATCTCCCTGTCCACTCTTTCACTTTCTACATCATCTCTCTGCATCACTTGAACCTCTCCATCATTCCTCCTCTCATAGGTTTCCTGCTCATCTTTTTGAGTGTCCTTCTGTCCCTCTGCTATAACATCCACCTCAACTTCCTCATCCTGTCTACCTACAGGTCTGGTACTGTCATCCCTCCCCTGGTATCCCCTGGGCACCTTGTTTCATCAGCAGTTGCTGAAGCAGAGCAATCATCTCACCCACCTTTTCTTCCAGTTTTCCTACTTTTTCCCTGAGGTCATCATGCTGCTTGTTAGTGGGAGCCACACTTGGGTGCCGGACAGTTGCAGCATATGACTTCAGGACAGGGGGGTCATGCTCTTTTTCATATTGCCTTCTAGCCTGAGGGTATGAGAGTTCTTGTTCAGTTTTAATCTTACATATCTCCTTTTCTTTTTTCCATATTTCACACTCTCTGGCCATGCATGAGTGTCCTGACTGTTTGCAGTTCACACACCAGCGCTCACATTCCCCTTCATGCTTTCCTTTCCCACAACGAAGGCATAGAGGATCACCAGGGCATCTTGTTTCAGTGTGGCCAAATCTGCCACAACCAAAACATATCAGTGGGTTGGGGATATATTGGTGGACATGGTATGTGATGTAATCTAGCTCCATTTTGGCTGGGCATGAGGACCTGTCAAATGTCAAAAGTATGGTTGGGGTATTCTCCGTCTTTCCATCCACCCTCTTGGTGAATCTCCGAGCACCCACTACCCCAAATTCACCCAGCCATCCAACAATCTCGGTCTCGGACAAATCTACAAGGTCATATGCAATGATGGTTCCCCTGGATGTGTTCATTCTTTGTTCCCGAACAACCTCACACTCCTCATTCCCAAACTTTTTGTTTTTCATGAACTTTTCAGTCTGTCCATGATTTTTGGTTTTTATCAGAAGGCTGCCTGCAGCCAGAAGATTCGCCTTTTCAACCTTCTCAGAGCCTCCCAGAACTCCTCTCACGCACATCTGGATCCATGGCCAACCTTTGGACTTGAATGATTTCCCTGAGTTGAGTGTTATTTTCAGGTATGAGCCTGAGGATTCCCCCCCTACCTGAGAAAAAGAAAAGTTCATCTGTACGCACTCGCTTACCGGGTCGGCTCGGCCCAGTCATCTTCACTTCACTCCATCACCACCAAGAAGAAAGAACATTACACTGAGATTCACCCGAAGTCTTGAAACAGGAAAGAATTCAGAAGTAAATTAAATGTGACCCCACAGAACTCGCTTCCACCGTTCGTATGGCCTGTCAAAAATGCTCTACACTTATCCAGACACCAACACGCGCCACCCCAGACGGCCGGAACGTGTTGGCTTCAGCAGTACTCGAACGCGAATGAAATTTTTTTGTAAAACGTTTCCGCCGTTCCGAGCAATTTCGCAGCTCTTCTGGACTGGCACTAATTAACTGAGTAAGCCTGCCCATTATCCCATGCTCCGAAACTAAGCAATTGATGATCACAAAACCTGTTCCATTCGACGTGCTGTCTTTTAAATATTAGCTGCAATAGGTACAAATTATCTTGAATCGGGCAGAGATTACCCAAAATTATCTAAGCATACAAATCAACTGAAAAGATCGCATACTCTAAGGTAACGAAACTGAAAACCTGTCGCCACCAAACCTTAGCCATCCGATACTCTGGTAAAATTTTGCTCTTTTCAGACGGTTAAAATCTTGGTTCGGTAAAAACACCTCAAACGTAATTTTTTTCTGAATCGACTTCAGGGTGCAGTACCCGTTCCTAAGCGACCGTTCGTCACCCAACATAAACTAGGAGCATGGGATCGTCCACCGTCCATTTTAGTAATTTGGGTATTCTTTGTTGGCTTTCACTCAGTCTATGGTGATCATTCTCTTGAATGGGACACTTTATCTGCTGCAACAATCCAATAATCGGGTTTGGTGGCAATTTGTTGCACAGAATTGGAGCATGGAGCCGTCAGCCAGCTTAGGCCGTCAATTAGGAAAGGTTGCCCGATGAGCTCCGTTGTCACGTGGTATTCGTAGACTGCTCTTACAGTGTGCAATTTTTCTTAAGAAAAACGCTATAAATATATGGAAAATATATTTTAAACTTGTTTTATACAAGAAAAGCTACATTGTAGCGAAACATGAGATCAGTAGCATGCATTAGCTGGTCAATAGGCATGTGTTAGATGACACGGAGATATTTGTAGCACCTGCGCTAAAACCCCATCAAAACCCTATTTTTGTCGTGCATAGCGGAATCGGTCGCACGTGGGACGCGCTGAAGCGCTGTTGGCGGTGCCCGTATGCTCGTGGTTTGGGCATTGCGTACGGCGTGGGAGTGGTGTCGCGGATGCTTGGTGTGCTTTGGTTGCCTAGAAGAGAACAGTGCTCAAGCATCCCGCGTCAAGGAGCATTGCGGTCGTTATTCTTGACTACATTGGCATGAAGGGATAAGTTTGCCTTGTACGCCACGGACGCACTTGTTTTTACACGGGCACGCGGTTTCCTGAGTCCACGGTGCTGCACATACGATCAGTATGTCAGAAGCAAGTGCAATGGACAAAAAATCACACGTGGCCCTCCGTCTCCGCCTTGCGTCCAGGCATGATGCCTTTTTGACTGAGCCACACATCCAGGTTACAAAGAACGGTGAGAACATACTATGTCAGGCAGGGGACAAAGTGAATGTCATGAGCTGTGCAACAGGACAAGTTCTTCATGCTCTAGAAGCCAAAGATGACCCAATATACACCATGGAACTCAGTCCCAGTGAAGATGTTTTGGTCACGAGCCACACCTCTGGACTGCTGCGTCTCTGGGATTGGAAGAAGAATGAGGTCCAGCGTGTATGGAAGTCACTGCATTCTGGACCCATCCCTGTTTTGTGCTTTGATGAGACCACCACCCTAGTTGCTAGTGGAGGAGTGGATGGAACCATCAAGGTGTGGGATACAGTCCGCCAGTACTGCACCCATAACTTGAAAGGATCTGTGGGTGTGATCAGTGCAATTGAGTTCCATCAAAGCAGTAATGAGATATTCATATATGCTTCTGGGGATGATTCTGTGGTACGCTGCTGGAACCTGTCATCATCCGACATTGTGCAAGAGCTGCGTGGTCATTTCAGCAAGGTAACCAGCATCAGTATCAACAAGTCCCAGCATCAGCTGTTGACCTGCAGCCGTGACAAGGTGTTGATGCTTTGGGACCTACGGGATGGAACACTGGTTCGAACAGTGCCAACCCATGAGGTGATGGAGAGTGCTGTCCTTGTCCCACCAGGTGTGTCTGTGGCTGGCATCAAGGGTGGCAGCGCTGCTCTTGCCATCACTGGTGGAGAACGTGGGGTTCTGAGAATCTGGAACTTGGCTACGTCTGAATGTGTTTACATGCAGGAGGAAGCCTCCGGCTCACAATCATCAGTCATCTGTCAGTTGTGCCAGAGTGAGATGAGCAAGACCTTGACAGTACTGAATCATGAGCATAATATCCTCATGTATGACCTGGTATCAATGGAGTTGAAGCGACAGTATGTTGGATTTAGTGATGAGATCTTGGATGTAGTATTTTGTGGTGATGGAGAAACACACATAGCTGTTGCCACAAACAGTTCAATCATCAAGATATATGACGTGTCTACGTTTAACTGCCAGCTTGTCAAAGGTCACGCAGACACTGTCCTTTCTCTCTCTGTGTCTGCCAGCAACAAGAACCTGTTTGCGTCGAGCTCCAAAGACAACACGATACGTCTGTGGTACCTGGACACCTTCCAGAAAGCATTGTGCCTGGCCGTCGGGCCGGGACACACGGCGTCTGTGACGTCAGTCTGCTGGAGTCAGCTGACCACCGGCTTCGTCGTGTCGGGCGCGGAAGACAAGTGCGTCAAGATGTGGGATGTTCCGGCGTCGGTTCTCGGCTGGCTGAAGAAGTCCGGCGCCGGCGCCGAAGCCGGCGACTCTGCACTGCCGGCGCACTGAGATCGCGCACGACAAGGACGTCAACTCTGTGGCGGTGTCGCCCAACGACCGGCTGGTGGCCACGGCCAGCCAGGACAAGACAGCGCGCCTGTACAGCGCCGACGGGCTGGCGCTGGCCGGCGTGCTTCGCGGCCACCGTCGCGGTGTCTGGTCGGTGGCCTTTTCGCCCGTGGACCAGATCGTGGCGACGGCCTCGGCCGACGGCACTGTCCGGCTCTGGTCCATCGCCGACTTCAGCTGCGTCAAGACGTTCGAGGGCCACGACTCGTCAGTGCTGCGCGTGGCGTTCCTGTGCCGCGGTATGCAGCTGCTCACCTGCTCGGCCGATGGTCTGCTCAAACTGTGGAGCGTCAAGGCCAACGAGTGCGTGCAGACGTGCAGCGAGCACGAGGCTAAGGTGTGGGCGCTGGCGGTGCGTGGTGATGAGCGCTGCCTCGTCTCAGGCGGCGCCGACTCCTCGCTCCTTGTCTGGCGCGACGTCTCCGAGGAGGAGGCCAAGGTGGACGCCGAGGCGGCCGCGCTGCGCGCCACTCAGGAGCAGGCGCTCAGCAACCTCGTGCAGCAGCGTCAGTGGCTGCGCGCCCTCAAGCTGGCCATCAAGCTGAAGCGGCCGTTCCGCTGTCCTGCAGATCCTGAAGGAGCTGCGGCGCGAGAGTGGTTCAGCCGACCATCTGACCGGCATCCTGAAGCAGCTGCGGGACGACCAGTTGGACGATCTGCTTCACTTCGTGGTGGAGTGGAACACCAACAGCAAGCACTGCCATGAGGCGCAGCTGGTAGTGAACTTGCTGCTGCGTCTGTTGCCCCCCGAGGCATGGCGCCGGCTCCCCAGCTTCCGCTCCCTGCTGGAGGGCCTGCTGCCCTACACCGAGCGCCACCTGGAGCGCATCAGTCGGCTTCAACAGAGCATCACCTTCCTCGACTACACAGCCGCCTGCATGAAGGTGACGTCGCGCTCGAGCGGCAGCGCTCCGCCGACCGACTACCCCGACGAGGACCTGTTCATGGATGCCGTCAAGAGTTCGACGGTGGCGACCAAGGACGAAGGTGAGACTTCAGTGAAAGCAGAAGCTGACACGATGGAGGAGGGTGTCTTGGAAGTCGAAAAGAAATCGGAGTCATCGGAAGACAGCGGATTGGAGACTGAGGAACCTGTCAAGGTGCGGCGTTCTGCTAAATCCAAGAAACGACCCCTGAAGAAGGGTAATAAAAAAGTCAGCAAGAAAAGGAAAGCGTGACAGTGATGACTGGTGGGAATTGGGGTGGAGTAGGTTTAGGGTACAGTACGGAAAGCGTGGACAAAAAAACTCGGCGTATTTCTGTTGTCGCTGTTGGGGAAAGTGGCATTCCTCCACCATTCTGCGTGGAACCCGGAGTTTGTATTGGCCTTCAAGTGCACTTCTCTGGCATCCTATGCGTGTATTCGATGGCGAACGGAAGTAAAATATAACCCGTGCTTTGCAGAGGTTTCCGTGTCATGAAATCTAGTCGTTCAAGTCCACACTCGCGCCTTTGATGAACGACTTGCCGAAGACATTTTGTCACAGAGGCTCACAAGAATTGGGCGAGCAGGCAACGGGTCGGGTGGGATTATTGGAAGTGACCTTTTCCTACACGAGGTCATGTGGCTTCACGGTATCCGCCGCCGTCCTTCACAGATTCCCATCGCGACATGTCAGGCCTCATCACTAAGCAAGGTCAATTGTTCTGAACGGTCGTCACCAGACACGAGTTTGTTCGGGCTTAGCTTAAGTGATAATAATTTGTTCTTGAGCAAACGCGCGTTGGTTTACGATATGCCGCACTGACTCCATTTGTCGGTGAATCAGACCGTCGTGAGCAAAGGTGCCGAATGCATTGTAAATTTTGGCATTAAAACAAATCAAAAGTCCGGGTTGGAAATTACATTGAGAAGAACAAAGCAAATTGGGAATAGTTGGGACAGCCGACGACATTCTACAACTTGTCACGCATTTCAGCTTATTCACTGCTGTTCGTTGTCAAAATTATTTTATTATGGTACGTCAGCAATCTGATGATAGGGCACGCCAGGGTATATTTATTTTTGAAACATGAGGTAGAATGTTTCCTTAATAAGGGGCATTGATGTTCGTCTTCAGGAGAGCCTGTGATGCTCATTACTTGTAGCTGGACTAAATTCGTTGCCTCTGACCTCCCGAATAAGCTGGCGTCGTCTAGCTTAGCGATAGTCAAGCTTAGCGGACATCGGTGCGAATTGTGAATTTTTGCACGAAATCCTGAGATACACATTACTTCGACAATCCTTTTTTCACGCGTTTCTAGTGAGGGAATGCAGCCACGCGGGTAATGAGAGGATTGTTGGTTATTGGTAGTGATTTGATTTTAACTCGGAAATTTTTTGGGCAGCTGATTTTCTGGACACTTGGTACAGACAGCTGGTCCATCCTGGGATTTTGGCTTTGACTTTGGACAAGAACTCCTAGAAATGGCATCTCCAGTCTTACGCATTTCATGCGACGTCTTAGTCATCGTAGTTCGTAATTGTAACGTCTTTCTACACTGTATACGATTTCTGATCCCCGCTGCATTATATGATCTTAACGGGTTTTCACAATCACTATATAGGCCAATATCCACTGTGTCAGTCTCACAACCGTCGGCAGACGGCATTGCATTCTTGCGTTGAAAAAAGCCCGCGCGTGCGGGTAACCGGAGCGCGAACCGCAGTTCCCGGCATCTCCTGGTTCGTGGTATCTCCTATGGTGTCTCCTGGTTCCTGGTATCTTCAATACAGTTCCGATGGGAAGATGTGCGCAACTCGGCGGGGCCATGGGCACCTGCGCTTTATGAGTTTCTGATTGTTCTCAAGCCCATTATGTGCCAAGACTAATAAAAACAACTATTGATCTAGCATCTCACATGAATCAAAACAAACATATATTAGCATATTGAATTGGTTGGTACAGAGCATGTTAGCCGACAAACCATGACAATGATTTGAAGACGAGCAGTAGTCATTACGTCGAGCTAGGATCGAATACAATGTCAACAACGCGCGTGAAAGGAAATCATTACTGCATCTCCCTACACCACGGTAACATGGCGCTGTACGAGGACAGTACAAAACAAATTGAACTTTAGCTCGCGGTCAGACCCAGCACAGCACGCCCTGTTGATCCTGTTCGGCGCGGGCGGGCGCGTCAGGCGGCGCCCGACGGAGCTGGATGTCAGTAGTGTCCAGCGCCCTGCGCCACAACTGTTGGAAGCCCGGACAGCGCGGAACACCGGCCGCGCGAGGCGCCGCTCGGAGGCGGCGAGCCACGCCATCGAGCCCGGCGGCGCGGCCGCGCGGGCGTCGGCCGCGGCCGCGGCCGGCCGGCCAGCCTGTGCCAACGCGGACTGTCCCGACGCGAGCCTGGAGCGGCGCGGGTCACCCGCGCCCATCGCCGGTGAGGAGCCGCGCCCGAGATCGGACGGTGGCGCGCCGCGGCGCCGACCCGCGGCGCGGCGGCGCGGCCCGCCCCTCAGCCGGCCACCTCGTCCAGTCGGCGGAACTTCTTGATCCGCTTCCACTCGCCGGTGGAGTAGTTCATCTGGAAGTGGGTCTCGGCCACCATGGCCGCGAACGGGCCGCCGTCGCCCTGCGGCACCGACTCCTGGTTCTCCGACAGCTTGATGGTGACCACGTTGCCCAGGTGCGGGCACGGGTTGTCTGCCGACGCGACAGCGAGCCGACAGTCAGCCGGGAGCCGACGGCGACGTTCACCGCCCGCAGCGGGCGGGCGGCACCGGGCGCCACCCGGCGTCCGTGTGAGCGTCACCGGACAGGTCCCAAACGGAACCGTAACACATACAGCATCGAACTCCGCGGACCACCATCCATGACGGTCCAAATGGCAGTGCGCTTTATCTCGCATCAAAATATGTCTAAATGAAAAGTATAGCTACACGGATGCCACTGGGCCAACGCACATGGTGGTGTACCGACATGGTTCTCATCGGTTAGTTTATACTATAACACCAAAGCTTCTGGCACTGACCCGGACGCCTTCCCAGTCCATCTCTAGTGCAACTAACCAAGGTTTTAAAGTCATGCAACGCGACAAAAGATATGCACACAACATGGGCTATTTTGAAACATGTTTGTCCGACGGGCTTCACCATCGTAAGCGGCGTGACAGCTGACGACCCGACCCGACCCGACCCGACCCGACCCGACCCGACCCGACCCGACCCGACCCGACCCGACCCGACCCGACCCGACCCGACCGAACTCTCACCTCGGGAGCCGGCGATGAAGCCCAGGATGAGCGCCTTCTCCGGCCGCGTGACTTTGTTGGCGGTGCGGAACATCTCCTGCGCCTCCAGCATCTGCTCCCGTGTCAGCGTCAGGTTGCGCCGCTGGGCGTTGGCCTGTCCGACGCCACATAAACGGCGCAGTCAGTCAACAGGCATGAGCGCCAAGACAAGAGGTACAGGTGGTGAGGCAGCATTGGAAGTAGAGACGTGGCAGGAACGCGACGAAAACACCCGCACCACACTGACTAACGGACGGCTTTTGTTTCGATATTTGAAGTCTTCGCCATGCGAGTAATCATTTCAGAAATATCCCAATGCCAATGATATGACGGGATCATCAGTCTGTGCGGAGGTACCATATCACATTGTAAGTGTTCGTGGAACAGCTCAGGGTCGTGTCAATACACTCATGCATACATTTGCTGCAATTGGTAAAAAAACAAAATGTACAGCTTTGTTCACAGATTTCTCACTTTTCAGTTGGAAGTGGAATTGACTATGGTTACATACATCTGTGCTTGTTCATCAACCTCTTACGTTGTGGTTTGAGGAATGATTCATTAAAAGAAGTGGATGCCACTGAGGCATTAAGAAATATAAGTAGCACGTACAACGTCAAACATAACATTTAAACTATAACTACAACGTTCCTTCGAGCGTCCTTCTGTTTAGCGAAACCTTCAACTCCCGACATAACATACATCACACGAATTATTAGTAGTGATAACAAATTACTCGTATTAGATTCTTCGTGAGTTGTAAATGTTGGTATGCATTGTTTTTGTCAAGGAACGAAGAAAATGTTACGACAAAGTGAGTATCAAGTGCTTTCTCATGCTTCCTTCGCTCAGCTGCCCTAAAACTTAAGCAAATTATTGGGACTCTTCGTTAACCCGCTGTGCGCACGGAAGACGAAGTCGTCACTAGAGCACATGTCCCATCGGTTGGGCCGGTGTCGGCCGGCTGGCTGCCGGTGCCAGACCAGTGGCGGGCCCGGAGCCGACAGCCGGACTGTCCGACGGCTGACCTGAGGCTGGGCGATGATGGTGACCTGCTGTTGCTGCTGCGCCTGCTGCTGCGGCTGCTGCTGCTGCTGCTGCGGGCCGCTCACCACCCGTCGCAGCAGCATCTGCTGTCGAGCGCAGGAGGACAGCAACGTCATACACACACGAGCGCCGTACCGGACGACCGGGCGCCCCGGGAGGGAAGACGGCCGCGACATCCTCGGCCGCCCACAGCCTGGCGACAGCAAACTGGTATCCACCGCGCCCACCCAGTGAAACACAACGGAGCTGCATGATGGAATAATGCCCCGTCCGCTACAAATGTTACATTTGTACCGCATTTCAATAACACAACTGCCAAAATGACCACAGGTAAAACAAGCAGGTATTGGAGGGCATCCAACACGTGCAGAAGATCGGGCGCACAGAACATGCCATCTTCACGACCTAACGACGGCCTAACGACCAAACGAATCCCGTTCAGGCTACCCGTGGTCAATATCCACCAAAGCCGCACAAAAATGAGGACATGTCCTCGCCCTCGTGTAACGTCTCGACCTGCGGGCTCACGTCTACACGCGTTGAGTGATGTGATGTGATGATACAATGTGAGCGACGACTGCCTCTGCGCACATCAGGACCAACCTGCTGCACTGGATCCGAGAGATTGTGAGGGCTCATACCCGCCGCCTGCTGCACGGGCTGATAAGTCTGCTGCGAGATTATCTGCAAACGGAATGAACACTGTAACAACACGGAAAATAGGCCGTAGGGACACATCTTTGCAAGAATACTGTTGGTGCAATCTCCGCGGCTTCCTTTAAGCACCAACCGAGTGGTAACTTTACAAATGTACACAGGGGACTCCCCAATGTTTATGCTTGAACGTGCCCTGACACCCTGTGCTCGCCATGTTCAGTATTGCAATGGGCCCGCGCGACAATTGCCACAGTTTTGCTCTGGAGTTAAAACGAACGGCCTTTTCTTGCCCGCTAACGTTCCATTCCCTGTGCATTACTGGGTAGCCGTACAGCAGTGGCTGAAAGTCACCCCTTGGAAACCGGAGGTAAGGGGCTCGACTTCGCGCGGTGCTCGCCTTTCTGCCAGGATGGGCAGCATGCGACGTCATCGGGTCCCAGTAGCAAAGGGCGCCGTAAAACAACGACAAGGCATGACATGACCCTATTTATGTATTCCCGTCGGTGCCTCAATTCCGGCCCAGCCTGGCTCAGGAGCCAGTGCTTCACCTGCGGCTCAGCCTGTCTCAGGAGCCAGTGCCTCACCTGCAGCTCAGCCTGTCTCAGGAGTCGGTGCCTCACCTCCGGCTGAGCCTGGCTCAAGAGCCAGTGCCTCACCTGCAGCCCAGCCTGGCTCACGAGCCTGCGCCTCACATGCGGCTGAGCCTGTCTCAGGAGCTGGTGCCTCACCTGCAGCTCAGCCTGGCTCACGAGCCGGTGCCTCACCTGCGACTCAGCCTGTCTCAGCGGCCGGTGCCTCACCTGCAGCTCAGCCTGTCTCATGGGCCGGTGCCTCACCTGCAGCTCAGCCTGTCTCAGGAGCCGGTGCTTCACCTGCGGCTCAGCCTGTCTCAGGAGCCGGTGCCTCACCTGCAGCCCAGCCTGGCTCACGAGCCTGCGCCTCACCTGCAGCTCAGCCTGTCTCAGGAGCCGGTGCCTCACCTGCGACTCAGCCTGTCTCAGCGGCCGGTGCCTCACCTGCAGCTCAGCCTGTCTCATGGGCCGGTGCCTCACCTGCAGCTCAGCCTGTCTCAGGAGCCGGTGCCTCACCTGCGGCTGAGCCTGTTTCAGGAGCCAGTGTCTCACTTGTGGCTCAGCCTGTCTCAGGAGCTGGTGCCTCACCTGCGGCTCAACCTGTCTCAGGAGCCGGTGCCTCATCTGCGACTCAGCCTGTCTCAGTGGCCGGTGCCTCACCTGCAGCTCAGCCTGTCTCATGGGCCGGTGCCTCACCTGCAGCTCAGCCTGTCTCATGGGCCGGTGCCTCACCTGCAGCTCAGCCTGTCTCAGGAGCCAGTGCCTCACCTGCGGCTCAGCCTGGCTCGGGAGCCGGTGCCTCACCTGCGGCTCAGCCTGTCTCAGGAGCCAGTGCCTCACCTGCGGCTCAGCCTGGCTCGGGAGCCGGTGCCTCACCTGCGGCTCAGCCTGGCTCAGGAGCTGGTACCTCACCCGCGGCTCAGCCTGTCTCAGGAGCCGGTGCCTCACTTGCGGCTCAGCCTGGCTCAGGAGCCAGTGCCTCACCTGCGGCTCAGCCTGGCTCGGGAGCCAGTGCCTCACCTGCGGCTCAGCCTGTCTCAGGAGCCAGTGCCTCACCTGCAGCTCAGCCTGTCTCAGGAGCCAGTGCCTCACCTGCGGCTCAGCCTGGCTCGGGGGCCGGTACCTCACCTGCGGTTGTCCTTGTTGCGGCGCGTACATGGCCGGCGCCGCCTGTACCGCGTCGGGCGCGGCCGGCTGCGGCCGGCTGGTCGGCGTGTCGGCCAGCTCCTGGGACGCCACGGACGGAATGTCTGCCGAACGGCCCGTCGGTGTCAACAACCATGTACCGGTGTAAGTGGGAGAAGGCGGGGATGCGAAATCACTCACCACCGACAACAAAATGCAAAGGAGCTACTGACGACCACAGCATATTTAACCTCACCTGACGACAATGCTAATACAATTATCAGTGCGTGCAAGGCTGCTGGATTCCTGCGACATGCTATGAGATTTGTATGTTCAAGGAGTTTACGCAGGTTATTTTAGTTACATCTTATACACCTCATCATGTGGATTAGTCTTCAAGAAAAATACTTTTTGTCACGAACAAAAAGAGCTTTGGCTGTGACCACTTTATGCCATTTGTGTTGTCCACCAGGAGCCTGAAGCAAGTCATGTCCAACCAGCTTGGTCATATCGCTGGTGACTACGATGTGCATTGCTTCGTGTGAGAAGTGGCCTGCAGTATCAGCGGTGATGCGGACTACACGGTATGCTGTCGAGTGGTACACAATATGCTGTCGAGTGGTCGTAACGCCATGAGCACTGCCTGCACCCAATTGTGTCCGCACGCCCTTTGGCCTCACCAAATCTGGTCCAGCCTTCGGCAGGATCGAACACCCAGTGATACGTGCACACGCAGACACCACCCTGCGCGGTAAGGACCCACGCAGACGCCACCCTGCGCGATAAGGACCCACGCAGACGCCACCCCGCGTGAGATGGATCCACGCATACACCACCCCGCGTGAGATGGGCGCATGCGGACACCAGCCCCAGTGAGATGGACACATGCAGACACCAGCCCCAGTGAGATGGACACACCAGACCCAGCCCTAGCGAGATGGACACACGCAGACATCAGCCCGAGTGAGATGGACACACTTAGACACCAGCCCCAGTGAGATGGACACACATAGACACCAGCCCGAGTGAGATGGACACACTCAGACACCAGCCCCAGTGAGATGGACACACGCAGACACCAGCCCGAGTGAGATGGACACACATAGACACCAGCCCGAGTGAGATGGACACACATAGACACCAGCCCGAGTGAGATGGACACACGCAGACATCAGCCCGAGTGAGATGGACACACATAGACACCAGCCCGAGTGAGATGGACACACATAGACACCAGCCCGAGTGAGATGGACACACGCAGACACCAGCCCTAGTGATATGGACACATACAGACCAGCCCCAGTGAAATTGACACACACAGACACCAGCCCCAGTGAGATGGACACACGCAGACACCAGCCTGAGTGAGATGAATACACGCAGACACCTTACCAGCGCCGTCGCGCCACTGACCAGTGCCGGCGAGCGCGTTGTCCGGCTGCGGCGCGTAGCTGACGGGCGCGGCCGGCGCCGGACTGGCCGCCGGCTGGCTGGCCGCCGGCGTCGGCGGGTTGGTGGACGGCAGGCCGGCCGCGTAGTCGGGCGTGGCGCCCCCGCCCTCCGTCACACGGGCCCGCTTGGGTGCCGCCGGTGGAGGCTGCGACGGCGCCTCCTTCTCCTCCTCCTCTGTGGGCGGGGCAGCGGGGAGGGAAGCAGTCAGTGCAAGTGGCGCCGACAGGCACGGGGAGTAGCGCGTTGCGCGCTCCGCTCAATGCCGCCAACACTGCACGGAGGCGATCAAGACTGATGGAAACAGCGCCCTTGTCGTGCCCGCTGCGCTACACCAATCCGGCCCAGACAGGGGAGTGACGGTCCCGCGATGAAGTTCCAGCCGGCGCGCGCTGCCAACCGGCCGCAACGACGGCCGACCCGGGCGGGCACTCACCCGGCAGCTTCTTGCGCTTCTTGATCTGCTGCACGCCGATGGGCTGCTCGTTGATGTCGAGCATCTTGACGCGGCCCTCCTTCCTGCCGGCCGGGGTGCGGGCCAGGCGGCCGGGCGTGCCGCCGGCCGCCGCCAGCCGCGACAGGTTGCTGGTGCCCGTGAAGCCGCCGGTCGGGATCCGGCTAGGGATGCCTTTGAGCGGCGCTGCGGCAGACGCACTGCGCTCAAACCAGGCCGGGCCGCCAGCCCGGCAAGGTCTGCCCGGACCGCGACCGACGACGCTGCCGCACATCGTGCCGCCGGTCCCGGGTAGGCGCTCTATTGCGCTAAGCCAACGACCCTGCGTGGTGGATATACCTAAGACTGAGCCCTTCGGAAGTTAAATGAAATTGTGTTGTCAGGTATTGAGGTGTAACAGACTTCCTTCTCGCAAAACCATGACCGCGACTTTCCACCAGCAAGCAGTCAGCCACAGTCCCGGCGTGACTGGCATGTACACAACGTGGCTGTACGTAATAAGTCATGCCACAAGCCGGTAAGCGTAACAGCGGAATACCCCGCCACGCCTCCGTCCAGCCTCCGCTCCTCGGCCGTCTGTCCGCCACTTACTGGCATTCTCCATTTTGCGCGGCATGCCTCGCGAGCGGACGGGAACGCTGGGCATGACGTTCTTCTTGACCTGCAGACTGGCGTCCTTGACCTTCTGCAGCAACTCCACCTTCAGCGCCGCCGACTTGGGCTTGCGTCGCAGCGCGAAGTGCTTCTCGGGTTGGATCTGCGGCAGGACCGTGGAATGTTCGAGAGTGCGCCCTGCTGGCTGACTCAGCTGAACAACGCAGGACTTATGGTACAGCCGCAGCGCCGACAAATTCGAGAGTGCCGAGGCAGCCGGGATTATGGACATGGGTCGAGATGCCATCAATTTGTGAAGCAGGCTGTTTTGGCGCAGGCATAAGCAGCAACAGCTATGAAGCACACCCACGGCAGAATCAGTTGGTACGCATCCCCATCAGCAGCCAGGCGATAGCAAGCGAGCGACAAACTGCAATGGATACTCCCATTCTGCTTATCGCCGATATTCAGAAACGTCTCCAGCCAGCAAACTTCCGTCTATTTCCAGCGACAAAAAATATATATGCAAAGAGCTTTGCGAAAGCTATGTGTTGCTCTACCGAAACTAGCCAGTAAGCACGAAACACCAGCAAACATAATGTAAAAGCTCATCATGTGGCACTGGGGCTCAGCGACGCACCCGGCTGCTGATGCGATACGGCGCCGCCTGCCTCTCACCCACGCGGGAAGGGCGGGCAGCGCAGGGCATCCAACCCCCGCAACTCTGGTCGCCCATATGAGCAGCTCAACCACTACACTCCTGATGCCCCTTAAACCTGATCTTGCACTGTTTGTTGTGCTGGTGACAGCACCCACAAACACCCACCACAAACCGACAAACGCGACTGTTCTTGGTCAATATGCACCGAAGTCTTTATAGACCATGTACCACCTTACCACAGATCCACCAGCCTCGCATTAAAAAAGAGCCTGAAGTGGTTATACAACACTGCTGGACCAACACGCTTGACTTACAATCTGGCCAACCGAGGCGACCAAGGCAGCCTTGTTGAGGTAGTGACACTCCAGTGGTAGCAGATCCAAGTCGAGATTTTTCTTCACTGAAAACACAAGGCCAAAAGTCAGAGACGCGCAACTCACAACAGCCGCATACAATCTCGCTGGCTTGAATGCGGCGATGGGGGGCGGGTGGCCACATTGGTCAGCCCAGTGCTGGTCACCATATCATCAATCTGGCCGCTAATTAACTGTTGTACTAAAGCGCATCGAACAGAGTGTACATCATATAAAAAACGTCACCATAAAACACAATGGCGGCCTAATGCATGAAAGAGGCCGACATCCCGACGCTCAGCAACGCACCGAGCCTCTTTAATTCCGCAATCAAATCCCCAAAGATCTTCTTATTTTCCTCCATCTTCCCGATGTCTGTGTTTAGATTTCCGGTAGCCGGAAACGTTCTCATGACTTCTGCCAGCATCGAGACCCACTGGTCGGAGTCTAAGGCTGCGATTTCCAGTATCTCTTCGATGTCCACCTTCCACTGCAAAAAATTCAAGCAATGTAATCACTACCATATGGACAGTGGAACCTCCCCTTCCCTTCCACTGTTTGTGCAAACATGACATTGTTCTGATAATGTTAGTGAGCTCCAAAATGATGAAGCAGATCTCCAAACAACCAAGCAACTCATGACACGGCATCGCGACAGGGCGTGGGATGCCCTTGAGACTTGCTGAATTCATGAGGGACATCAAGCCAGCCTGCAATACTTGGACAAATATATACATGCTGAAGCCATAAGGAATCTCTGGGATAGACTGGACCAGGGGTGTAGTATCCTGTTCACTTGTGGCACTTCAGCCCTAGCAACATGGAGAAGAAAATGTGTAAAATCTGAGAGAAGGGCATTTTACAGCATATTTTGAGGGAAGGTTTAGCCATTTTCTCCTGTTTGGCATGCCACAACCCTTTAATTGGGGAAAAGGCAGGATTTTAGGGGGCTCCTGGGCAGTGTCAAGGGTGGGGACACCAGGGGCACATACACCTTATCAAATTTTTGCATGTATCAAGGATATCTAGTTTAAGAAATATTGGCACTTAAAATGATCCAAAATACAGACCTACTGGCTAATACAGGGGTCTTCTTAACCCCACAAAGGTGCTCTTTATTCCAAAACATGGTTCTCTGTTCCAAAAAGGATGCCCTAATCCAGCACAGGAGTTGCTGATTGCAGGGGTATGTGCTGGCTTCAATACTTTTATCAGCTGGTTGTTTCAACAAAATTGCATGTGACATGATTAGACAAATGTTCAGATAACATATCAAGCATGGAAATCAATGGAAATTTTTACCACTATTCAAACTAAAACTGTGTCTAAGATTGCCTTTTTGACCATACAATACCAACAATACTTAAAAAACAGCAAAACTGCAATATCTTCTGCTTGAAAATGAAATAACTATGATCTCATACCAAAGAAGATCTTCAAAGTACATGACAGCATTAAAAGATGAGGCTGATCATTAACTGTTTGCCAAGTCAGCCAAGCATGGGGTAGGCCTGCATCAGATTTGATCCCATGAAAAGCCTTAGGTTAGGTTAGGATAGGTTATATCAGATCATATCAGGTCAGGTCAGATGTGGTCAAATCCAGTCAGGTCAGCTCAGGTCAGGTTAGGTTAGGTAAAGTTGGTTTAGATCAGGCCAAATTTTATCAGGCTGGTAATGTCATTTCTTACTGGAATAGCTCCCGAGGCAATGCATCATACAAAAACTCACATGCTATAATGATGTGCGTTAAAAGCACTGTGTGTGGCATCAAAGGGAAGGTGCTGGTAAATGCCCATGTGGCATGTGCAAATAGCACTCTGCAGTAATTGCTATGCTTTCTATTGGGAATAAGCATGGCAGTATACCAACCATAAAATGCAAGTAACCTTACTATTGTTACCCACATCTATACATCATGACTCTAGCATGTAGCACTCCTCTGCACAATAGTGATATATGGTATCTGGAGGATAATTCATTTGAACACAACTTGTAACAACTCATAGGCAATAGCTTCATGCTTTTGCTGCAATGAATGCATCACTACACACAGTTTTGGTCAAGATATGTGTTGCTTCTACACATTGCCTTGCACAATTTCATCATTGAGATTTATAGGTGGGATGAATGCACAAATGTCAGCACACAAGGAACCAATCCTTCAACTAGGCATGCAAGTTTTATGTATCATGTTAAGACTTTGGCATGACAGTGGTGTTATGCCAAAACTATCTTTCCATGAAACTGATTTTAATTGGGTACACTCAATACTGTCATTTTGCAACCTTAGTTACATCTCACATTGTGTTAGTCACTGCACGACTCCACTTGAGTCATGATAAAAGGCAGTAGTTTTGCCAACTAAGTTGAGGGCTGGGACCCTGCACAGTGAAAAATGATGGAAATTGTGCACAAAATTACTGACAAATAGGCCTCTCCATGGATATGGCCCACTTTTCTCAAAGTTGAGCGCGCTGGAGCCCAAGTTGGGTTAAGGTGGAGGAAGGCGGGGGGGGGGAGCGAGACTCCAACTGAACAGGAAACTACACTCTTGGTATGACATATACACCTGGTGGTTTGAGCACTCCAGAACTTTCCAATAACAAAAAGGTACTCACCTCTTCTACGTTCCTCCTTGGGGTGTGCAAAAGTGCCAACAGTAGTTTCAGCTTTACCTGAGTCTGCAAATCCACAAAACATTCTCGGATATTTCTTAGAACAGATGCATTAAGCTGGGAGCATATCGAACCTCCTATCCAGGTGTCATTAGAAGTTCCTAGCTTGTTATGAAGCCACAGCGATGTATCACTGTCCCTCACGTTCGCCATTTCTCCACACACTGGCTCCCTCAATTGCAAGGTGTAAACAAGAGACGCTAATTGGAAATGGGACCTGTTCTCAGCCGTCCCCGTCAGCCGATTATGGCGCATTGATGACAGTCGGAAAGCCGTCCATCTCATTGGTCATTGGCTCTCGAATTCTGCCAGCCGCAAGCATGGTGTCGATTCGGGGCAGTGGAGCAGCGTACAGTAGCCAGTTTAAAGCAGACCCTGCACAGCAGGATTTCATATGGCGCAAATATGATTTGTCGCTTACCGCTGGCTTTCTCAACAGCTGAAAACAAAGGAGGACAAGAAAGATGTGGAACTCGACACTATTTGGGACGAAAAATTCGTTCCAGGGTCCCTACATCTATTGCATAGAATGTGTTATCATTGGATTGGGAGCATGCATCATATGTTGTAAGGTGGCCACCTCATACAACAAAAATATGAGGGTCGACGGGTGATGTTTCGCAGTGAGTTTCATGGGGTGGGAGCTGAGCCGTAAAAAGCTAGACTGTGAGTCCCATAAGCTCGGGGTATGGTGCTGCCAGCAAACTTATTTCAGTTGGATTCGGCAGTTTTTGATGACCATTGATCTGGCTTAAGGTCAGCATGTTATGAGAAGGATAGGATATGGACTACGACAAATCAATTGATGAAGGTTGTGTGCCGATCGATCCCAACAGTTCGGAGTATGGGGTTTTCTGCAGCCAGTTATGGTGGCTTTGGGCGTTTCTGTGACCTATCACCTGACCGAATTCGGTTAGGTTTAAGCACCTTACGGCTATGATGTGCTTGAAAGGTTGAAAGGATGGGATATCGACGATGACGCATCGATTGGTAGGGCTTTTGTGCCGATCGATAGCAGAAGGCTCGGAGCATGGGACTGTCTGCAGCCAAGTTTGGTAGTATTGGGCTTTTCGGTGATCTTGAACTTGACCCAAGGTCACTATGTTCTGGACAGGATATGATATTGATTATGGAGCATCAGTTGGTGAAGGTTTTGTGTCGATCAGTCCCCTACGCGAGGAGTATAGGGTTGTCTGCAAACTTAGTTGTCCGTGTTTTTTTTGACGACCCTTGACCTGACCCAAGGTTTCTTTGTTTTGTTAAGTGTAAACAATCTACCAAGTGACATCGAATGGTGAAGATTTGGTGTTGATCGATGTTATAAGCTCGAACCAGGGGGGGGGGGGGCTGTCAACAAGATGTGCCGGCCATGATGAAAGTTGCCACAAAAATTCGCCAATGGACGGGTTTCTCGCCGGAGTTTGCTCACTTTCCGTCAAAGTTGGGGGTCTGGTGTCCAAGTTTGGAGCCTCTAACTAAATAGAAAACTTCACCTCTAAAGGCAATAATTGTTTCCGTTATGGACTTTGTTTCCTAAATATTCCGCATTAGGTGACCTTAATTTTTCAGGACATTTGACGGACTTGTGCTGGTGAATATTCTGATGCTTTAAGAGTTGAAATCGGCGGGTAAATTTTTGGTAAAATGTTGTAAATTTTTGGTGAAATGCAAATTTTTGGGGAAATCCTCCCGCTGCGCTCTCCCTGACATTACAGCAAGGTACCGTGCATCACTCTTGCTGAAAAGAACTGGCTATCGTGATAGATGTTCGAATATCTAGTGGGTAATAAAGGCTTGCAGGCATGTTGGCGCTCGCAAAAGGACCCTGACGAGTCATTTAACGGGCTTGTTAGTGCTTGATTGCATACAAATGCTGCTTCGCAATGTCCTCTCTTCTTCTCAACGCGCTAGCCTTGCACGTTGCAGATGTAACGTGCCCTAATGTGGTTTATAAGACCAACGATGGTCTAAGGCAAGGGCTTGCCAAAAGATCTGGTGACTTTGGTTATCACCAAACTGCCACTTACTTTGCCTGACTAGTCATTGCATAGTCCACCTGTTATCCTATGTGGGAACTCGACACCTGTTGACACCTGTTATGTGGGGACTCGACATCTCAAACTTTGAGAAGAAAGTATGTCGCGCTAACGTCGTGATTGGGTTACTGTGCTAACGTGATCCATGCTTGGAACGTTTCTCAGCAGTTCATCACAACGTTGAATGCATCCATTCTTAGCATGTGGTGTTGGTGCTCTGAGGACGGCACGCACGGTTGAGAATGGTTCCGTCGATGTCTATGTCGCTGTGTATCGAAGACAACTTCTTCTGTCGACGGCTGTGATGAGGCCGTTTGATCTCAGCGGCGAGGTGGCCCTCCCGTGGATGCACGGTAATGCATCGAATACCCCAGGGCGATGGTGATGATTGGCGCTTCAGGACGCGCCGGATTGCCATGCAATTTTGCGCCCATGTCTCATGAAGTTGTTTTCCACACACAGTTGCGCGCCAACGCCCAATGACGTGGAAGATAGGTGTTATGTGTCAAGTCAAGAAGACAAGTGTCATGTGTGTCACAAGTGTCGTGTCAAGGCTAAGCGTGCTCTGCGCCAAGTCGAAGTGCAGTGTTCAACCGTACATTAACTGCGTTGGTGCTTCAATATTTTTTTATCGGCCAGATAAAAAATACAGCACGACACGATTGCTCTAACATGCCGTTAGAGAAATCGTGTCGTGCTGTAGCCCTCATGACGACATAACTATTATTGGTCACTCATTTTTGTATTGGTTCCCACGACCGGCAGTCACGAATACACTCTTCCATGCTTCGTGAGCTTCGAAATAAAACTATTGTCATCGCAGACTCTCGACGTTGCGTTCCTGTATGGTCACCCCGATCGAAAAATAATGAGCCGACCATCCGGACACGTGTTAAATGAATTAACTTCAAAATGTAAAGAGAACTGCATTTTCCGGTAGCTTCCTACCTCTGTTCCAGTTAAAGACGGTAAGAATAAAACGAGAAAGGAGAAACTGTCCTCCCGCGAATTTCAGTGGCGATGTGCCGTGATTTGCCACTGACTGAAACGCACGGCCACAAGGATTGGGCCTTGGATCGGCCAGGCGAACCCGGGAACCCAGGTTTAGTCAGGAGTTGTGTAACCATTTTGGGAAGCTTAAGGAAACCGTAGAGAGCCTAGTTCCAGTCTGAATAGCCGATATGGAAGTTTGCTGTTTAAAATGTTGCTACCGATAATCACGTTTTCATTCAAATTTGCACGTACCTGCGACGCGAGCACATTGCTAAGGTGTGGTGCTCGAAGTAGTGACATTTGAGATCTTACAGGAAACACAAAGGAAGTGCAAAAGTGGTTCGGTGAAGGTGAAATTGGCATTTACAAATACGTGTAAGACTATTATTTACACGGCGACAAACGCTTTAATTTGTAAAAAAAAATGCGCGCATTCGGCGTCTCAAAACGAGCGAGGAGAGATATTTTGAGCTGTGGTGTGAAAAAGGTAGCAGAGTAAGATGGGGTTGGTGATTATCCCGTTGAGGAAATTATCCCGTCAGGCCATTATGACGAAGGCAACAAACGCTTCAGCTGTAGCAAAACATTCGCAAAACTTCGGGTTATCACGAGTCTGTGCAACAGGCTTGTTTAAGCCAGACATCAAGACATCAGACGTCATTTATACCAGACGTCAAGTTTATCATAAAAAGCTCTATTTGCTTTTAAAGATAGCAATCAAAAATCCCTTTCGTTGACATAAAGTGGTTCAAACCGAGGTGCTCTAAATTGGGCAGCGGGCTGAACTGGGCTCCAATGGCCCGGGTCACCTGGGTCCGGACCACCCCCCTCCCCCCTCCCCACACACACACATCTGTCCCCACCATCGGAGAGCAATCTCCAGCCGTGTTTAGAGCCATTTTGAACATTGTGTTACTTGTATTGTACGTAGTGGAAGCTGGACGCACAGATTCACAGTGCAGAATTATGCCAGAGTTGATGGGCTTGACACGGAGCTCCGTTTCTAATGCTGTGCAGTTGTTCCTTCTGTCACCAGTGTGTTCAAATATGGCACCCCTTTCCGTCTCCTGTATGGTCCTGTGGCTTCCAGCGCAAACATTCCCTGCGGACCACATATTTTTTCAATGCGCAAGCACGGTTATCCTGACGGTGTGTATCAAAATATGTAATCACGGGGTGGCATAAAAAATGCTAGGTTTAGACGCGGAGTATGTATCCGCTACGGACCACACGCTCGTTTTTTTCGTAATGTGCGAGCACGGTTTTTTGTTATGTTTGACCGGGGCGCTCGCCTCGGGCATGCGCGCCAGGACGATCAAGAGGGGGCGGTCCAGTGAAGGAAGTGTCTCACATTTGCAAGGGTTTTTGACCTTAACTAGCCATCGGGAAGATCATTCCGTGCAGTCGGTAGTCCTGGCCTTCCTAAGACCTAATCCCCTCGACTTTCTGAGCGACACACCCACGAAGATGTGCGGACTATTTCGGGGACACTATGCCAAGGTCGCCCAGGCATACATGACGTCAAAATAACGTCATTCAAATTTTGTCAATTCATTAGACATACGGCGATCAAGACCAACAAAATATAACCTGACGTTCGTGAGCACGATTTCCTGATATGACGGCTGTCAATTAGCTCTGAATCAATGCTGTGCAAGGTACGATGAGGCAATTAAAGAATGATGTATTGAGAAGCATATTTACTTACATAGAAATTGCATTGTGTGAAGCAGTCTTTTCCATTTAACGAATAACGGGCGTTATAAGTAAGCTTATTTCATCATGCCTCATGCTAGCTTCCATATCGTCAAATGTGGAACATTTCCGTTGAATACGCCAATCCTGTCGGAGGGGGGGGACTTTTTCACTCGGGATTCCGATATTCAGACGGTCATTCGCGGTGCTGGGAGACCTCATCGGCCTGGTGCATCGACGGCCGGGCGCTCGGCACCTACGACCCCACAAAGTGTATGCCTGGCGGGAGGATCGGTGACCTTTTGGCGTTTTCCTGAGGCTCCCAGCCCTTGTCCACTTATCACATAGCATCGCGTTGAATTTGATGTAGCTTAAAAAAGTTCCACAGAGCTTTGAGATCATGCATTCGCATGTTATCGTTGATCTGTTATATGTAGTGCATTCCTTCGCGAGCATTTATCGTCCTAATAAGCACATCTAATATAGAGATGTTTCGCTAATATTTGACGCTAAATCGCGTGCTAACTCCAGCCATATGATTGCCTACATGTTTCAATGAACGGTCATTGAGAAAAAAAAACAGATCAAGGTATAAGGTGTGGTCTCAGACTTTTGATGAGGCAGGTCACGCCGTAGTTGGTCCGTATTTCTACGGCAATACATTTATCTTGCATAAAACCATATACGGCGTTTTACACACACACACACACACACACACACACACACACACACACACACACACACACACACACACACACACACACACACACACACACACACACACACATATATATATATATATATATATATATATATATATATATATATATATATATATATATTTGGGTATGAAAACTTTCCACGCGTTCCAACCCTACCCACAGACTTTCCAATGGAATGCTACCTTGAAGAACCATTCCATTGGAAAAAAGAAGCCCTCGTGACAAATTTGTCACGAGGGGTTATATGCATTACAGTTACTTTACTGAATGACCCCTAACGGGTAGCGACGGAGGAAGGCCTACGCGTCACAAAGGCAAGGGTTCCTCGTGGCTAGCGATAGGGCATTGTGAGCCGATGAGAAATTTCGGCACAGTTCAAAGGCGATAGAGTGAGCTACGTGATGATGCTGTAGTGAGCCTTAAACACAGAACACATGTTTTTCGTAAAAGCTCATATATTGTTGGTTAGCCAATGTTGCCGCCACCATTTGCACTCATCCAGCTAGTCAGTTTATAACAAATAATTTTCTCGATGATAATTGCCTGCGAACCAATATAATGGGCAAGCGAACCACCGGTGCCATTTACTGTAACAGGTGAGATAAATTCAAACAAATGTGATTAATCCTGATAAACATATTACTCTCAAGGAGCGTTTCTTTTGTGAGATTAATAATTAGTGAGTACAGTCACGTGCCATGTAGTTTGAATAGCTGCGAGTGTCATAAAGCGACAATGACGGGTTCAATATGGGAGGCGCAGTGCGTGGGGGGGGGGGGGGGGCTGGATATAGCCAATGATTCACACCCGCACAGCTTATCTAACCAACTAAATTAGATACTTATAAAAGTGTTTATTTCGACGAAGCAGCGCTATCACCTCGCTGATTAGTATCCATCAACGCATTCAATGCATTATGCATTACACCAGCGCTATGTGATAGTACGTAATTTCAAAAACCATACAGGAACTTCGCCTTCACTTTAAAGTCAGTCACGATCCTTGCTGCTTTGAGGTGATATGGGCTTTGGGAGTCTTGTGATTGTCGTTTGTAACGGTGAGCATTTATCGGATAATTATGATTCGATTGTGAAGAAATGAAGAAAAGTCTCAATTCGCTCCTAGTCATGTGGACGTCAAAAATCAATTTGAAGAAAACAGCGATGTGCAAATTACCCGCGTCACACAATGGTGGTCAGTATGAGGGATACCGCCAAGAATCAAAGGTTGAAGAAAGCACAGAGAGAGAAATACAAAATATAAATTCGCGTAACGCCGTCCAGCCCCGTGCGCCACCGTCGTCCGGTCCGATCCGGTCTCTTTCGATTTTACCCGGTCTCGTCAGCGAGCTCATTACGCTCCATCCGGCACCGTCCAGTTTCCATTCGCCTCGTCCGGTACTGCAGTTCAGATCCAACTCGGTTTGGTTCCATCACTTCCAAGCCCGTTTGGTCCCATCCCGTCTGTTCGGTCCATCCGGAGCTGCCTGGTCTCGTCTGGTCTCATTTCGCTCCATCCGGTTCCATCTAGACCCGTCCTTTCCCGTCCAATGTCGATCGGCTCTATTCAGCTTCTTTGATCGGTTCCATCCCACACCGTCCGATCCTGCAGACATGCCACCAAGCTAGCTGTGGTTCTTGGCTTTGTGACGTCACAGACAGCTGAAAATGTTTGATTTCCTCGCATAGTCAACTGCCCGCTGCTCCGCACGTTGGTTGATTTGACGACTGGGGAGCGTGAGGTAAAACGCAATTTTTGTCATTGTGTGGAGCATGAAAGTAACTGGAGGTGTTCGAAGCATTCTTAAATCTGTTTCTTATCAGGTTATACCGGTATTGTATAAATTTCACACCAGATGAATTGATCGGGAGACGAGACTGGTCTTTAAAAGTGTGAGGTCTACGCCGGTAGTACAGGTGGCCCACCATGTTTTTGTATTCAACTCAACATCTATGCCACAGTGCCTAAGAGTCGGAAGTTAGTGAAAGGACCTAAGGTCAGTAAGAAAAAGGAGCAATGAGAATATAACAAGAAAAGGGTTTCTCTGCCTTATTTATACAGTCATGTTCTCAGTGTGCACCTTGTGATCCTAAAGCAGGCAAACATAGTATTAGGGGATACTCTTAACACAATGGGCACAAATCGACTGTTCAGCATTTTTCACTTATGCATTGTGCCCTGTGCTGCATATGGATTGGGGTCTGCCAAAAACACAATTCCCTTCTTTGAAAGCTTTCTTATTTTATGAGAGTAAATACACCATTGCTCAGTTTGTCAGTTGTGACAAGTCTCAGGCAAAACTTGTGACAAGACAAGAACACAAATAAGAAAGGAAGCTAAAGAAAATAAGGGATGAAGTAAGGCACTTATACAAAAATAAGTAACTAAAGGAATTATAGGGCATGCTGCCTTAACATTGGTGCAAGGATCAAGTGGTGAGCTGAATGAGTAACACATCTGCCAGAAGCAGTCCAAAATTTTTATAAATCTGTTGACAGGATCATGCTTTATGCAGAACAAATTGATGTAGCTGATGCATTCAGGAGATGTGTAGTGTTAGCTCTGGTGTTGCTGATACATTTTGAATTTGTGTGGTGAAATAGTGAATTTGACTTAGTGGTCACTGAGCCATTATGAAATAACTTTTGTAAATCAACAGTTATCTGACTGTGCTCACACTCAATGCAAGAAACATGTTTTGCAGGTTTGTCTGACCTTGATTACTGTTGAAGATGTCCAGTTGACCTAAGCCTGATAACAGGGTGCTGTGGCAGATCCAGATCCCATGGTGCACATCATGCCTCAATGCACACAGGTTGTCACCCCAGCGACTTTCATCCCACCCAGGCATCTGATTGTTAAGTGAATCAAAACAGATATATGGTTCACTCTGCAAACCATGCCCACATCCTTTTGATGGCAACCATGCATGGCCTTATTAAGTGAACCAAGATAGGTATATGGTTCACTCTGAACCGTGCTCACATTCTTTTGATGGCGACCATGCACACTGTGCCCCTGAGCAAGTCCTCCCTTCTCGGGGCACACATGTTCAGCATGGTCTGCCTGACCGCCCCACATGGTGACAGCTGTCCTGGGGGGGGGGGACCCCAGAGCCCAGCAGGTCACAGTGTAACTGCATGCATGGAAAACTCCTGCGGCGGCCAGTTCACTCTGGTCACATCCAACAACATTGGACCACTTCACCATTGTACACATTGCCTCATGGGGCCATGTTCAGACTGACTGGCAGCTGCAGGTTTGGATACATTTTGCTGTTACCTGGCACATTGCATAGTTGCATTGTTCATAGGTGTATAATGACACCAGGTTTGCAGTGTTGCTGCATTTCCCATGCTCTTCATGGTCATATCAAGGTGGATACAGTATGCCACCTTATGGCATGTATTCTGACTTGTATGCACCATGCTCTTTCTGCTATAAGCATGCCGTAGCGGCATGAGCATTTCATAGTGTCATGACGCCCTCTTTCTCCCGGCCTGCCCCCCCCCCCTCCCCCCCCCCGTTCCCTCACTGGCCCCAAGGTATCGGTAATCTGTCCCGCACACCGCACATGCAGCGGACACAATGTATTGATTTGTGCAACCTTTTGTGCAATCCATTGTAGTCCAGCTCACTGCAGCCATCTGCCACCTGGTGTGGGCTGGGCTGGTAGGACCACACATCTGTTAAGCCCAATCCACCCCATTCCAAGTGTGCCATGTTGTAAGCCCCATCCAGCAATGGTCTGGCACCAGGAGCCGCTGTGAGTGCACACGGCAGACCTGCCGCTGCCTGCTGTGGCGTATACACCAGTGCATGGCAGTGCGTCGGCGGCTTGGCGCATAACGCGCGTATGCTTCGACGCACTTCAGCCTGGCGCGCCATGCTGTCCTCCGCTGCGTCGGCTGGGCGGCCCGCTGCTGACGCAAGCTCGACGCGCCGTCTCCACGTCTGCGCCGCTCGCCGCCGCCCGGAAGGGCACGCGCGAACGCAAGAAAGCCAAGATCGTGAAGAAGGAGGAGGTGAAGACGGAGTGGGTGCCGGAGAACGTGCGCCGCGCCGAGCTGCTCAACCAGCAGCCGTACCCGGACAGAAGGTGACTGGACCAGCGCGGGGCCGTGGGCGTGTCCCGGCGGCGATGCGTAGTCCCTGTCGCGAGTTCGGGTGGCGCATCACGTGGCCTGAGGTAACCTGGGGCGTTGAAGTGACAATGCGTCATACTCGTCAGCAGCAGAACATGACAAAATTTGGGGTTAAATGGAGTTGGTAGGTTCCAAAGTTCCCAAAAGTCCTGCTGAGAATTGCTTTTTTGCGTCCTCGGTACTGCCTCAGAGTTGGAATTGTCGACCAGCGCTGACAGCTGAATCACCCGTTCCGTTTTTTTGTAGTTGTTCATCGAATGCTAGACGGACTGTGTGCACTAGTGACAGAGGTAAAAAGTAATTCGCGCTACCTCCGATGAAATACTTGATCACATGGAAGCACCAGAAAACCGATAAATTGTCCATGCTTACGTGTCTGAAATTGCTTGATTAGATAAACCCTGTAATCGCTTTGATACTGAAATTGCCTAATTAGACAAACGCTGAAAAATCACTCCGATATCGCAGTGAACTGTTTCGCAAGTAGTATAATTGCAAACGAGTTGTAGGCTTAGCCTCACTATATTCGAAACCCTCCCTGTACGCTCTCTGTATCCCTTCCCGCGAAGCTCAGCTCAATGTTGAAATTAGTTCGGGGGGTACATGCCTCCTCCAACGAATAAGTTAGCTCAACCATGATAACGAGATAAGGCACCGTAATGTGACCGCGTGCTCGCAGCGGCATTTGAATGCCGTGTGTGGGGAGGTTATTTTGCCGCTTTATGCTGATATCAGCCATGATTCGTTGCTCGTCCTATCTTGCGGCTTCCCCCGCGGGCAGCGCCCGCCGTTGCGCTCCGCTTGTCACCTGCCGATGCCCACTCGTCTGGGCCTTAGTCGGCGGATCCTGCTCGGTACCGGCGCGCCGCCGTGCCCTCTGACCGCGCGCCGCCGCCTGCCGCCAGGGTCAACCGCTACCGCCTGCCGGAGCCGGTGGATGACGTGTACGTGCGCACTGGTTCCGCTGGCCCGAGTATAGGATGGAGCAGGCGGTGGAGATGCACCGCGAGACGCACCACCCGACCGTTACAACCGGCCGCACGAACTGCTGTTCGCCACCCATCGAGCTGGACATGCAGATGGACAAGCGGACGCGCTTCGCAGACCCAGTGCGCCAGTTGGTGACGCTGCCGCACACGTTCGAGTTCGCGGCGCCACGCGAGGTGGCCGTCTTCTGCCAGTCGGCCGCAGCGCGCCAGCTCGCCGAACAGATGGGCGTCACGGTGTACGGCGGCAGCGAGCTCATCAAGCAGTTCCAGAGCGGCGCTATGATGGCGACGACTTCGACTACTTCGTGGCGCACCCGGAGATGATGTCGGAGCTGGTGGCGATCCGCGGTCTGTTGCGGCGTCGCTTCCTAGCCTGCGCGACGGCAGCCTGACGGTCGACCTGGCGGCGGCCGTCGACCGCTTCAGCTCGGGCCTTGAGTACGCCTCGGAGCGCGACGAGCGGCAGCCGGACTTCGCCCAGGTGTGGCGCCCGTCGGCAAGCTCAGCATGCCGACCGATCAGCTGATCGCCAACCTGACCGCGCTGCTGACCGACCTGCAGGCGGCTCGGCCACGCGGCACACGCGCCCGTTCGTGACGCGCGTCTCCTCCTGGTGCCAGCCGGCGCCCGAGAAGTTTGACATCGACTTCGCGGCGCTGCTGGAGCCGGCGCAGGCGCAGGCGCAGGGCCGACGTGGATCCGCCGCCGACAGAGGTTCACGCCGAGCGGGTGTGAGCGTCAGTGTCGGGCCCTGGGACCGGTGCAGGTGGCGCCAGCGGCGGACCGGCATCGATACAGGCGGCAGCAGCGGTGGGCGCGGGCCGAGCCCGGCGGCACATGGTGGGTGCGAACACAAACAGGAAGCGACTGCCGCTGCTGAAACTCGGGCTGGTTTGGTGGTGCGCATGAATCGACTGCGTTCGATTACACGTGTGCTGTTTGTGCGTGCGATGTATGTCATGGCCCCTGTAGTGAATGCAATGAATGACTGAACTATTGGCGTTCGAGCTGTCAGTGCTGGCTGGAATCCTTCGACTTCAGGATGCAGGAAACTTGACGTCATTGCCAGGCTGGAAGTAGGTGAATGACCCAGCCTCTGGTTGGTCGACTAAGGACGGTTCAACTTAGTCATAGGGGTGGTACATACATTGTATGACACATTTGTCGCTTACCCTTGATCACGCACTGCTCTGCGCTGGGCGAGAAACAGCCCATGTGTGCTGCTCAAACTTTTTAGAGACTGGTTATACTGGCATCCACTCGGTTACCTAAGCACGGCATTACACTGTTTATCTCACGTCTCCCACTTGTTCCGTTTCGGCTACGCTCCATCAAATGTCCCCCCCCCCCCCCCACCCCATCTATGCCCAACATAATTTATGGATGGCCGTTAGCCCGCACTTGGCCGGCCAGTTTAGTGCGGCGCCCTCGGATAAGGGTCGGTTTGACCCCTTGAGACCCAAAGAACTACGGGAGTTAATCACCAAAGTTACAGCGTAAATAGGCATGTGCGTGAACTCATGGCAGATATTCAGGTCCCCAGGTCATAACCTTCGGGTCAAATGAGGTAAAACAAGGTCAACCTTCTGACTGGTGTCCGAAATTACCTCAGACCTATTCATGCAACGATCTGTAACCCGTATGCATCTTCTAAATAACAGATCAGTACTGTTATTTCGGTACAGGGATTCTGTTTGACCTTCCAAGATCACGGTCACCAGAGGCCTTCAAGATTGTCTTTGTGTAAAGCCTTGATAAGCGTCAATATTTACGCGGGGCAATGTGTTTCTAAAAACAAATGGTTGTGGCGGACTTATTCTAGGTCGGTGATCTCTCTGACCTTTGCCAGGTCCAGTTAACACATCTGTTGAAGTCTCTGTGATGAAGGAAATTCGAAATGAACGTCAAACGCTGCCACCGCAAGCAGTGTCCCCAGGAAAACGCAAGTTGGTTTTGACCGCGGCCTTGCCTTCATAGGTCAAAGGTCATAATCCATGATCAAAGGAATTTTTCGCCGTCCTGACTTTAGGTTGCTTTATTGTCTAAGAAACCGTTTCAAATATGTATTGCTTTGTCTCGCACTCCGTTGTCGCATCAGATTGCGCGCTTCGTTAGGAATTGCCTTCGGTGGCAGTCATGACCGGACTTCGATCTGTCGTACGTCAGGTAGGTTCCAACGGCATCTAAATTTAGTTCCGACCGATTGCTTATTGAATTGCCTACAGCTATCCAAAACTTTGCACCGCTACATCGCGTCGTTCCAAAGTTATTCTGGAAAACTGAGGCTTAAGTGGGTTTCTCCGGACCCGAGCGCGTGTCACAAGGTTCGTGACGATGCACCCGTTTATTTGAACGCTGACAGGTGAGCCAGCACAACGTAGTGACTTCGCCCCTAAGTCCCACTGCGAGGTAGGGCGTCGTACTATTAGCGCAACCCGCGCAATGCTAGGTCGCGTCAGGCCTGTTCCGCAACAGCGCGGCCTGTTCTGCCTGCGGCTGAATGCATCGCAAAATATGCCCCCACGGAACATAGACAGTGGAAGACGAGTATAGTTCCGATCTCCACGAGAATTTGGGACCACATTTTTAAAACACATTCCATGGTTACCGCACAGAAGCCCTCGCCAATATTATCATTTATAACAGGGAGCACACGAATACGAAAGGCAACAAGTCTGCTGGCGACAGTCCCCACTGCCTGCGTGAATGCTGTCCAGTCTCGTCTCCGAGCTGCTCCAGAGCGGCCCCGCTCGTCCAGTCCTCGTCTCCGAGCCGCTCCAGGGCGGCCGGCGCGGCCCGCTCGTCCAGTCCTCGTCTCCGAGCCGCTCCAGGGCGACCAGCGCGGCGCCGCTCGTCCGGTCCTCGTCTCCGTGCCGCTCAAGGGCGACCAGCGCGGCGCCGCTCGTGCGGTCCTCGTCTCCGAGCTGCTCCCAGAGGGGGCAGCCAGCCGCAGGGTGGCGACCAGCGCGTCCCCGCTCGTCCGGTCCTCGTCTCCGAACTGCTCCAGAGGGGGCAGCCAGCCGCAGGGTGGCGGCCGGCGCGACCCGCTCGTCCGGTCGGGAAGAAGCGCTACTCCATGTCCCGGCCGCCAGTCTCGATGGGCAGAAGCAGCGCGCTGACCGCTGCCAGGGATTGCCACGCCGGCGTACCACCAGCGCCGTGTACCGCACGGAGACAGTCACCAGCACCTGGGGAGCAAGCCCGGCCTACCACTGTAGTCACACCAGCCAGTGCAGGGGCCGTGCAACCGAATCGATGCACTAGCAGTGCCGCCGTAACATGTGCCTGGGAAGGGAGTCTGGACGAGCGATGCAGCCACGTTAGCGTGCACTTGAGCCGCGCCTCGGTGCTTGGGCGGTGACGTAAGGTTATCAGTGCGAATCGCAAACAAGGGTACACTAGTGCTGTGTTCCGACCAACATGCGCACCAATACTTGGTGATGGTGGATGGATATGAGTTACGGTTTTGGGGTGAACAGCGCGATTGAAGGAAATCGTAAATTGATACGCTATCAAGTGGTCTCCAGTAGGCAACCTGGCGGCGCACCACAGGACACTGAAGCTGCCCGCTCATCGTTTGATAACTGTGACATGTCACCGTGAGACCTATTTGCATGGTTACTGCATCGACATGGACCATTCGGCGTAATTCACCAGGGCGCTAGGGGTATGTCCATCAGGGGCCTCCTGATACCACCTTCAGTCCTGCCAGCCGCACACGTGTCCCACGTCAGGGTAATGGAACGTACCTGAGCCACGATCGGTGTGATCATGGCCCCAAAGCGGCTTACGCCCCCACAGCAGCCCAAGCCGATAGCCCGCAGATGAGTTGGGTATACCTGGAACCAACCAAAGCTCTGTTAGGTATACCTGGAACCAACCGATGCTCTGTTGGGTATATCTGGAACCAACCAAAGCTCTGTTAGGTATACCTGGAACCAACCAAAGCTCTGTTGGGTATACCTGGAACCAATCAAAGCTCTGTTAGGTATACCTGGAACCAACCGATGCTCTGTTGAGTACACCTGGAACCAACCAAAGCTCTGTTGCCTCGACGGCACGATTTTGTGACGCACGAGATGAGCGAGGCGATGACAGGAAATATCAGGCGTGGTTGGCGACGAGTGGCGGCGGCAGGGCGCTACTTTAAGGAAGTGTTCAACATTTGTGTGGGGTTTTACCGAACTTGCCATCTTGAAGATCATGCGGTAGTTTGCTGCCCTGCTCTTCTTAAGACCTAAAGCCCCTTCCCTTTAAATTCACCTTCTTTAAAACTAAACCCCACTTCCTTTTACTTTCGCACGTGTGTAGCTAGTTTATGAGCTACACGCCTGCGAAAACGTGTAGACTATTTGGAGGAGACTATATCAAAGTCGCCTGCGCATCCACGACGCCATAACAATGTCATTCAGATCCTGCCATTCCATTAACCGTGGGACGATCCAGGTAAAACAAATGTGAGCATCAAGTCGTGCATATCTAGCGTTCGTGAGCACGATTTCCAGATCAAACGGCCTTCAATTGGCTCTCAAAGCTGTGTAGGAGAATATAGGGAATTTAGGAAATTTAGGCAAGCATCAGGTATGAAGACAGCTTACTTGTAACTGTCAGTTCGCGTTTTAACACAAGCTCTGTATTTAGTCAATATTCGCCTGGATATGTTATCGTTTAATGGCGCCATGGAGAATTTCTATGACATCAAAGTCGCTGCCAGACTGGCCGCGTCAGAACTGTTAACGAAGTGATTTAGCTGACTCATTCGCATTGCTTCGACTCACCGCAAAGTGATTTGTTGATCTCTGCGGTGTGAAAAATCACCCATTCCTATTTTCGCGTGTTTTGTCTTTTTGTGGCTTCGCGCATATTTTTCCGTAATGACGGGTTTTACTTGCATTTCCATCACCAGTACGGTGCTATTCTGAACACGCGCTCGGCGGGGGTCAATCTCACTCATCCAAGGTTTTTCACTATGGTTTCGAACGGCGCGGCCAACTTTGCACGACTGTAGCCAACTGAAAAACGGATCATTAGGTACGAAAATTAGATGTGCCTTAAACGGTCGCTGACCTATGGCACATCAAAATCAGGCCGTGCTGTCAACACAGGCCATTTCTTGGGCATCGTTCAATCTGATGCGGTAACGAGATGTTGACGAAGTCATATCTCTCGGAGATAGCTTCTTATGCAATGAAACAGTTGCAATTAAAACTAAAACAAAGTTTCGTTGACGTTTGCTTAGGTACGAGGGTACGACTGATGCCAAAAGTAACCTGTTTTTTTGTTCGAGAACCCGCTTAAAGGGATAGTTTTTTGGTGTTTATTTCCAAATGCATTGATAGCAGGAACCGTAACAGGAATGTTTCGTGTACTTTTTAAAGGCCAGAGTAGGTCACTAACCTAAAATACACCCAGGTCAGGCATGCATGTTTTAAGGTCAGCATGTTTAAGAACATACCGCCTACATAATCCCTGCTGATTATTAGAATGATGAATAAAGCGAACTTGTAGTTTTTTGTCACCATTGTTCCTCTAGAGATGAAAAGCTAACTAACCCAAAATGAAAAACCAGTGCCCAGATCTCAAGACCCGCAGATCTG